GCAGAGAGAGAGAGAGAGAGAGAGAGAGAGAGAGAGAGAGAGAGAGACTCACAAAGCTCCAATCCATTAAATTACAGTTGAAATTCAGTTTTTAATTGGCATTCCATTGGTCAGTTGGCATTTGGTAGACAATTATTTCGATGCAAATGCCAATAATTATCTCGTGCGCTCCTTGGATCAATGAAAACCACAAATGAATTCCGATTCAACAGAGCATTTTCAATTCAATCGACAACGATACAAACATATATTTTCAATATTCGTTTTGTGATGTCGAATACATTGAATCAATCGATCGCATTTGAAATGATTGCTCTGTATTCTGAACATGGAGTTTTGCATTAATTTCGATTGATTTTATAACAATTAGTTTTCGCAGACGAATGAGCTTTTCAATCACGGTTACTGTATACTACATATAATAATTGTATTTATATTGGGAGAATTTGGTCCTAATATAGAAAATTAATGGACTGGTTATATGCAATTGTATCTCACCCGACCTAAAACTAAGTAAAACAATTGTTCATTGACGTTTCAAAAAGATGTGTGGTTTATTGATGAGGTAAAATTAAATAGCTTATACCTTCGCACTTTATGTGTTGTGATCTAAGGGTTGGAGACATACTCACACTGAAAAAACACTCGGATTTATTCGGTGTTACTCGGTGATATTTTCAGTGTAATAAGCACATATCTAGCTAATTTTTGCGCAAATCTATTGCAAATGCTTTTCCGGCTGATGATGGTTTATCCCAATCAAGCAACTGAATTGACTGTTCATTGAACAGTGTTCAGTTCGGCTTGCAAAGTGCAAATTATACCAAAGTTTATGGCATGAGTTTGAAATTTTTGATTATCTACCAATGCAACAAAAGTGCGTAAACATTAGAGTCTTCATATGGAATATCATTGTACTTTGCACCATTTTTCTCATTTCATCATTGATTTATTGCATTTGGGAATCACACCTTCAAATGATAACATTTTATGGACGGTAAAATCTAACCTCTGATTATTTTTTATGATTTTCAATTACAACATTCCCGAAAATGCTGTAGTAACAAAGTACGCCTAATTGAACATTCGTATATAAGTGAAGTGTAATACAGTTAGTGTATTAACTCTAGCTCAGTCTTAAAGTGGCAACGTATTTTGAGCCATTCATATTTTCATTTATTCATTTTATACTGGATATTTCTCCAATAAAATGAAACTGTTCTTATCATTTCTACTGGTTGCACTGGCTGTGGTATAGTGAAATTGCAATAATTTTGAAGTTACACTAATTTTAAATCAAGCGGACGCTAAAATAAATAATAAATCATTTCACACAAATCCACATTTGTTCAACATCTTTTTTATTATTTTCGTACGAACATTCCTTATTTGAATTTTCATTGAAGTTTTTGATTACATTTTTTATCGCAAAACAAAAAAACGGAAATTTAAATGAAATTTTTCTGTATCAATTTCAAGTCCGCTTATGGTGTTCCGGATGAATTCGAGCTGGACTTCAATGTGTTCAATATCGGTTGGTTCAATGGCAGCCTTCCAATCGACGAAGAGCAGATACAGTGTATTAGAGTGAGATCGATAATTTACTGCTTTTGTGTCCAATGACTACTGGCCACCATATTAATTGGTCATTGAATTACTAAAATAACGTATTTTAACTGAATGATTTTTTTGATCTTGCATTATTCATGGATTCGTTGCACCGAAAAAAAAATCAGGATGGAACCGTAACAATTATCGAGAACAATCCCGATTTGAAAACATGGTTTGATGACGTCGAGAAAACGGCTGAAAATTTAAAGGAAGCCGGTATTAGATGCTATTCATATTCAGGAATCAGAAAGCAGTTAGTATCATTCTATACCATTCGCTCCTTTTCCGATTTCAAGTGGAATTTAAATGAAATAAATTGGCATCTTGTTTGTAGGGCATGTTTGGCAAAATTAAAAATTTCAGCATTCACTCAATATGCCCGTTTGATGAAATCATTACCAGATGTAAGTTGATTCAATAACAAAAAAAATTGAATTCAATCCGATGACAAAGTGTAAGACTAAATGGCCAATGAATTTAAAATTTGTAGGATCGAAAGGAAATCGTTGATGAAATCACAACTATTGTGAAGGTCTGTCTGGGTATCTAGTAAGCTACATTCGTTCACATGGTTTAAGCTATTCTATGTAATCGAACACTCGAAATAAAATGAAAACAATGGCTATAAAATAAATGTGAAATTAATTCGAAGAATGCATCGTTCAAGGGTAATAATTCGGTGAAACGAACCCATATCAGAAATTGATTATCGATTGAACTAGTAAGCTGTGATTGATCAAGTGGAAATGGTTATTATATGGTTTCTACGGTTTTCGTTGATATGGATGATTGTTCACGTGCTCTCCTTGTGGTATGGAATTCCAATTAGAAACATAAATTCGATCCAATTAGATTGAGCCCATTCAAACGATCGTGGTGCTTATGCATTTAACAGATTGAGTGTGTTAGCTTGAAATTCGCATTTATTACACGGAATTAGACGTTACAATCATTACAATCGTATTGTCGAAATGTTTTTTTTCAATGGAAATCTATAATCAACGATTAGATTTAATTAACTAACCAAGGTCTATGTCTGCTGTTATCGTCATTCCATATCAAAGGCTGATGAGTGAGACCGCGTTCGTTTTTTTTTTTTTCATTTCGCACTTTATGCTCTTTTTCTTCTCTGCTGTATAATATACTTCATCAGGTATAATATTTTAAGGTGACATCAGTTCTGCGTCTTACTATGTTGATAAAGTCTGCTGCGTAAATTGTAAATGAATAATTCTATCGAATGAAAAAGAATACAATAAAATGTTCTTATACCCATTTGCGGCTGATATGGAGAACGAAACGAAGCTTTTGAATAGACATTCTCCATTTTTTTCATTTCAAATTCGTTTTCATTGTTCATTTGAGCGTTTTTCATATACGTATGGTTACATTGAATCGCAAAGCTGAAAGCTTCTAATGATGGAATTCGTGATGACTAATCTTGAACTGCATTTTGAAGGCCACTTAAAGTAAGTCATATCAAGTTTAATGCAAGTATTGGAAGCAATTGGTAAAATCATCTTCAAATTGTACTCGAAGATTTTCTGGCAATTTATTAGCCAAACGGTCGTATTCTACTTTCACTTGTTCGTTGAGCTTATCATAGCATTCCCTGCAATGCGATCAATCGAATTAGATGTCGAAATTACTGGAATTCAAAATAAACCAATCAATCGAAAACCATCCCGACTCACTTTTGTTCAGCTTCAGAAAGTAGTTCAAATTTTTTGGCTTTGTTTTTCAATGAATCCACGGTTCGTTTCACATAGACGCCCCACAGCACGTATTTTGAATTCTTTGCAATAATTGATTTCATCACTTTCTTTCATTCAAAAAACAATATGTAATCAGATCCGCAGCCAACTGCAGTCCATGAAATATGAAGCAAACGAAAATAATTAAATTTTGTAATTGAATTGCTTTTGCAATTCATCGGTTCTTACCCGGCCGCATTCGACCTGATCATCGATCGTGATTGGAAAAATGATATCACCAGCGAATGTAGCCGCTTCATTTGCGAACCATGTCGTTTCCAAGCATTTTGTGAAATCATTATCGAATTGTGTTCGCAGGTTCCCGGGTAACAAACTGAGCAATCGTTTGTATTGCACAAATGCTTCTTGTTTCACCTTTTGTAAACATTCGCTGTGGAATAGGGAAGAAAATTTTGTGAGTACAAAATAAATACGAATGGTCTGTTAAATCTGAGAATGTGAAAACTTATGAAAAAAATTGGAAACACAAACTTTAAATTAAATGAAGCCCCAAAAATAATAATAGCAAAATGAAAACGAACAAAAATATGTGTGGCAAACAATTACTAACACTTGTTCGTTGCCGGTGAGTGAGTTGCATTTTTCTACAATCTCTGCAAATGTTCTAAATGCTTGACCAAATTAAATGTGCCACTTTCAAAGCCCGGATTTTCACTGACAGTCTTCTCAACCAGTTTCTATTGTTGAATGAGAAGAAGAAAAATAATAGAAAACACTTGACAGAAATATTTGACAAATGAAAATGGCACAATGGATGCCTACGAAAATGCAGTCAATTTGCTTTGGAGTTGGAAGCGGAAAGTCATCAACACCTGCAGCACCGTAGGCAGACAAAATGACAAAAATGGTTAATAGAAATTGAAATCTGACTGACATGGGTTTTAGCAGGAATTTAAATTTTAGAATGGCTACATTTACCATTGCTATCGACAAAATGACGTCAACCAATAGTAACACCTTCATTTTGTTCATGAAATTTTTTTTGGCTTCGATCAAGAATCGTTTGAATCGAAATGAGCTTTTGTTTGATGCACTCATTTGTACAAGGCACGATTTTGTACGCAAATTTATATGATTTTCGATTGGAATATTTGTTTTGAAGATTATCGATTAGATAAAACATTTTTTGGAATAGTATCTCTCATGGTTTTATTGGCCAGTTTTAGTTTCGTGTGAGTGTGTTTATGTTCTAGCTTGATATCAATCGATGTTGATGTCGATTAATGTTATTGCCAATTTTTCAACTGTTACAAAGTCAAACATTTCAACAACAATAACAACATGATAGTACACACGGATAAGATAATATTTCAATGGATCGATTGAGTTTATGAAATTTATTGTTATAAATTATGATTGATATAAACAACGCGAAAAAAAAATAAACTTTGAAATTTATGTACATTTCTATTGCTATAGCAATATCGGAATGAACTTTGGATTTTGCCCTGAAATAAATTCAAATCGTACAACAACAATAGCAGCAACCAGAAAGTATGCGCAAAAAGTGCGCAAACTGAAATTGGATGAAAAATAGCGCTAATGAATATGCAAAACTGTTTGTATTTAATTAGCAAGTCGACATATTGCAACAGGTATTGTTGCCGATGGTGAAATTATTTTCCAGCTGCAATTGCAATTATCTCAGAAATGATGTGCACTAAAAGCATGTTCCATTGGATAATTATGCTTGTTCAAAACGGGCCGCTCCAAAACTGTCATAAAGCATAATAAAATTCTCTCGTTGCATCGAGTCCAGCGTACACGTACACACACACACGCCCGAAATTCATATTCCAGCAATTATTCGGGATTTCAGTTGGTGGACTGTGAAATGTACCATGCATCATTTGGCATTGTTTTTGGGGATGAAATATTGAATTTCAGCAATTAGAATGGGGGAGGGCGCATACTATATTATGGCCTCACCAAAATGAAAATCGATAATTTCCGGGACGTTCAAATATTCAATCAGATAGATCTTCAAGTTTGTTGGTTTTCGTTCATACATCTGTTTGTTCGATGAAATTGATGCCGGATGTGGCAGTTGAAGGCACTTCTCAACCGAACCCGTTCCGAAAACACACACAAAATGTCGTTGTTGTTGGTGTGAAATGGACTGTTTCAACTCTATTAAATTGCCGATTAAAAATCGCACCGGGATGCGTTTGTTGCACCCCAAACACAAAGTCAGAACATGGCCCAATGGGCTAAATTGTTATGAGCAATGTGCACAAATGAGAATCAATGTAAAATTACCACAATTCCAAATCAGCCATTAGAATGATGAATTTTACATTGTACAACGAAATTGTGATACATTCGATTACCTTACACCAGTTGGAACGAGTGTGTGCGGGAGACGGGAAGGAGAAGGAGGTTTGGTCTCAGTGGTAAATGTGTGTATGAGCTAATGCCTGTTCAGTGCACGCTCTTTCTCTCTCTTTCTCTCTCTCTCTCTCTCTCTCTCTCTCTCTCTCTCTCTCTCTCTCTTGGTCCCTTGCTCGACACAATCAATCTAAATAGTATGATATACATACGACACAGGCACATACATTTGATGCGCACACAAAACACGGCCGGATTTTTAAATGTTTACTCAGCAAACAGATACCGTAAAGCTCGGTTACCGCATTTATACACGAAAACGACAAGAACATTTTCCATCCATTTGTTTGAGGCAACGGAAACATATAAAAACATTCCAATAAAATTGCAGTTCGGAGAGAGTTGTGTCTGAATCAGAATGACCGACACACATAAGCCTATGCATCGGGGTGTGAGAGAATGCTTGTCTGTGTGTGTGAGAGAGTGTTAGAGTCCCTCTCTCTCTCACTCTTACACTATGCAAACGTAGCAATAGCAACAGCAACAGCCTATTTAACATTTTCGCTTTTGTTTGTGATTTGCTTGGCGAATAATCGAAAATTCAATTTCATCCAGATTTAAAGCTGCAAATTTTAACACACTTTCAATGTGTATAAAATTCAATTACATTGAGTGTCGGAGCATGAACCCTTATGCAAATACACACATCAAACCGCACCGTGCGTTTTCCGTGCACAATTTGCCTCGCCCATCGGATGGGAATTTTAGAATTTTATTCTAAACATTTGAAGAAGAGTTTTCGTTTTGCAAAATTTTTCGAATAATTAAAACATATAAAATAGTCTCATGTACGTGTGCAAACATGGTATGGACCGTATCCAATGGTATGTTTGGATAACATATCCAGGCAACGTTCATTTCACATGAACCACCGACTACTCTTTTTTTCTGCGAATCTTGTTCAAAATTTTGAAGAGATATCCATTTTTCCAGGAAAAAAAACTCCGCAAACTAAATTACATTCATGATTTGTAACCATTTTTTCAACTGCCAAATACTATAAATGGAATAGTAGCAAGATTTCGATTGCATTTTTTTCTCTCTGTTTGTTGTAAAAACTGATTTCAATCCATTCTGGCTTCTCATTGCGCTTGATGATTGTATTTTTGTTTTATTGATGATAAAAACAACGGCAATCTACTTACGAATATGTCGATAGGAATTCGATTGATAGAAAAAAATAATATAATAAACAAAACTAAATGTCTAGTTCGCAATCAAGCGATTTCAGATAATTTATATTTCAAGATATTAACAAACATTCATAACATTTGAAATGACAATTCCGAATAGACATAGATTGATTCAGAAAACAAATAAATTTCAATTCGACCGATTAAATGGAAAAGCAATTGACATTAAGACCTAAATATGAACAAATGAAGTGAAGTGTAGTGACGAAGCATGTGCATGAGCAAATGCAATGCGAATACACTGCACACACATCGGCACAGCAGCCACAGCCACAGACGCACACATAGAAAACAGAAAGGATTTGAGAGAAGAAGAGTGAAGTATATGTCACATGGAAAATACTTAGCACACTAGATAACATGAGCAATTAGTTATGTGAGTTTGTGGTGATGGTGTGATGGTGGTGTCGGCGAAATAGTGGATTTAACTTTGTTGATTGTTCGCATCCGAATAGTTGAGCGAACTAAAGTCGCCGGTATTGCACGATATCGTTGGTATACTTGAATTGGAAAATCCTTTGTAGTCGGTGGCCGTTGGTTTGAGTGGTGATGGTAATAGCACTTGATTGGGTGAATCTTCGCTTTCAATTAATGTTGTTGGTTTTGGGTCGGTTAAACTGATATTCAGTGGTTTTGGCTGCGACGATGATGTTGATGACGACGACGACGACGATGTGGCCACTTGCAATGTACTTTCCACATTACGCAGCGGATCAAATTCGTCCAAATTAAATGATGACATTGAATCCGACGGTTTCAATGCATTTGGTTGATCGGCATTTGTCGATCGACTTTGCATTTCGCCCACATCCTCTGATATACTATTTTCGGCACTGTTGTCCGAAAATGTGAAGTCATAATTGATATTCGTAATGCCTTTTAGGAAATTTATCGGCGCAAATTCATCGGGTGTGGTTTCGTCAAACGATTGATTGTCAAACGATAAACTACACGGACCAAAACTTGGCGATACCGATAAATAGTCGACACTTGGGCTTGATTTTATTGGATCACTTATGGTTGGCAATAACACCTCACTGCAACCAGCAAACGGATCGATATCATCAACAAGCGGATTTGACGATGGAAGCACATCGCTCGCTATTTCTTTTGGTTCATTTTCTAATGCAAACGGGAATGCACTTTCTTTTGATTTTAAATTCATTGATGCCATTGATGACACTAGATTTGATTTGAAATGACCACCACCACCACTGCCGCCGCCACTGTTGCTATTGTTCGACGGAAGATATGCTGGCGGCCTATCTAATGACCTTTTATGTTTGATATTCGATGGTAATAAACTGTCCCGTAACGACTGTAGTGTTTTGATTTCTTTCAATTCAAACGGAGTACGCTGCAGAACGGTGTTCAAATTCCGAGAGAAATTTTCCTAGCGAAGAGAAAGAAAAGAGACAGAGAAATGAAAATTGCGTTTAACAAAATTACGGAAACGAAAAAATGGACACATTTTTCAATGGCATACTTATGTTATGTAAGCTATATAATCGGTAATTATACAGAAAATTTCATTCAAAATTCGTTTTCAACCAAATTAAATCGAAATCATTTGTTTATACAGTATTGACTCTTTTTCTTAATTATTATCCACATTAAACCAAAGTCTACCTTAAACTCAGTAATATCCTTGGTCATTTGCTGTATGCATTCCAATGTTTCGTCATTTTTCTTGTCTAATTGTATGATTGTTTTGCAATTTTCATCCAGCATATGCATCATTTCGCACGACATCAACGCACTCTCCCACACTGAATGGATTGCAATCTGGCCCGTCATCAGCGCACTAAACTCACTTTGTGGCATCGACAATTCTTCGTGTGTCAGATTTTCGATAAATGAAATTGCACAGCACTGAAACAGAATCAAATATAAAACAATTTAAATTCAACGAATGAATAAATCATTTGGAATCAGAGCAAAACTGTTTTTGTGAGCCAATCACACAAATAGCATTCGGAGTGCAAATTTCGAGAAGAAATGTGTTTGGAACAGACAGTTTCCATACAAAACGTTTGCGTACATAAAAAATATTTTTGTGGGCGGATTAATGTAATACAATAGAGATAAGCAACTGTGCTACACAGAAAATACTTTGTTCTGATTGAAGTAAACGATTTGATTGAAAATCTGAATGAAATATTGAAAAAATGTATTCAAATTTTCAACAAAAATCAAGTGGGTTAGTTTTTTTTTTGTCAAAAACATACCAAATTCGTAAAATAGTATCCACCCTCGCCACTATTCAATCGTGAGGCATTACTGAATCGTGTGATATAATTTATGTTGCTATGAAGTCGAACCGGGTTCGCTTTTAATACTACAAAAATTAATGCCGGCAAAAATTCATCCGCACTCGCTGGACCATCCGAACCGTGTTTCAGCAGAGTGAATATATTCCGACAACTACGAACGATACAATCGAGCTTCTCTTGCGGTGACGGAAATGAGTCCATTGAAATTAATTCTGTGGAAAAAATGGCAGAAATTGATAGGAAATGTGAATTGAAGATTTGAACATCAATTAAAATTAACTAATATGATTTTTTGATTAGAAATATAAATAGTGTATCGGTGTAAATTACTGTTTTTAAGCGATTTTACCAAGGGATTTAACCCAATAGCATTTAACATAGTCTGAATGTAACTGAAGTAAAGTCCCATTGTCTTACCGTTAATTGAGCAATAGACCAAATCACGAACATCAGCATTAACTTCGTCAATGCTACACACCAAATGCCGTGCATTAATCCAGCTCAACTGTCTAATGCGTTTGTGAACTGCTGCATCTTTTTGTTCGTCATTGGTGAATGGCGGTGAAAATAGTATTCTTGCGAGAAAAAAAAAAATTGTAAAATACAAATGAGATCGAAAACGAACAAAAAATATGGCTAAGGCTCATACTTGTGATTTCTAGTCATGACGACCTTTTCAAAGAAATCAATGATTTGTTCGATCAATTCGGGCGAGACATGTGCAAATTGTGACTCGGGCGAATTGATAAAATCGGCAAATTTTCCATAGCTATTCTGCACGCTATCGCTCAATTCGGCGATGTTGCTGTTCAAATACTTCTTTTTGATGACATTTTCCAGCATTTGGATGAGATAGGTGAGTTCTTTTTTCGCATTGTCGGGAATTTTCAGGTGCTAAAATGAGAAAAAGTGAAAGTTCATTCAGGGCCGCCAGTCGTCTACTTTAATTGGATTGGACACTATTTGTTCAGCGCGTTAAATAACTTTTAGTTAAGACATTCTTAAGTTTTTCTTTGTCTACACAATCATACCTTGAGAATTTCGATGCATTCCAATTCGAATTTGTCGATAACATGCGGACTGGTGCGTTGTTTAGCTGGTTTACCAATTTCCTTGGCATTCGATGGTTTCTTAAATACTTCGAGTAGATTACGTTTCTTGAGTTTTGCTTTGTCGTCTTTTGCATGTCGATGCGCATCTTTGGAATGTTGTGACTCATGTATCGTTTGATGATCAGATCGCATTGAACTGGAACCGCCTTGTAAAATGGATTTAACTGCCTGCACTTCTCGCTTCAACGGCGATTCTTTGACGCATTTTTTCTCTACTAGCAAAATGGAAAACACATCACCGAGTTAGATTAGGCCAAACGATGATATAAATTCAGTTTGGTTACCTTTTAATTGTCGTATATTCTTTTCGCGATAGCATTTAGAACAGAGCATATCGCACTGTGCATTCCCATAAAATCCACAGCCATTTTTGCATTTTAAATCACGATCGATTCGTAGACCGGATCCTCGTGTTGAATACATTTTATTGTAAATTTCTTTGTTCTTGTATTTGATCAATTGTTATTTTATCTCGATCACAGTCCAGAAAAAAAAATGTGAAGTAGGAAAAACACCAAAAATAAAAAAAACACAATTGAATAATCTAAACATAAATACAAATGTCACTACAGTCTGTTTCTTGTCCCCGTGCAATGTCACTGCAAGGCCTTTCTACTTGGATTGATTCATCGTTTGTGTGTTTTTGATGTGACAGCTTTGCAAACGAAGAACGAAAAACAATACACGAATAAAATGTAGAGTACGCTAGTTGCAAACGTTTGACAGCACACAAGACACACAATAATAACAACAGAAGTAGTAGCAGCACCAGCACCAATCCATTCAAGCGATATATATACACAAATTCGAATTGTTTTATTCTGGAAATACGCACAAAATGCAAACACTTGCAAACATTTAACGTGATTCCAAGCATTTGTTCTACGCAATTTTTTTTTTATCGCTATTTATAGTTCTTTTTTTTTGTTTTCATTGTAAATATCTTTTGAAAATCATGCGACAACACTAGACATCGGGAACGATAACGTGCAATTTTCTTTGTCAGATAGAGATTCGTACGTCTTGTGGGTAAAAAAAACAATTTGCATTGTTTATTTGAGTCGTCACAAAAACATGGTATAACAAAGGCGATTTTATGATTGTGTTTCCATTGGGTGTTTTTCAACAAAATCAAAGGTAGGCGCCGTCGACTCCTCCTGCAACAAAGATCAAGTCTGTTCCGCTGAAGACAGAAACGGTTTGTTTTGGAGCGTCAATAAAAGCTAGATAGATATTTCAAAACGGAGCAAAAGTGGTAAAGAAAATCAGCTGTTTTGCCACTGCAAGAGAGTCACAGTTTGGTGCGCAAACTGTCTGCTTTTTTCAGCTCATTCGACGATTCGACAGAACGCAGAGTTTTGACAGCTGGGACCTGGTGCAGGAGAGTGTGTGTGTGTATGTGTATGGTGCGAAGTAATTTTGCGTTTACATTTTCCACATAAACTTCTTCACTCAAATAAGTCATTGAAATGGTCGGCATTAGTGACAGGTAAATATAAAATTTTCGTGATCAAAATATTGAGGAAATTTTTTTTTTTCAACAATCAATACAAAATGTGGGCATACGATATAAGTATTTTTTTTTTCTCGCTGTTTGCCAATCAAATCACAATGGGGAAAGAAAAATTCAACTGTTTGTCATTCGTTTCGAGGAGCATTTGATGTGTTCGGTTTTTATTTTTTTTTCTTCTGTGTGTGGATTATTTGTGATGTTACACCACCATGCACATAGCACATGAATCGCATTTTCTTCACGCTCCTATGCGAACGAATTTCACTTGAAATGAATAGAACCAGTTGAGTTCTTTTTTTCTTCTCTCTCTTACTGTGTATCTGTTGCGTAACACATGATATCAATAAAATATCCGATATCATTCGTAATCGATTTATTTTTGGGCACAACTAATCGTTTTCAAGGCAACATTTTTTTTTGTGTGTGTGTGTATCGTTCGAAGACGATGAAGAAAAAAACAATTTTTTTCCCTGTTTTTTTTTTTTTTCAATTTGTGTGTCTTTTTTTATCTTCTTCAATTTGGTTTTTTTTCTTGTCTGTTTCTTATTGAAAGCAACGTTTTGAACAAGTTACGTTTTATTTTCCGCACCATGTCACCACCGACTTGAAAAAAGCACTGCACTTTACTTACGCAAAAAATACAATCAATTTACAACGAATTCGGTCGAATCAATGAAAGCCAATTGAGATTGATTTTTCTATCTCTCTCTCTCTCTTTCTCTCCCTTCCAATTGAGATGCATGCTAGTGTATAGAATTCGCTTTTATCGATTCTTATTCGATTCAGTACGTACGCATTGTGAATACTAAGTAAAATTGGCTGTTATCATTACATAAAGTAACCGCAAATTTTCGCATTCAATTGTCTCGCTCTCAATTTCCTTTCTGATTCTCTTTCTCTCTCTCTCTATCGTTCTGGCTTGCTTGTTCGCTCGTTCTCGATATTTACTCACTCATTAGATACTCGTCCACCTTTTTCATCACAGCCACATGTGACCATCAGCAACTATTTGATAGTTAGCCGATTTGTTTTCATTATGTCTTTCGTTATCATTATCATCGCATCGTTTAGCTGTTGTATAGTTCGGTGTTGTGTGCATGCATGTGATCAATGTGTCTGCTATTCAAATGATACAAATTACGGTTGATTGTGACTTTATGTACAAAATAGCCCGTAGACATAACAATTATGAACCGTAGCCATACCGTGGTTGTGATATCATTCATTTTACGTTAGCATCATATGTGGTTGTTTAGTATCTATCATTCGTGGACTTTTTTTTTTAAATTGGCTCTTCATATACTAACGTAAAAAGTGAAAAAAAAAATACGGAAAAATTCATCAAAAAATCACTCGAACTCAACCAAGTATTGCCAAATATTTAGTCATTATTTTAAGTCAATCATTTTTTTGTTGTTGTTTGCTATTTTGATTTGTCTTTATTTTCGACGCGTTTTTTTTTCCTTCTACTCTGTACGTTTTTGTTATCACGTATAGAAAAGTGATATGGTTTCGAATTCATATTGAGCATCATCACATACGATGGAGATCGAAAGCAATTCAGCCTATAGATAAACATTTATTTTTTGAGTGTGTGTGTGTGTGTGTGAATTGACATTTATTGTATTACCATTATCATATTATCGAAAATTATTATTGAATGTGCAATTGTGCATGGTTGGCCGACATGGAAACTGTATGCGACTCCTCCTTTTCATTTCTATTTTCGTTGAGATCCGAATTAGTTGAAATTGAACATGAGACATAAATAAGAACGAAGCAAACGAACGAAACACATGATAAGTTAAAAAGTTTTGTGCATTGTGTGACATAACCTTGGCATGCAAATTCATAGATAAAGACGGTTACTACGACATCGGTAGCACATCTCTATAAATATATATGATATGTATAGATGGATGTATAGATAAAAAAATACATACACACTTACGCAAACATATACGCTAGCAACAATTCGCGCCACTTTGGTCATTTGTCTTTATTTATTTATTTTTCTTCTGTTTTATATTGTGTCGGCGCTGTTTAATTGAGCTTTGTTCATTCATTTTGCTTTATTTTTTCGTTCGGTTTTTGTGTTTTTGTTTTGTTTTCAATGTTGATCTCAAACGTACAACAACACAGCAATATACATAGAAACAAATTGCCGCAGTCTCATTGTGCCAGAAAAAAAAAATTTCATTGCATTTTTTTTTCTTCAATTGCTCAAAACGCATCACGTCCACATGAATTTTGTGAAGATGTGCACACACCTAATTGATAAACAAACAATTTAATTATTAGCTAATCCAGGATTTGAACATTGTTGCGAACTACCAGAAGAACCTTTTATCATACATTTCCCATATTCGAAACGCTCGAGATCACGATAACACGTTGTGCAAAAAACAAATAAACCGTAAAACAAAGTAACATAAGGATAACCAAAATAAAATAACAGACACACAGACACATACACAAACAATGTCATTCAGTCAATATACATCGAAACCTCTGAGTCCAATCGAGTAAGAGATTAATCCAATATTATCCAAGTAGTTTAAGATAGCAATTTTTTTAGCCATCAAAAAAAACTCGTTCGCTCTATTTCTCTCGCACATAAACACACTCTCTGTCAACATATATTGACAGGACTTTTTCTGAATCTAGCATACGCATATTTTATCATTTCAATGGTTTCGGTGTTTTTCTTTTCGTTTGCATTTCAAACACTTTGATATCAATGTTCGGTTTTGTTTTTAGTTGTCAAATTATTTTACTGATGGACCCAATATTTCGTTGCATGAGCGATGATTGTAATTTGCATTGCGTTGATGTTTTGATTTTCTGTTTCGTTCTGTTTAATGCGCTTTGTTAGTCCGATTGATTACTGATTTACTAATTGATTTTTCATTGTTGCTATTCCATTTCTTTCTCTCTCTCTCTCTCTCTCTCTCCATAAAATGTGCGTGCAGCGAGGATAAATCCACAACCACACAAGTTATTCGTGAGGTGTACGAAGGCGATGAGCATGATACATTCGAAAATGAGCTAGAAAAAGCACTCGAAGCCAAAGTGAAATACATCATAATTGAACCGCAACGTTTGGGCGATGAAACGGCACGATGGATTCGGGTGGGAAATTGCTTGCACAAAACGGCTGTGGTTAGTGGTTTGGCATCGATCGTATGCGGTGCAATAATGCCGGAACGGCCGGTGTTCAGTGCACCGTTGTGTGCGATTTCGATTTTCTGCACCGGACTCTATACAGTTAGCTGGAATGTCGATTATTGTTGTCAATATCAGGTGAGATGCTTGGGAATCGATCAAATTTCGATGAAAATTGACTATCTCATGTGGAAATTGTAATGACTGAGGAGCTAGCCCATTCATTTTGGACTTTTGGCTAGTTGCCTGATAGTTACTCTTCAGCTAAAATGTCCGAAATTAGTCGTCTGTCTGAAAAAAGAAAATAGCTGAAAGTGAATTTGGTCTGAATTCAGCCAATTTAGCCAGTCTTAGTTGTTTGCCGCTGCATACAACTGAGTAACTCTTAGTCATTTTATTTACACACGAGATTTTTTGCCGAAAATTGATCATTTCATTTTATTAATACCACTTAAAAATGATTTTTGATTCCAGTACTCATGTCTTTTTCCTTCTTTAATTGGTTTGCCATCAACAGGTCGAGACGGATCCGAAGAAATTAGAAAAAATACCCGACTTCCAAAATTTCTCATCACCAGTAGCATTAGTTTATACGAAAAATACTCGCACAAAATACCTACATCGGTCCGTAACACTGTTAGCAACCGCATTCTGTGCATGGACACTCTACGAAGCGTACAAATAGAACCAAACCAAAATACACCAATCAAATATCCCCAATAAACATACATCAAGCGTTGGAAATTTCAGAAAAATTTATCGTTTTGTCTGTCTGTAAATGAGAATGCTGCGCGCAGAATGGCTAACAACAACAATAAAACACAACACATCATAGAGGACGGTACATACTCGAAACAACAACAAGAAGAACAGCAAACCATCAATCGGTGTTCATATTTTTAATTGTTAACAAAATCATCCGTTTGAGGGAGGAAAGGAGAACGAGCGATTACAAAATGCCATACTAGCCAACAAAACACACAACAAACAAACAAAAAAAAACACAGGCAAAACCAATTTTATGGGAGAAATTGTATTTTGAAACAAACAAAAAAAGAAGAGAAAAAAAACTATATTACATTAATGTTAGGGATTATAAAGGTACGCTTGAAGCGAATTAAAATGGTTTAGTTTTAACTGAAGAGAAAAAAAGAGAGAAAAAAACACAATAAAATCAGAGATATGAAACCAGAGATGAAACTATTTTAGAACAGAGAAACTCTATCTAAATGCCGTTGAATGGAATACAAACGTAAAGCAGAGAATTACTACGCCAATTGAAATACAAAGTGGAATAATTAGAAATATTTAAATAAATTCAAAGACAAAGTTTATTTAAAAAGCAATTCAAGCGAAATCAATTTTCAATACACACACACACACAGAAGAAGAAAACATACATCACGAATCGACGTGAAAAAAGAACATATTTTATCTAGTTTGTTTTAGCTCTTGTTCGAGAAATATACGAATCACAGGGTTGTTCAAAATGTTGCTGTCGAATGTCATCTTCGGAAGTGTCCGAAGGTTTTTATTTATTTGGATTATTGTTGTTGATTTTGTTTTTCTGTCACCAATACATGCCAACCGCTTGTCAGAAATAGCGCCACGAATGAAAGAAGAGAAATAGAAATCGAAAAACCCAAAATCCTATATGCATGTGCCGAACCATTTGGGGTAAAATTGATATTTCTCATGCTAAATTACAATCAGCTAAAACGAAAGACAAGTCAAAAACTTATACGGGTGTAATAATTGGAATGAATTATCCTAAACTTATGCAAAGCAATCGGAGTATTTTTTGTAGAAATCGAAGAAGAAAAAAACTTGTGCGTTAACGAACGACAAATCGAAACATTGACATTCAACAGCATCTTTTAACAATCCTGTGCATATAATTTTATAGAAAACGAATAAAAAAAAATGCTATAGAAATTCACTAGAATCCACGGGAGTTTGGTTTTCGTCGTTCAACTGTAAATTTAAATTGAAATTCCAGCTTGAACCGCATCTTCAAATGAAGAACATTTTCAAATTAAACCGAAACTATGAAAACCGCCAAATTGTTTCGAACGAATCCATTTCACACTCATACACTCTCGCCCGTTTGCCTGGCCAAAATCGAAACGTCGTTACAGTCAGTGCCAATATATACAACGTAATTTTATATTGACGCATGTGCGTGTACCGTCCATTGATCGTGTGTGTTCGTGCTGTCTGCACAGAGACCAGCAGCTCATGAACACACCGATATGGCTGATATCGATATCGGTGAGTGAGTTAGTGTGCGAGTGTGTGACAAATGGGTGCTGAGCGCGAACGAGAATGCATACAAAAGATACGATACGATGTGCAAAAGTATGTGTGGCGCTACGGAGACTACCGCACGCTGCAAATACTAGAAGAAAAAAAACCCAGTCGTTCATGTAGTCCGTTTTCACATTTGTGTGAGCTGTCAAACGCTTGGTTTTTATTTATGGTAATTCGAAATAAACAAATGCAAAAACAAAACACAAAATAACGCATTTCAAAATTGGTTTTTCGGTTTGACTGTAAATTAAATCCGGTGTAGTTACCGTTTTTTCTCTTCGCTTTTGCTGTCGCGTTCAACGATACAACGAAACAGCAAACGAATCGTTGGTTTTTTCTTTCTGCTTCTTCGGCTTGCGAAAATTGTATGTGTGGAAAATTCATCCTGTTCACTTTGATTCACGAAATGCGCATTTTTCTATCGGCTGGAAAAATGTGGACTTTACTTCGATGAGACATACGAAATTCGCATAGAAGTAAGAGCATAAAAATTTATTGGCATTCGCAGCAAATCCATTGACTCATATCAGATTTTTATTTTCAAGTTCAACAAAACAACGCACAAAAGTTGAAAGTTGACAAATTTTTTTTTTTTTTTTTTTTCGTTCGTTTTTTTTCGCTGTCAATCAACAGCACATAATAGAAAAAATTGTGTCTTAAAAGTCACTGCCACAATAGCAACGAAAGTTTTATCCAAATATTAACCAAGTGAACGCACCACAATTGAAAACAAAAACCGTTCGAAAAGTGTTTTGTGTCGGATTTCCTTCGATTTTTCGCCACATTTTTTTGCTTCTGATTTTTTCGTGTGACAAACGAGAGACCGTGGAATGGCTGAAGCGCATCAAGCTGTTGCATTCTCATTTTCAATAACACACGAAGGATGGGACATCAATTACGATCGTGAAGTGCTTGATTTGATTTGGGACTCAGGTGTTCGATCGTGGAAGAAGCGTTTCGCACGTTTAAGAGTAAGTAATTTTGTGTGAGTAGACATGGTTCGATAGTCCGATCTTTATTTATAATAATAAAAAAAAAATTAAATCGAACATTGCACTGATGTGATAAGTATCTACAAGATAGTTATCTAGTGCGCGCAAATTTGTGACGCAATCAATCGATGGAACAGACTTTTGCCGTCGGTTGTTGCATTTTTTTCTCTTATCTTTAATGGCTGGGCGCAAAGTTCACAGTGGGATTGATAGAACGCGTGCAGAAAATTGCCACCACAATTAATTGCTCGTAACATTTATTGTTGCTCATACAAAAACGAACAAACTTTTCAATGAGAATGCCAAACTCGTTTTTCTGAGTAATTATTTGATTTTGTTGTTGTTGTTTTCATTTAGAATGGGCTACGAAATGGTGCCTATCCAGCTCATTTACATAGTCTTTGGATCATCACAGCCATTTTGGCTGGCCTACATCTCACCGGTAAAACTAAATTCGATACAATCAATTTTATTCTCTCGCTGCTTCCCGGGTAAGTGGATATGTTTTGGCTGCACTTCATGTCATTTTTTTCGTATCAATATTCACGATTTGCAATTTTCAATGTAATTACAATCAGAATGTTACACATTTTACAGCGATACACTACCATGGCAGTTGTTAGCATGTTTTTTGATGGGTCTCGCGATATGGCTGACGATTTGCTTCGTCATGCGAAATACTTTGAAATTGTTGCTCATGTACAAAGGTTGGATGTATGAATCACGCGAAAAAGGCAGTAAAATCTCACTCACCACACAGCTATGGGCTGGAGCAACGAGAATTTTCTCCTCATGGAATACACCTTCTTTGTACAGTTTTCAAGGTTCATTGCCAAATCTCCCGCTACCCTCTGTACACGACACAATGCAACGATATTTACGCTCCGTTCGACCGCTACTTGACGATGACAATTACAAGCGAATGGAGCAATTGGCAAAAGAATTTGAAACAACCATTGCACCAAAGCTGCAGAAATATCTGGTGTTGAAGAGCTGGTGGTCGGCAAACTATGTGTCGGATTGGTGGGAAGAATACGTGTACTTGCGCGGCCGTTCACCATTGATGGTCAACAGCAATTTTTATGGCATCGACGCACTTTTCCTCGAAAATACACGCAAGCAATCGGCTCGTGCGGCCATGGGTATCAATCTTTTGCTACAATTCCGTCGTTTGGTCGAGAGACAAGAACTTCAACCGGTAAATTTTTTTCATTGGATTTTTGTCTGGCAAATTTACTAGTCAAATTGGCTGGTATTTTTTATTGCTCTACGAAATAAATTTAATATCCAATGTACTAAGTAAACTATTGTTTGGCATTGAGTTTAGATCATGGCTCAAGGATTAGTCCCGTTGTGCTCATGGCAGTATGAGCGCATTTTTAATACCGTTCGAGTTCCAGGAGTTGAAACCGACAAAATCATTCATTACATGGACTCGAATCACATCGTTGTGATACACAAAGGACGCTACTTCAAGGTTATCATCTATCACAAGGGCCGATTGTTGAGGCCTAGCGAAATTCAAGTGTAAGTACGAATCGCCATTATAAAAACCACATTAACTTAGTCTGTGTGCGATTTTTCCTCAACAAGTCCATTCCCGCTTCGTGTCATTCGGGTATGGTTTTCAATTTTTTTTTTTTTTTTTTTCATTGGAGTATTTTAATTTTTGCAGTCAAATGGAAGAAATTCTTAAATCGGAGGATCCATCGTCACCAGGTGAGGATTTGCTTGCTTCGTTAACGGCTTGGAATCGCACTAAATGGGCTCAAACACGAAATTCAATGTTCAACAAAGGCATCAACCGCATTTCACTTCACACCATTGAATCGGCCGCATTCGTTGTATCGCTTGATGACGAAGACTACGAAACCGATATCTACAAAGGTGCTCAGCTAGACTCATTTGGCAAAGCCATGTTGCATGGCAACGGACACAACAGATGGTTTGATAAGAGTTTCAATCTATGCATCGGTACAAATGGACGAATCGGTTTCAATGCTGAACATTCATGGTAAGGGAACGTTTTTTCGTCGATATTTTCTATTTGGCTTTGATTGAATTTCTAACTTGTTTTTTTCGCATTGATATTCCAATTGTATACTTTTTTATTTGTACAACAGGGGCGATGCAGCTGTTATGTCAAATGTTTGGGAATTCGTTGTGATGGAAGAAGTTCTACAAAATGGCTACGATGAGAATGGTGATTGTATTGGACAGCCTGAATTCATACCACCAACACCAAAACGAATGGCATGGGATCTAAAAAGTCCCGAATGTATAGCCGCCATTAATGAGGCAAATGCGGATGCACAAATTCTCATCAGAGATCTACACCTACGCATTTATGCGCACGATCATTATGGAAAGGGTTTCATGAAAAAATGCCACCTTTCACCCGACGCCTACCTTCAAATGGCGCTACAATTGGCTTATTACCGTGATGCTGGCCGCTTTTCATTGACGTATGAAGCATCGATGACTCGACTATTCCGTGAAGGACGTACAGAAACTGTACGACCATGCACTATCGAATCAGCTGCTTGGGTCAAATCCATGCTCGATGAAAATACAACGGTAAATTAGAAGACATTTATTTTTTTATTTTAATTAATTTTTAAATTAGTATTGAAAAATGAATTTTGAACAAGAAGTTCCATTTGAATTGAATACAAATTTGATATGCATGCGTATCAAAAGCGAACAATACTTTGAAATTAGCTAGCGTGAAAACGAAAATTGTTTACAAAAATCATTTATTATTTGTCAAAGGCTGAAAAACGCATTGAACTGCTGCGCATTGCCGCTAAACAACATCAAAAGGGCTATCAAGATGCGATGTGCGGCAAAGGAATCGATCGACATCTGTTTTGCTTGTACGTTGTGTCCAAGTATTTGGAAGTTGATTCGCCATTCCTAAATGAGGTGCTCAGCGAACCATGGCGATTGTCGACCAGTCAAACGCCGCACGGTCAAACCAATAAAATGGACTTGCGTAAATACCCAAACTGTATCAGCGCAGGAGGTAATTATCAATGCAATATTAATTGAAATCCTTTATCAAGCATAAATACATCATTTCCAAACATTCCAATTTATTTCAGGCGGTTTTGGACCCGTTGCTGATGATGGATACGGCGTATCTTACATCGTTGCCGGCGAAAATCTTATTTTCTTCCACATATCATCCAAAAGAAACTCTCCGCTGACGGTAAATCTTGTCGATTCATTTCTTTTTATGTTCATTTTCCTAAGGAATCCATCCTAAAACTTATTTTTCTAAAATTTAATCAATTTTTCCCCAATTCTCATTTTTAGGATTCAGAGAAGTTTGCAAAACAAATTGAACGGGCGCTACTTGATATCAAAGAGCTGTTCGATGGTCCAAGCAAGTAAAGAAGAAAAAAAAATGGCAAAATCGAGAGGCTAGAGCGCATTGATGAATGCCGTTATTTATTTTTGTATGAAAGAAAGAAAATCTTTAAGATTCCAACAAGTCAAAACAAAACAACAAAGCACACTGAACTATTTTCAAGAAGCGACGAAACAAGTATATTTATATTCGGGTAACATTCAGACAAATCGAATCCAACAATTTTACATTACATTGAATAAGATAGTAAAGAAAAGAAGTAGAATAAAGATGAACGCAGAAAATACCAGGCTGAAAACAGTTCAAAGAGAAAGCTTTAACATGAATTCACTCCAAGAAGTCATTGTAAAGAAGAAGGAAAGCCAAGTGATTGAACTGGATGGAACGACGCACATTCAATATTATTTCCAATCATTCACAACAAAGTGTTCAACCGCCGCATACAAAATATCGACAGAAAGAAAGTATTGTTATCTTATATATATATATATTATTGACTCGCAGAGATTAGGTTAAAAAAAAAATTAACAAATTATTATTTTCTTTTCATGTCTTGATTTTTATATCAAAATTTACATTCCATAACTAAAATACAAAAAGCAAATTAACCAAAATTTCAATGAACAAAAAAAATGTATTCGTAGTATTTGATTGGACGTTAGATGGCTTGTCTTACGAAATATTCGTGGACAATTCGCTAGGAATTTCATTGTTATTAATCGAAAGGAAAAAAAAGTACAGCTCAAAGCAACAAAACATTCAACAAAACCGTTACGGTCTATTTTCCATTGTAAAAGAGTATTTGACCTTTAGAGAAATCAAAAAAAAAGAGACGATAGACATAGCAAAAACAAAACCTAAGACAAAACATATAAAAATCATATTTGTTAGACAAAGAGAATTATGAATGAAGTAATAAAATAATCTACTAATTGTGAATTGGACCGATCAAAGAAATAAAGATTTGCGTGTACCTCAAAGAATAAGTCGGAAATGTGTTTCTCTATTTCAAAATATTTATTTCCGGCAGAGATCGATTTCGAATGACCACTCCATAACAGTCAATACAATTATATTCTATCGAATTTAAAATGTTACCTCAAATTTCGTATATTGGCGCTAATCTACACACTCACACATACGCACCAAATCTAATAGCTGTCATTCTCATCTGACATTTCTCACAACTGAAGGCCCATCGATATCGAGCAGAGCAAATGTATTACGTGCTGTGAAAATGAATTTGTGTAAACATTGAGTTTTGAATTTAAACGAAAAAAAAGTCTTTCCAAAACAAAGTGATGTTTTATCATTGAAATTCAAATTGCACAAATAAATTATTACATAAACTATTCTAACCTCAAAATTCGACGCAATTTGAATAAACAAAAGAAGAGGAGAGAGAGAGAGTAGAAAATGAACAACAGTATCGGAATGGATTATTTACAAGAGGCAATCGTGCTGGGCATCGATGTCATTATCTTTGGACTGTGTCTCAAGGGCTATCACAACCATAAGAACACTATTAAAGCATTGAAGGTAGTTCTTCACGCTTTATTTTCACAAAAATGCTTCGATTTTCACTACTTTGTTGTGTTTTATTCTAGGAAGCACCTCAGTTGGCCATCGACAAAGACCTTAACGACTATGTTGGAGCACAAAAGAACCGAAAAATCCCATATGCCATCGTTCGGGGCACAGTTGAACCGATCGGAAAACCTCTACAGAGCATTATGTCACCATCGGTGACCGGAGTATTGCAAGTGATTAAAGTCAAGTGAGTCTCACCACTGAAAATTGGTATCTACGCGATTGATGTCCATCAATTGTTTAACGAAACTTTGTTGATTGCTCAACAAAAAGGAGTTAAAGAGAAAAAAATGCCACTCATTCGAATTGCATTCCATTTTTTTTCGTAGTGAACATCGAATAACCAGAGGTTTTGCTGGATTTTGGACAGAAAACAGAAAACTATTCCATGTTTCATCAAGTGAAGTGCCATTCAAAGTAACGAACAAAGACGTTGGAATTGAAATAATCGACGCATTGTCTGCTGAAATTTTAGGTACTGAAAAAAAACTTAAACGCAATTGTTTTGACTTTTAAAAGTCTTTGTTGAAAAAAAATTCGTTACATTTTCGATTTTTCAGACTTGGATATCATCCACGACAGCTATGAACCGTCATCGTTATCATTTTTCGATCATGTATTTGGATTTTTCTCGGGTATTCGACAACGAGGTTTGCAAACCACCGAGGAAATTCTTCGTGATGGCAGTTTCATAACAGCTGTTGGCGAATTGGAATTGGATGGAAATCATTTGAAATTACAGGAATCAAACATTGGGCCAATGTTTTTGACAACAGCCACAAAAAGTTCATTAATTCGTCGATTTGAACAAGCCAAAAATGGAATGCTGTAAGCGAATTTGGATTTCAGCTTTTTTTCCCTTTTATTTAATTATTTTTTTTCAATTTGTTCAGATCAAAAGTGATCATCTGCGGTACGATTGCTGGCATTTTGACCGCAATAATTATTCGAAAAATTTATTTGCGCAAAAAGCAAGAGCGTGTCGAACGGAAATTAAAAGAGTCACTGGAAAAGGCGCGCCGTGAACGAAGGCAACAATCAAGGGCACAGCCACGTGAATTGAGAGACGATGAGAAATGTGTTGTTTGTGTTGAAAACCCAAAAGAAGTATGACTTCATCTGTTATTCAATCAATGACAATTTCACTGACAAAAATTGCTTTTCTATTTCACAGGTGATTTGCTTACCTTGCGGCCATGTATGCCTTTGTGAGGATTGTTCGGCTAAAATTAAGATTAGTTGCCCGGTGTGTAGGGCAACAATTGATAATAAATCAGTTGCATTTATCTCGTGAATTTTGATTGTGAATCAACCGCCATATAGACACAGTTCCTTAGTTGAGACGAAGTACTAAACAATCTCACAAATGAACGTTGCAATGTGTAATTTACTCAAAACAAACGAATTTGAAGCAAACGGGATCAACAGAGGTCGAATTTGCAACAACCGTTAACCATACAATATTATGTAGTTATATAAAAACCTCTTGAAAAAAAAAACTGTTGATTTTGGATTGGGCTTTTAGATGCTTTGTAAATAATAAAAATGTTGCTTTGAACGTTCTTGTTTTTAATTAGGAGGGAGAATAAAACAGTTTCGCATATGAAAAAAGTTTTGCTTTTAATATTCTGACTACTTTGTTTACGTTTTTCCGCATGTTTCCAGTTTATTTACACTTTGGCAATGGAATGAGAATATCGTCTGGATTTAGGATGAGTACATGATTTCTTTATATTTCAATTGATCTTCGACCATCATTCGGAACACTTTGTATTTTCGTTCATGATAGTTGCGAAGCGTTGGATTCGGTCGAACCACTGCACATCGGCTTGACATTCCCTTTGAGGCGGATTCCAGAGATGGGAACACTTTGGCTGAGCAGGCACCCAACATCGCCGATCCAACGAGGACCATTTCTTCTTCATCGGGCACCAACACCGGCAACGCACATGCTTCAGCATGCGTCTCCACAAACAATTGATTCTTTCGCAATCCACCACAGATCAACAGCGAATGGAATGGTTTTCGACCACTCTCTTTCAGTTGATCCAAAATATGCCGAGTTCCATACTAAAAGGGAGATTTAAAAAGGGCCATTAAGTGAAACATTTTGAAAGAAAACAAAAATTAAGTTTTCTTTTGAATCACAATAAATCGATTTCATAATCACTTACAGATAATGCTTGAATAAAGCCAAGGTAAGTAAGTGCTAAATTATCAATGGTTGACGACATGGTGAGACCACAAATCATGCCTTTGATCGTTGAATCGGCCAATGGTGATCGATTTCCGTGCAAATCAGGCCAAACGTGGAAGTCTTCCGTTAAGAAATGTACACTGCTCAATTTTTGCTCCTTAGCCATTCGGAATAGTTGATGGTTGAGATATTCAAAGACATGTCTACCAAATTCAGGTGTGAACAAAAAATGGAATTGCAATTAATTGTAGGGAATTCATCGGATCCATCAGTTCAAAAATTAACTTACAATTTGTTGGCGTTTTCAAGTGCTTCTTTATAGGCGGGATGGCTCTTGACAATGTAATCCAAAAGGAAACCAGTGGTGCTTTGGCCACCTTCGTGCAGGTAAAATCCTGGGAAAATAGCGTCTTTATATGGTCCCCAAATGCCTGAATTGAAAATTGTTCAAATAATTCTTTTTTGCATTGCAAAAAATCTTCTCTAATTGCATCTCACCACAAGCCCAAATCAATTCCTTTTCCACCGACATATGGCATGACGAAGTGCCGCAAATCAGAGCCATTTTCGATGAGATCGACTCATTAACACCCTCAGCATGACAACCTAGCAGACATAAAGCGCCGGCATGAGCATCAATCATCGATCCCGCCACCGGCGTTCCAACATTCAATCCCAACTCTCGAGCAGCTTGTTCATTTAGTCCTTGCCCAATGGCAGCACCAGGCGTCGTTACATTTTTACCCAAAATCGCAAAATCATTTTCACACAAATCTGTCAAGCCGAGTTTCTCGAAGAAATCACGGGACCATGTATGATTGATTCCATCATAGTTCCATTTGCAAACGATTGAACACAACGATCGTGTATCGTCTCCTGTGCATTTCCACGTTAAAAAGTCCGGTAAATCAAAAAGTTTGCCCACTTTCGACCAACACTGCTCATTCAGATTCGATTTCAACCACAACACTTTTGGTATCTCCATTTCCAATGAAACTTTTCCTCCAACACATTTCAACAGCTCATGTTTTGTGTCATTGATTTGACTTGCCTCTTTTCCAGCACGATGATCCATCCACAAAATTATATTCTGATTATTATCACCCGTTGTACTCACTGTTAATGGCTTATCATTTTTGTCAACGGCTACCAGCGAACATGTCGCATCAAAACCAATACCAGCGATTTTCTCCTTTGGACAATCATGAGTTACCGTCTGCACACATTCACAGATTCCCCTCCAAATATTATCGGATGATTGTTCGTAATGATCCGGCAGTGGATTCCATGTTTTTGTCTCTTTAACTTGCACTTTGTGAACACGGCCAGTTGAATCGACCAGCGCAGCTCGACAGCTGCCTGTACCAACATCAACACCAACAAAATATGTTTCAGACATTTTTATTGAAAACAAAACAAAACTACGAAAATTAGAAAGAAAAATCACAAAATTTGCACCCAATATCAATGAGACAGAACGTAAAAATGAAACGAGAAAAATCGTTTCGCACAAAAAATCGAGCAAAGATGCAAATCAGAAAGTGAAAACGAGACGTTTGTACATATTCATGTTTTGACTACGTTTGTTTAAGTGCGTTTAACGTTGTCGACAGTAGGCTCGACGATTGCGGATAGAGGCATCAACAACTTAACCGTATGTATGGTTTTGTAACTGTTTTAGTGTTTATAAAGTATGTGTGTTTGTAAACGAAATGCTGGATTAATGGGCTTTTCAGCACGACTGTGAATAAGCGATCGTATTATTGACAGCAGTGCAAATGCAACTCAATGATTTTAGTCGTTATCGAGATAAACAAAGTTTCTTTGTATGTACTTTTCTCCAGTGTAAATTGGCTAAAATCGATTGAGATGCATCCATTTCAAGAGCACATTGAACTGGTTTTACTGTAATGACCTACGATAACTTAATGAACGATAAGAATGGAGTCTAGTATTTGTTTGTGTATCTCAGTTCGGGTCTTGTTATTCACTCCAACACATTTGTCGATGCGTGTGTCTGTGTTGGTGTTTTATTTGTCAATACAAAAAGTTGGATTATATTGATGATTGCCTATCAATACGTTACCTCCAGTTCAATGTCACACAATTGGCAACAATTCCCTTCTTCTCAAAACTTTCACACGTAGACCACTACATATTTTCGCGCCGAACTCTTAGACGCAAAAAAGGATCCACAACTGTCCCATGAACACACCGCATTTCGTTGGGTGGCCAAAGATGATGCAATTCAATTGACCAATTTTGTACACTTTACCAAAATGGTTAATCATTTCAACGAGAAAATTGATAATTTATAGCCAGATTTTGTTTTCGATAAACTTATACGGATTAGAACCCTTTTTAACAAAAAATCCGATCAATTTATTCAAAAAAATATGTTTAATAAAGTTTATTGTTATATTCTACAGAGATCAAGTTATTCTGAATGCATTTTACCACTTCATTGCCGTCTATATAGCCTAGTTTACAGTTTTTAAGAAGAAAAAAACAGATTGCAAACATTGTTGGTTGTCACAGTTTTTGAATTCTATGAAAAAGTTTTAGTTGATACAACCAACAAAATATTTTTGCATGCAAAAAATCGCGCATGTCCGATTTGAAATTTTGTGCCGATAAAACTAATATGATAACACCATAATTTACGCCTACCCAATTGAAACAATCCAGATTATATTCAATCTTCAACCGAAATAGATGTTCATTTCGTTTGATGTTCGATTTTAGTTTACATTTTTGTTGCATACATTGTAATTTGCATTCATTCTAGTTGTTCAAATTGAAGTGATTTGTCTCATCCACAAAGAATTTATTGGTAGCGAATTAAAAAGAAAATGGGACATAAATTCAGCGCGATTCTTATTTTTTTGGTGGGCTATTCGAGTGCCGGTAAGTTGAACATTAACTGTTCAGTGGATATGGCACCAATAATTATTTCATACCAAATTCTAGCCAGTGTACACCTACTGAGCAATTCATTGACAACAGATGAATTCCAAAATACTGTAACGACTCATGGTTCCTTTAAAGACCGGGCTACCGATACAACCACAAGCACTTCCACAACACCGGGTAAGAGTTAAAAGTACAGTTATCCTGAATGCATTTTTTTCGTTCGATTGGGATGAAGCAAATTTTTCGGATGGTTTTTCCTTCTGTTCAAATCGATTTTACTTTTTTATTGCAAAAAAAATGGTAACATTGTTTTCACTGTTCTTTTTCTACTTCCATTGTGACGTTAAAAATGGGAAAAACTACTCACAAATGCGGCAAAGGGATGGATTGGTTTTTTTTTTCATAAAAATTTGTGATCAATTGAAACATCCACCGACTTTTAACAAGGGAAAAAAGAGAATCAAATAATTTATTGTATAAAAAAATAGTAAATGTACATTTCGATAAAATCTAAAAATTGGTTTGAGGTGGCGGAAAATTAATTAAAAAAAGGTATAACAATAATTGAAATTCTGATTTTTCGGTTATAATATCTTTTTCACTGCCCCTTATCAAAACTTAATTGTGTTTGTTTAGTTTTTTTTAGTTTTTTTTTTTGTTTGATTTTGTTGGTTGCTATACCGTACTCTTTAGAATAATTAATTTTGCCTGTTTTTATTTACTGTTTGCTCTTTTTTCGTTTGCATGTGAGAATATGTGTGTTTATGTGTGATTGGCATTTGAACTGGATCACTCTTCATGATTTTTGATTCAAAATTTATGTTCCGTTTTATTATAATTCGTAGAAAAAAGATTTACACAGTAATATATCGACATTTTGTATCAATTTCAATTTTTTTTCTCTTTTTTTTTGTATTTTATCGACTTATGTTTCATATTTTATCGACATTGTTTGAAACAATTTGTTTCCTTTGTATTTTTTTCTCTTCACTTTCTTTTCATTCATTCAAATCACCTAGTAATTAAACTATAACCGAAATGCGTGACATGCGTCCAAGTGTTTTTTATGTGTGTGTGTTGCGTGGTTCGAAAAACGAAAAAGGAAAAACATGTCTCAAGCTGCCGCACATACAATTATGATTCCCATTAAAGTATTTTTTCAACGCCCCGGTGTATAATATGCGATATTTGGAACCCGTGCTTTACACCTTTGACCACGAACATGCTGTCATGGACAGAGCTGATACCCTGAAATAGAAAAGTATGTCTTATATTATAATAATTTTGACGAAATGATGAGAAAAAATTCAACAGATGCAACAGTATTTATTATCTCTTTGGAATTAAATATAGAATGCACATAAATGTCTGGTTGTTCCTTTTCGTTGCAGTATCGCGTTAACTATAGAGACGATTGAGGCAATTGCCTCAGGGCACTACGCATTTGGGGGCACCACAAAGAGAGAAAATGAAAAAAAATGTTGATGTTTTGGTGTCCCTAAGAAAAATAATCATGCTCTGAAAAGCTGTTTATGGTGCCCCATAAAGTGCTGTTTTTGAAAAGAAATCTCGCTTGCTACCGCTCGCATTAAAAATAAATAAATACAGGAAATTTGCGCACCGCAATAATACCTACTGTTATTTTTTTTTGCTGCATGTTGCATATAAAATTAAAATCCAGACTTAATTAACTTATATTCAATTGAATCTAGATAACCACTTTATTTTTCTTCGGTTCTTCAACAAAACAAATTCTTCTATTATTTTATCCATATCTAAAGAATCCAAAACTTCGTTTTCAATCGACATCAAGGCAAATGCATTCAGTTCATTATCCGTCCGCAATGTATCTTTTATGTATTTTACCTTCGAAAAAGAACGTTCATCTGGCACGTTTTTAATGAACAAAGATGTAAAAATTCGCAGCATAACATCAATATTCGGGAAAACGGCTTGAAGTTGTTCTTCATGGATTTTCAAATGGATTGAAGCGTGCGAAACAAGAGTACCGGAACTTTCGAAGAAATATTGTTTGACGATTTTGCATTCAGAAATCAATTCGTTTGCATCAAGACTATTTTCATAGAAGGATGCAATTTTATTACAAGCCTTTTGAGATTTGATCGATGTTCAATTTGTTCAATTTAGTTATAAAACTAAATTTATCGTTTATTTGAACATAACTTCCAATTCGAGTCTTGTCGTAATGTCACGAATAGCGAATTAAGAAGTCTCATTGCGATTGTGTGGTGTGTATTGCCACTTCGCTGTTGAAAATTTACATCCTCAATGGTGAATATAAAACATGAAGAGTGTTGAACTTTGTACTAATATTTAAGTGAAACATTTGAAACAGTGTTAAAATTGCAACTGATTTAAAAAAAAATTCAAAGGGCACCATTTTGCCTCAGGGCACCACAAAACATAAACTCGGCACTGGTGCATATTCCATCGGGAGAGGTTTATATAATCTCTGCAAAAACGCAATAGAACGAGTTTCAGTTTTAAAAAAATCAAAGAGAAGGAAATGTTCGAATTTTTGAGCACAGAAAGCGAATGAGCGAGAGAAAGGGATGAAGATAGGGAGCAAGAGAACGAGAGAGTGAGAGAGAGAGAGAATACATTTTTTTAAAGCAACAATTGTTGGTTTTCTCGCGACCATAAATCAACAAAGAAGATCTAAAAAAAAATATTTCACTGATAACGCAGTGAGATACTTATGCGTCGAAATGATAAGTATTAATAGTTAAAGTACCTGTAACTCATCGGCGATTTCGTCGGCACCATGAAACTCTTCATCTTCATCGGTAAAGATAGACCCCACAGCATTTCTGCTGAAAAATTCTTTTAGTTCTTCCTTGTATCCATTCACCGCCGGATAGAACAGTTTTAAAAACTTCATGACCTCATCTCCATCAATGTCACACATTTTTACAAACGATATATTTCGAATTTGAAAAAGGTTTAAAAAATATAAGTTTGGCTGCGATACTGCCGTACTGAAGTTAGATGATTGATTGGTATGTTCTTAGTGAAAAGTAAATCAAATCACCATGCGGCTTTACCTTTGAAAATGCAAATGAATGTACAAGCGAAATAATGAAACGTGCCTATTCACTTAGTAGACTTTTTGTATTTTTATCAAAATTAAACTTACCCGAGTTGACGTATGCCAAGAAAAGCTGGTTATCCTCGACATACTCGTCCAACCCAGTCGCGTGCAGACGCATGTTGTCTTCTTCCTCAATGGACCATGGATGTGTACCGACTCGTTGGGTTGGAACGTCTGGCTTGAATACACATGCCCCAAGTTGACGAAGGCACATGTTCCAAAAATCGTCGTCGAATAAAAATTTGCCAGTCTCGATCGCCACTGGCTGACGAACGCCTCGGATAACGGGGCGGGCGTATTCATGAACAATGTTCAGAAATTCCTGGCTGCAAGACGGACCCAAAACGGTCATCAACAACTCCGGCACGCAGAGTGGCAGGTCATAAATTGGCGATCGTAAAATGTTCGAACATTTCAACATAACGTTCATATCGGACAGCGGCTTCGGATTTTTGGCTGCTGAGAGCACCAACAAATGGTTGGTGATCATGCCCTCAGACATGGCCAGCTAAATTGAGAAATAAAATATGTGGACTTTTATTTTTTTTGCTAAAATTCCACTTTTTCTATTCATATGAAAACTCTTCTAAGTAGACTTTTTGAAACAAAACTAAAACTTACCGATTTTGCTACGAAATTTATGTCGGATCCTCCATCTGCTGCGGTTGTTCGGTTGATGCGGTCACGTAGCTGCGTTTGAAGAGATTTTTGAATGACCATGCTATCGGGTTCCTGGTTCAATTCAATCACTTCGGCAATTTCACATTCGCTGTTATCTTATTCGTACGGCATTGTTCAATTGCAATGTTTCAATAACACAGATAAGGATAGGGTAAAGAATTCGTGAGTCAAAGCGAAAAAAGAAAACGCACCGAAATTAGACAGCCAGCGGAACAAAGTTCGAGTCATAACTTTAAGGCAAAGCGACAAAAATTGTCTGAGGACTCAGCGCGATTAACAAGATCGAAAGCGAGAAAACACCTTGCCGAGAAAACACAACATATCGTAAGCATGAGGGCATCCGAACAACTTGCAAGTGATTTCGATTCATCTAGTAGTGACTTAGAAGCAGTAACGCAACTGACGTCAACGATAAATGAAATTTACCGACTACAAGAAAAATTTGAAGAAATAATTTCTTCCGCAAACCGCATCAAACCAAATAAATCAATGTGCATTATGGAATGTAATAGGGAAAGAGCTACCGTTTTATTGCCATGCAATCATCAGCCAACCTGTAATCAATGTTTTGTTCTTTTTAAGGTGTTCTTGAGCGAGAAAAAGACGAACGTTTTTTGTCCGATTTGTAAAGTTGACGTATTAACTCATATTGCAGTGAATAATGATGTGTAATCCAATGTGACGACTAATGATTCACCTTTGATTAATTTGTATTTAGTATTATTTTGAAGAAGAAAAAACTTATTTCCACGGAATGAATGCAAGACGAAAATGAGATTTGGATACAATTTGTTTTCTTTGGGGGGAACCAAATGAGAGAACAAACGCGTTGAGAGCGTACTCGATTTTTGCCCGAATCGAAATTCAGCACACTAACAACAGGAGCAGCAGCAGCAAGCGGAAACCAATATATTTTTGTAAAAAAAGATAGCCAAATGTATGTCCCTAAATGGAAATATCTCTAATTGAACACCAGCTGGTCCAATTATTGCTCCAAATTGATGTCATTTTACGTTGAAAGGAACTAAGCAAAATGTGTTACCAATATTGGTCGAAAAACAATCAAAATGACCATAACAGTGAGCAATGCTATTTCAACAGATTTAAACCATCTCATTTGAATGGATATGGATGAGAAACAATTGAGCCACATTAAAAAGATTTCATCTGAAATAAATTTATTCATAAGGGAATCATTTAAATTTCCAAAGCAAAATCGAAATTCTTACAACAGACTTAAAGCTACATAATCAAAATGAATCTCAAAAATCGGCTGACTATGTCGTGACGGTTGAAATTTCCATCACATTTTGGACTCATTGATAAAAGCACCCCAAGACTATCAAATTAATCACCATTGATGACAAACTTAATTTCATTATCGAGCCCATTTTTATTTACGTCTTTTCAATACGATGCAGTTGTTTTAAACGAGAGAGAAAAAGACCAAGTAATAAAACATTATCAGTATTGTTGAGACAGTCAGAAGCAATGCTTGATGATGATGTTGATTCATATAAATTTATAAATACAAAAATATTACAACAAAACAAATTAGGTCATATGAATAAAATAGCAACTGCAACTGCTATATGCCAATAACAACTCCATTCAATATTAATAGCGGTCTATTTCTTGATTTTTTTTTCCGTTTGTATAGAATTAGCGGTAAAATTTCATTGAAGTTAATATGATGTCAGTACACGATGTTCATCAAAAGATGAATGAATGAATGAAATTTGCACTCTGATGCAAATGAGGGTGCATAACTGAAATATTGATTTGGAAATAAGAACCATTACTGTTAGAAATCAGGACATTTTTTCGCTGTGTTCACTGGGAGTCTATCATTGATATGATGTAATCAATGGGCTGTAACACGGCACATGTATACACAATGGAGTGTGCAAAACACAAACACAATGTATGAAAAAAATTATACACAAATAAGCTTCTGTGACGATTTTTCACGCAGTAAACATGATCAATATAAATACAAAGCAATGAAAATTGCAAACGCTTTCATATGTTCATTCAGTAAATATTCAATTTATAACGATGAAGTTTACATTGTTAATTTCTACTGTTGCAATCGTGTCATTCTCTATTGCAGTTGATATTCACCATCAGCGCTCAACCATAAATCTGACGCAAACGTTACAGGGGAACCAATCAGAAGCTGTTTGTAAAATCAATGAAAAACCATTGAATTTACTGGAAATTAAACAAATGCATACATTTTTGGAAAAATCTTTGAAGAAAAATGTGTTGAATTACACTTTATCGCCGGTAACAAAACCCGGCGACAACTATAACTTTATGCTACAGTCACTTGAAGTGAAACTACTTCAAAATGATTCATTTGAAGTAATAATAATTTCAATTGCAATGAAATTATAATATCGTAACCTAAGTGACAATTGTTTAATTTGCAGATTGACACGCTAAAATTGGTATGCAAAACACCGGCGGGCGTTTCAATAAGTTCGTCACATTCAAAGCAATTTTCGAATGAGATGCACTTTTATTCAGTCATAGTTCCAGCAATTGAGCTATTCGAACAGAATGCAAATGTTCCGAAAACTGAACGAATTGATGCATTTGTTCGTTATTTTGGTGCTAGACTATCCTTAGATTCCAGTGAGATTAAAAAAAAAATCAAAAGTCTAACTATTAGATTGAATTTTCGATAAATTCGTTAAAATATCAAAAAAAAATTCCATTTTAGATGTTGAAAGTGCCGATGGTGATGCAGTCATTCTATTGGAAAATGCAAAGTCACTCAATTTCGCTTGTCTGGGTAGAAGAGATAAATTTGATAAAGAGCAAGTTTTAGCCATTTTGAAAGTAATATCAAATTGAAAGAAAATTTAATATATTTCACCTTCAATAGATTAATCGTTTCCCATTTCATTTCACAGAGATTGGCCAAATTGCATGCACTCACTATTGCTATGCGACGTTTAGAGCCAACAATGTTCTATTCGAAAGTGGATCCTCATTTACACACACGTTATAACGGTTCCTTTCTTGAAACACTAATCAATATTACTGACGTACATTCATTTCAATCGAAATTATGCAAAATATGTTTATAAAAAACTTTTTTTTTTGTTTTATCCATAGAAATTTGCCAATAAGTTGCCGATCACTTTTCCAAATATGACGATTGAGACGCAAAATACGATTAAAACTCAATTGAATAATTCGAAGGAATATTTACGGAATAGAAGCATAAGCTCTGCTCCAGACACACCATACACGACATTTTATCATAGAGATTTGTGGGTGAAAAACATCATGATTAAAAAAGGTACATTTTCAATTTGGATGAAAGAACAAACTCCGAATGTTGCATATGTGCAGTGATTGAAATTGTGCTAGATAGAAATATTATTGATTTTGTGAGACCAGAAAAACTAGTAAACAATTTGGACTTTCGGAGTAGCAACCTAGTTCAAAATACGAATTTATTTTGCCTGAATCTTTTTTAGATATTTTTTTTTAATTGAAACAAACCATTTAATCTTATACAAATATAGGCGGGCACTCAAAACAATCGATTCAAGTGAAAATCTTGGACTTCCAAGCCTACGATTATGACTCGTTCGCATTTGATTTGACATTCTTTGTGTTTTACAATGCCCAAATTGAAGACTTGCAAATGAATTTCAAGTTGTTCATCGAATATTACCATTCGGAATTTTTTAACACAATGCGACTCGTCGATTGCTCAATAGATGATTACACATATGAAAAGTAAGTACATTGATATAGCTATAATCTCTGTTTTTGTTTAGTACATGTACAGTGTACACATAGTTGTAATTACTCCACTGTGCTGACACAAAATCAACAATAGAATTATAACAACTTTATTTTTCGCTTTTCATAAGGATGTGGCACGAAATCAAGGACAAAGCCAAACTTAATTTATTGAAACTATATTTGTATCTGGCGTTCGATCAAATTGAGATACTTAAAAATAATGAAGTGGCAGCAAATGGCACCGACTTTTACTTGGACCAACCAACACCAGAAATCATTTTAAATCGTTGGAAATGCATCAACGATCTATACATTGAAAATGGTTTCATTTGAATTGGTTAAATTGTTTCCATAGTTTTATCTAGAATTTTATGAAGAATGATGAAATCAAATAGTCTAAATTAGAGCTGATGCAGAGTCAAAATGATTGGGATCAAATTATCAGTTTTGATTGAAAAAATGCATGCATCAAAAATGACGCAAAACATTGTTTTATTTGGTGTGTGTGTGTGTTGCATTGCTTCCAAGTGGAAAAAACATTGCAAAATTATCACAATCCAATTTATTGATTGGCAGTTTGAGTTGCAATAACTGGGAAATACCAGAAAATCGAACAATTTTAATTCGCTATTCAAAAAAGAAACGATTCTGTCTATAATCTGCCCTACATGCTCTAGAATTGCCTTATGAAAAATCAATAATTTCATTTTTGTATAATGCCGCTGCATTGACTCCTTGACATCAAGTTATCAAATTAAAACAACAACAAAAATTTGTCGGGTGTACTTTTGTCCTTCAGAAAAACCCAGAATCATTTTACATTCAAATTGAAATATCGTATAAGATGTACAGGACACAACGTACGTATGAATGTGTGAGCACAATGGAGCTAAGCAGATTAGAATTATTTTGAATTATATCACGTGGGTAGTATGACTAATATATACAATATGGGATTCGATTCAAAGTCTCATACATTTCAGTGGCCGCATCGGAAAGGACGTTAACGTACAACGATGTTATTTAGGTTGTTTTTAATTGGAATAATCACCACTAAGTGTATTGCCAGTGATGAGCAAATAGTTCACGATTCGGAAAACTGTTCGCAGAATCAGTCACTGTCAAAGTATTCATGGAGACCGGCTGGTTACATATACCAACCAGGAGTGGATGAGTAAGTGAGATTTACAAATTCGAATAAATCTATGGACGTGATTAAAATATCAGTTAAAATTACACAGATTACATACAGAAATCGAGCAATTTTATGAGCATATGCAACTAACGCCAGTCGAACGTGCACTACGAACAAGAGTCATCGATCGGATAGAGTCTTTGGTGCAACAAGTATGGCCCAATGCAGAAGTGAAATTAATTGGTAGCAACGTTTTAGGGCTAGCGTTACCAAACAGCGATATTGATGTGATGATTGTAAATGCTTCGGGACCCTCGCCAATACATCAACTAGCTGATAAACTGATGGCCAGTGACATTGTCGAACCCAATTCGATTCAAGTCAGAGACACCCTAAGAGTACCAATTATTGAGTTTACGGACGACGAAAGCAAAATCGACATTGATATACCATTGCATGATGCAGCTACATTGAAAAAGGCCGCACAAATCAAAGAATATCAACGCAAATATCCCGTTTTATCGAAATTGGTTCTAGTTTTGAAGCAATATATGAAACTACGTGGTGTCAATGATGTGTTCACAGGTTCGGATCAATCGATTACAATATGAACTTTGATGTGATAATGAATTTGGCTTTTCTCACAATTTGATGTATGTTTTACAGGCGGAATATCATCACATCCATTGACATTAATGTGCATCAATTTCCTTCAAATGCATCCAACGTACAGAGCTGACGAAAATCCAAATTTGGGTGAATTGCTCTTGGACTTTTTCGAATTATATGGTAAAAAGTTCGATTATGAAAATTATGGGCTCACCATAAGGAATGGAGGTCAATATTTACCAAGAAAGGAGCTACCATGTGGAATATTCAATGGACATTACCAGTTATTTTGCATTGAAGATCCATTGGTATGGGTGAATGCTTGTGATGACGCATATCGTGCATCAGATGTGCGACAGGCGTTTAACGATGCCTATAACATCCTGTCATCGGCCATTTCTGCCAATACTCGAACTAGCACAAGCGAATGTGCAGATAACACCATATTGGGCCGAATTATTCATGTTACGAATGATTTGATTTCGTTCCGAAACTGGGTTCGAAACAACTTTGAACATCTTCTGAAGAAAAATTGAATCGAAAACTATACTGCGGACATTGTACTAGCTTGTCTTGGATTCAGAATATCAAACAAACCAAATGTAAAAAAAAAACACTTTGACTAGCTCCAGAATAAAGTCTTTGGACTAAAGCTTGCCGACAGCTTAAAATACATGGAAATAAATATGTTTCATTGAACTTCTCTTTCTAACGGCTGAATTGAATTGTGCTTTTTTGAATAAATCATTTGACTTGATCGAAGCGCCCCCTCGATTTTCAAATAATTATTGCCTGTCATTGAAGAAGTTTTGTTGACATCAACTCTAAATATATTTCTATTGTTATCAATGGTTGCAAGTATTCTATCGATTGAGAAGCTTTTTTTAGATATTAGAGATACGAATTTGCTAGAAAATAACCAATTATCAGGTATGGTATAGAAGATTGCATAGCATTTACAGTAATAAATGATAGATTCACGCAGTGTCATCCATTCCATTCTATCAATTGCATTTGATTAGCAGTATTATGGGTAAAGAACGATCAGCTGGTTTTTTGATTTTTCGTCGTTCAAATTCGCAAGTCGAGTATTTGTTGTTGAAAGCATCCGAAATGGGTATGCATTGGGGACCACCAAAAGGTAATTTTTCTGGTTTATTTTAACATTGGACTTTCATTCATTTAACTCATGAAATTATCAATTGCATTTCTGTGCACACTTAGGACATGTTGAGCCCGGTGAGGATGACATCACCACTGCTGCACGAGAAACACGAGAGGAGGCCGGTTACTCAATAGATGATCTATATATTCATAAAGAGCCCTACAAAATGCATTACAAAGTTAGAGAAAATGATAAGACGGTCGTTTATTTTCTCGCCGAACTCTTAGACGCAAAAAAGGATCCACAACTGTCCCATGAACATACCGCATTTCGTTGGGTGGCCAAAGATGATGCAATACAATTGACCAATTTTGTACACTTTACCAAAATGGTTAATCATTTCAACGAGAAAATTGATAATTTATAGCCAGATTTTGTTTCCGATAAACTTATAAGGGTCAGAACCCTTTTTGACAAAAAATCCGATCAATTTATTCAAAAAAATATGTTTAATAAAGTTTATTGTTACAGAGATCAAGTTATTCTGAATGCATTTTACCATTTGATTGCAGTCTATATAGCCTAGTTTACAGTTTTTAAGAAGAAAAAAACAGATTGTAAAAATTGTTGGTTGTCACAGTTTTTGAATTCTATGAAAAAGTTTCAGTTGATGCAACCAATAAAATATTTTTGCATGCAAAAAATCGCGCATGTCCGATTTGAAATTTTGTGCCGATAAAACTAATATGATAACACCATAATTTACGCCTACTTAATTGAAACAATCCAGTTTATATTCAATCTTCAACCGAAATAGATGTTCATTTCGTTTGATGTTCGATTTAAGTTTACATTTTTGTTGCATACATTGTAATTTGCATTCATTCTAGTTGTTTAAATTGAAGTGATTTGTCTCATCCACAAAGAATTTATTGGTAGCGAATTAAAAAGAAAATGGAAAATAAATTCAGTGCGATTCTTATTTTTTTGGTAGGCTATTCGAGTGCCGGTAAGTTGAACATTAACTGTTCAGTGGATATGGCACCAATAATTATTTCATACCAAATTCTAGCCAGTGTACGCCTACTGAGCAATTCATTGACAACAGATGAATTCCAAAATACTGTAACGACTTATGGTTCCTTTGAAGACCGGGCTACCGATACAACCACAAGCACTTCCACAACACCGGGTAAGAGTTAAAAGTACAGCTATCCTGAATGCATTCGATTGGGATGAAGCAAATTTTTCGGACGGTTTTTCCTTCTGTTCAAATCGATTTTACTTTTTTATTGCAAAAAAAAATGGTAACATCGATTTTTTTCCCAATCTAACGGTTTTTCTTTCATTTTTCGTAGAGCCAGTGATAAACAGACATGAACGAACTCTGATATTGCTTAAACCAGACACTGTGCAGCGTAAATTAGTTGGTAAAATAATTGAACGTTTTGAAAGCAAAGGCTTCAATTTGGTCGGTATGAAATTGATTTCGGTAAGTTGATTCAAATGTCTGTCCAAAATACCGTCAGTTTTTCTTTCTTCTGTTTACATCATATTGGATTTAAAACAAAATACACTTTTAATAAACTCAGGCAACTGAAAAGATGATCGAGGAGCATTATAGCCAATACAAAAGCGGTGCAATCCATGATAAATTGATCAAATACATAACTTCGGGTCCCGTTATTGCAATGGTTTGGGAAGGTGCGAATGCCGTTCAAATAACCCGCAAGATGATAGGATATTTTCGGCCAGAATTCGCAGAGCCAGGCACTATTCGTGGGGATTTTAGTTTGGATACAACATTCAATATTATTCATGGTTCATGTTCGATCGAGACAGCAAATAAAGAGATCAACATTTGGTTTCAGGAGCATGAGCTCATTGACGACCACGACTATTGACTGAATATCCATAGATTTGCTTCTGGAACAAATTTTACTTAATCAATAGTTCGATGTTATTCAATATGACATATCCAAATATGCAATGCAAAAATTAATTATTTTTATTTATTTCTAGATCGAGATTGAGAGTAGAGTATAAATAGTGCTGATGCAGAGTCAAAATGATTGGGATAAAATTATCAGTTTTGATTGAAAAAATGCCTAGGGGAATTTAACTCTTACGAGTTCAGCATGTTTTTTGCCAGTTTGCTTGATTCGCGGGAGTTCGACGCGTTCCTTGTACGTACTGACGCGCACGGTCACAAGTTTACACAAGTTTGTTTATGGTTTTGCGCGTTTTTCAAGTTGTTATTTGACAATTAAAACGCGTTTCAAGATAAAAATCGGTTGTTTACGTGTATAAAGATTTTTCACATCCTTTCCAAAAGTTCAAAGATTTATATAATTATAAAATGGACAAAGGAAATATTTTTAAAGAGCTGGAGAAAGTGTTGAAGAAAAAGTTAATCCAGATATAATAAATGGAACGACTGATGTGTGCGCGTCGTCCAGCTACAAGTTTGCACACGAACTCGCGCGCGTTCGCGCATGTTGTTTTAATACGGAACTTGTCAACTGAGTGGAATCATGCAAGTTCTCTGGTGAATGTAACAATTTCGTGCGCGTTTATATCATTTTTTTACAAGTTTTCACGTAGTTAAATCCCCCTAGAAAAATGCATGCATCAAAAATGACGCAAAACATTGTTTTATTTGGTGTGTGTGTGTGTTGCATTGCTTCCAAGTGGAAAAAACATTGCAAAATTATCACAATCCTATTCATTGATTGGCAGTTTGAGTTGCAATAACTAGGAAATACCAGAAAATCGAACAATTTTGATTCGCTATTCAAAAAAGGAAAGGATTCTGTCTATAATCTGCCCTACATGCTCTAGAATTGCCTTATGAAAAATCAATAATTTCATTTTTGTATAATGCCGCTGCATTGACTCCTTGACACCAAGTTATCAAATTAAAACAACAACAAAAATTTGTCGGGTGTACTTTTGTCCTTCAGAAAAACCCAGAATCGTTTTATATTCAAATTGAAATACCGTATAAGATGTACAACGTACGTATGAATGTGTGAGCACAATGGAGCTAAGCAGATTAGAATTATTTTGAATTATATCAAGTGGGAATGAGAAAAAATTGAGCCACATTAAAAAGATTTCATCTGAAATAAATTTATTCATAAGAGAATCGTTTAAATTTCCAAAGCAAAATCGAAATTCTTACAACAGACTTGAAGCTACATAATCAAAATGAATCTCAAAAATCGGCTGACTATCTCGTGACGGTTGAAATTTCCATCACATTTTGGACTAGTTTATTTCGTTGATTGGCCGAAGCGATTGTGCCTACTTGTTGGTCCAAGTACTTCTTTTGGTATTCCACAATGAATTTGTTGCATTGCATTATGGTAGCGCCGTTGTAAAGAATGCGATATTTTACAATATGCTCGCCGAGCTGCAGAGGATAAATCGAAATTGTGGTTAATTCGAAAAGTCAACTATGATGCCATTCATGGATTCATTTTTGAAAAGAAAAATGTAGAAAAAATGTCTTAGAAACGAAGGTGATCACGAAAAAGGTACTTACAACTGATGTCAATGGTAAAATGCTGGTTACGAATCGATGGATGCGATGTTTCACACGAACGATTGCGATCCTAGTCCGATCATTGCAGTATTTACACTTTAATCCAAATCGAATTGAAGCTGCGCCCAAATCTCCGTAGTATTTCAGCACCGATTTGGTGATGGATGAATAAAGAGCGCTGTCGGAAAACGAAATGCTGCCGGCAATTGCTGTTTGTGGTTCCACTTTGACCACCACGTATCTAGGAATGGAATATCAAATTATGAGGAAAAAAACGTTTAAAAACGTTCAATTAAACTGAAAATAAAATGTTTTGAACAAAAAAATTCGATTCAATACCTGTATTTCACTCGAACCATTGTGTTTATTGTTTGAACTTCATTCGATCAGCACGCACGTTGTTCGTTTGTTTTGGATACGATTCAACTGTCAGTATGACATTTCACATCGCTATTGTGAATGAACCATACAAATCGTGTGGGGAATATGGTGAATAGAGAGTCCTTGTGAATGGATTATGTTATTTTTAAATCATTTGACTTTTCACTAGAAATTGTTTAATTCAATTCCATTATTGTTCCAATTAATCGCTTCAATTAAAGCAGATAATGTTAGATATGATACTTCAAATGGTGAATGTCACAAGATTGAGCCATCTCATGTAAATACTTCACATGGTGTTTGCTGATAGCAGAAGATTTTTTATTGATGCAATAAACATTTGAGGAATTTCATCAGATATCCGTTACGTCGACTACGTTGATGATGATGATTACCTATAAATAATGGACATGAAAAAAATCGACAAATGAAGTATTTCGAAGCGTATTTATTTTTGATTTTATATTTATTATGAATTTTCATTAGAATGAGACTCTTTTGTCGATTTTAAAATGATTAAGCAACAAACATTGCATATCGATTTCGTATTGTTGATGTGACGGAGATGATTCCATCTCCGTGTTCATTATTACGAGATTTTTTGTCGGATATTTTCGTCCGTACCGTTTAGATCATTACCGTTTTGTGTTCACATACATACTTATTGCATCTTTCCACGTCTTAGGAGAAATTGTAGACGATTTCAAGTTTTTTGGATCGTCAATAGAGGCTAGAGGATTTGCAAGATAAATTCAAGTTTGCATTCGGTGAAAATCGGCTTATTGAAAGTCCATTCGAAGATCCTTTAATTTTCGATGGCATCAAACTATTGTAATGTCTTTACAACCGTCTGGATTGTCCCAATTACTTTTTCGTGTTTACCTGATTTAATGATTTTTTTCTACCTTCATGTCGAGTCATTATCAAACAGGAGCAGACTTTAGATCGTGTGCCCGGAGAATGAAATCAGTTACATTTTGGTGCTCAACAGAAAAACAGCATCAAACGGAGAACTTTATTCAAAACCATTAAAAACGTAAAAAATACGAGAAAAAAAAATCGAAAGTAAGCGTTTTCCATTGTGTTAAAATTGCGTTTGTGATTTTTGTGAATAAATTTTATTTTCTTCTTCAACTGTCAAAAGGTATCGAAATCCGCTTATGAAAAAATGATACTAACAGATTTGAATATCGATTGCCTGGAAGGAATCCTGGAGCATTTGGAATTGGTTGATCTTGTCAATGTAGCTGATTCGAATGAACGACTACGTCATGCTTCGAAATTTGTTTTTGTTCGAGTGGCCATCGATTTATGTGCAATAAACATGATTGTTCGAGAGGGTGCATAATAAGACACCGATTGACTGCACCCTAATAGTGCCAATAGACGTTTCGGACTTCCCAGACAGAACTCAAAAATATAACAAATAACAAAATAAACATATATCCACTTACTATTTGGTTGATATACAAAATAATTTCATTATTTTTACTCTGATTGTACTAATTTTGTCTTGTTTCATCACTGTTGGCGTACTGAAAACGATAAAATTAACTAAAATTATTATTTAAAATTCATGAAAGTTCAATGAAGTTCGAAATCAGGACTGTGAAAACATGTAGAATATCGAGTCAAACGAATGTCAGAGAAGAGAGAAAATAAAATTAATAAATTGAAATGAAAACGATTGTAATCATTGTTGTTATTTATAATAACTTATTATCGGCTTTTTATTTCTGAGTCATCATTGATTTTAATTACTAGAATAATGTTTGTTTCATCATAAATGGTGAGAAAAATTAAACTTAAAGGTATTGAAGACCCAAATGGTTCTGAATTTTTGAAAACCAAATGCATCGCAACTTAACTCACAACTCAAATATCTTTAATATCTTCAAGTTTAGATTTCCGAAGCAAACATTATACCAGCATAGATTCGAGAGGCGAATATTCCGGTATAAATTCAAAATGCAAACACACTTGCCTCGAATATTGACCTTAGCTTCTATTTTTACATGGAAATCATCTGCATAATTACCGGTATTATCCACACACCGAATTAAATCTGTTTCGAATCAACTCGTTGAAAATATGGCCAATGAATAAAAAGAGAGATAAGTGTTATCTAATATTTGCTTTCCATTTCCAATGTCCTTTTCATCCGCATTTGAAAACCGGTCGAGAAACATAAGAAACAGAGAATTCTTTAAAAAAAAAATAAACGATCGTTCATGTTTGTTTCTGCATGTTAAATCAAATACCCGCTTGGGATTCCCTGGAAAGAGCCTTGACTACTCGTGTATAACGCGCGTTCGTTTCGTACTTCAGTGAATTGCATGCCGTTCGACGAACGGATAAATATACAACGGTTATGCAAACATATTAATTGGTGATAGCGGTGGTTTTGCGAAGAGAAAGAAAAACACGCATAAATAACCGCAATTCGTCGAAAAGTTCTGTTCCGGCAATCGGCACGAAATCATGAAATGTGATGTGTAAAAGAAAGCTGAATATTCGAAGAAAAAAAAACTCGATGAGACCTATTTGCCTCAATTCATTGTTTATGTTCTGGCGTTTTTGACCGTGTCAAATGACTAATATTACATCTGTTTGGCTACAATCAAGCCATAAACATGACACGCAGATAAAAGGTGACAATTTATTAGATGGCTTTTGTGAATGAACGAATTGCGTTGATTTTCCTTCAGATGTTCCAAGGAAAAGCGAATGAATCACATCGATATTCTGTCAAGTGGCATTTTAGCACGGTGAAAGATTAGTGTATCAAAGCGTTTGATGTGGCTTCTAATCTTTTGCGTGATTGTATTATCATTGCGCACAAAACACAAACGTTTGTAGACGATCCAATGTGTTGATGAATTTCGTCACTTAGCATTTGTCTTAAATTTGATGGAGAAAAAACTCCGCAAAAATAAACCAAAAACCGACAAAAAGAGAGAGAAAAATATTGAAAATTTCCCAAGAAGTGATGGTGCGACTAACGTTGACGCCAAATACTCTCGATTTTCAAGAAATGTCGCGTATACGCGCCAACAGAATAATAATTTATTAAATTGGGTCTATTTTTAATGAATACGGTGAATTTTCGGTTGCGACGAGCGCTGGGAATTCCTCGAAACGTGTTTTATTTTATTTTTTTCATTGAAATAGGCGCACCGGACAAGCGCACAATCACCGACCGACGCAAGTGTGAGTGTGAAACGATCGTGATATTTGGGTATTTCATGGAAATAATATGCTGATTTGGCGCAAGAGTGGGGCGCACGTATATAAAGCTTTGCGCCGATAATGGTTGACTTATCAGTAAGCACGATACCGTCGACATTGGAATATCTATCTAACACGCAAAAAGCGGACAAGCGGATGAGACTATTCAAATAACACGCTACGACTATTTTTAGTTGAGAATTTGCATGTGATTTTAGACGATTTCTCCCTCGATATTGTTTGTGAATCAACGAATTGCTTTGCAAGCTTTGAATTACCTTTTTTTTCCATTTCAATTGCTGTATTGAGCAATTGTGTGTATCTAGTGAATCATCCAGTTCAAATAGACTGCGCAAACGTTTATCATCTGAAAAAAAAAACAACGAAAAAACCAGCGAACAAAAGAAAATTACGTTGAAAAAGATTGTGAATCAGTTGTTTGTATAGATAAAATAAACGCTGAAGTGATCATCCGGCACACACGTACAACGGTAGGGATACTAAAAATTGAAACGAAAATGGTTGCGACAAATTATCTGAGTGAAACAAAGAAACCAATGGTCAGCGTTGGGCATAAAATTCGTGCCGCACTTTGGTGTGCACAAGTGGAAAAGCGGCTAATTATTGGATTAAATGAAGCAGTGAAAATGTTATCAAAGGCACCAGACAATAGCCTGTTTTGTATATTGGCTCCAGCCAAAGGAGACACCTCGACCCATATTCAAGAAGTTCTACTGGAGGCCTACTGCTATGAAAACGACATTTACATGGTTAAAGTGGATGCAGCTGAGAAATTAACACGCATTTTGGGCACACGTCAATCACAAACATGTTGTTTAATTCAAAAGTCAACCATAAATGCCGCCGATATCACGGCCATCGAAGGTGAATTGATTGATTACTGCGAAGAAATTTGGAATGAAACGAACGTTACGCCGATCGCTCTACCGTGAATTAAGACGCATTTTAAGTGATGACTTTGATGTCTTTGGGATTATGAAAAAATACACAAATTCTATTGGAATTTGCTTTGAACCATTCGATGAAGGAATTCATATAATTTTTTTTTCTTCTTGTATCATCGTAAGGAAATTTTCAACGCGGAAATTTTTTTTTGAATAAAAAAAAACGTTTTTGAATTGAACGCACAGTGCGTCGTCGATCGGCCGATGTTGCATACATTTTTCATATATTAAATGTGACATATTCCAAACACGCTCTTCTTCACACCATCGCAACAAATGAGCAGCGCTGAAGTGCTTACGCGTCACAATTGGTTATGCAAGAGGCGAACGACAAGCGCGCGCATTCACGTACTTTTCAAAATACGTCAATTGGTGACTTTTAATGAATTGTTAATTTATGTTAGCTATTATGTCGCATCGATCGATTCGTTTTTGTTATTCGATCGTTCGTTTTTAAGAAATCATCCAAACATTGTTATTATCGTTTCGTTTAGGTAAAAAAAAAATGAATAAATAGAAAATGTTTTGTTATGAAAATTATGCTGTTTTTTATTGAACCATTTTATGGAAAATGTAAGAAAAAAAATTATAACTTTCGCTAATCATGATTAGATTTCCCCTTAAAAATCATATAAACTCATGCACACAGTAGTTGCTTGGCTGCCCAAGCTTCTCGGCACAAAGGATTCGCATGAATGGCTTTCTGCACCAAATGTTTACTCTTTGTTGGGTTTATGCATCGCATCGCTTCACTCGCCAGAACCAGCAGCTTGGCCACATCCATCGATGACATTTCCCTGAATGAAAGTGCAGTAATTTCAATTTTAGGTAATTCTTCTCCAATGTTTTATCTCTCTTCTGTTTGACTTACCGCTTCGAATGTTTCCGCTGCATGACAATAGTTCCTTGAACCATTCGAGTGGCGGCAGTCGAATGCTTTTCGTTCTTTTCAATATTGTTCAGGAGATAATTGGCCAACACTTTCCGCAACAATGGTTTATCGGGGAAATTGTGGATCTGTGAGTACAAATAGTTGAGCCCTTTTGCCTTTTCGTTCTGCAAGAAATGATTTTTTGTTTGTTCCAAATGTGAAAAAAAGGTTAGAAAAAGGTTGTGGTCGGCGTTCATAAAATCACACTTGGTTTTCTTACCCGTTTCAAGTATAATTCGGCTGTTAAAAATGCGATGTGATGACACCAGAGATCATCGCGTTCATACTCCTTCAATTCTTTCAGTACCAATTCGGACAATTCAATGTCATTGTGAAGAATGCCAAGTGCGCATGCTGACAAAAGTGCTTCGATTGGTCGGTTTTCTTGACCAATACTGCAAATGAAACATATTCAATCAATTTTCTCAATCCAATCAGAGAACGTGTTTAACCGAGAAAAATAAGGCAAATCAAAGCCATTTATTACCATTGAAACAGAACGGATTTAGCGTCATTTTCACCTTGGAATGCATAGACCATTGACGACAGCGCGACTAAAATGTATAATTTTTCTGCATCATTTTTAGCCAGACACTCCAGCGCACTTTCGTAAACGGCATACGAATTTTCATATTGTTTGGCCTTGAAATGCGAGTGAGCCAAACCGATTGTGGAACGGAATGTTGCTTCCGTTACATTCTCGAATGCTTGTACAGCTTCAATAGGTCGATTGTCTTTGAGTAGGCTGTACGCTAAGTTGCATAGCATTTTATCTCTGGAAACGAGAGCAAGAGAAAGAGACAGCGTGTTAAACATGCGAAATTAGAAGCACGGCATTATGAGAGAACAAAAAAATAACTACCGTTTGGGTGATTGTTCAATTTGTTGGGTAGCCGCTTGAAAAGTGGGAATTGTGATGCGCCAGTTGCGTTGATTGTGATTTAAATAGCCCAAAAATGATAGCGCCTCCGATGTTATGTTTGTTTCATTTGCATTACTGTACCAGGTGATTGAGTCAATTGCCGATGAAATGGCATTCAAATGCTCAACATAGTATTGTGTACGCTTTTGATTCTCCGAATCGTTGAGTAGCGAACAAACCCAATAGGCGTACTGTATGGCTGACTCATCGTGATAGCCCAGTGTAATTGAGTGTCGAAGCAAATCGATTGTTTCGTTTGGTGCCAGTATTTCAGCGACTTGTGCTTGACCGGTCCATGCATTTGCATACGTGGGCTCGGATTGTTGGGCTTGCTTAAATGCCGTATTTGCCAATTTTATTTGACCCTGTGATAAATACAAAATGCCCAAGTTTGTCCAGGCTACCGCCAATTTTCGATCCAATTCCAAGGCCTTTACGAAACAATGCTGCGCCAATGGCAAATTTTGCACATCTAATTACAATTAGAAGGAAAAATGAAGTTAAAATTAGATGCAAAATTTATTTAAATCAAGAAGATGCAATTGAACAAATCGCATATTGTTCACGTGGAATGATTTTGATACCTTTTGTTGTGCAAATGACTCCCAATAGATTCCAGTATTTCCATTTGTGTGGCGCCGCTTTAATTATATGCTTTGCCGCTTCGGCGGCTAGATCCAAATACTTTTTACGCGTCTCACTCGTTCCATATTTTATTGAACGATTGTAATAATTCAATGCGAGCTCGTACCACAGCGATAAATCGGACGCACTTAATTTGATGGCGCGGCAATAAAATCTGAGCGAGAAATAATCAAGCAGCAGAGTGGAAATTAGTTTTGTTTATTCCATTTTTTCTTCTCAATTCGAATCATTTGGATTGTTACGAAAACTCAAATGATCTCAGATTTAATTTCGTTTCTTTTTTTCAATAGAAAAATTCAGAAGAAAAGAATGAAATCATCATTTCGAACGAATTGAAGAATCACAATAGGTGGAAAAATCTTAATTTTGATGAAAATCGATGAGTGATTGAGAATAATTGAAGATTCTTCATTTATTTAATAATTTCAAGATCATAAATAAGAAGTCTCATTACCTCGATGCCAATTCGTATAGTTTATCACCGCAAAGCGTAACAAACTCATCGCTTTCATTTGCCAACGAGCCAGGAATGGTAAGCACTGCCTTTGAGATTGGCAACGCGGCGATGAAATCGAAACAATTGGCTAGAATACGCCACAAACAGATGAAATTATTTCGTTTTTCGATGGCGCTGAGGAGAAGCAAAGTGAAAATTTAGTTAATAAAACTTCAATCGAATGTTCTAATCGTTTCAAAAAATCAATCTAACCTAATCAAATAGCGAATCGCTTCTTCGGCATGAACTTTGCTTCTGCCAACCAAACGCTGTTCCAAATAGTAGTTGGCAATGCCGAGATGTGCATCGGCTATTCCCTTCAGTGCCGGCATATAAGTGGGATGATCTTTCAGTACATTTTCATAGGCCAAAATAGCATCCTTGTGCAGTTTCATAGTGGTTAAAACATTCGCCACTTGCAACTGTGCATAGATGTTATCGTCGGCCAATTCACAAATCTTTCGATAGACTTTGAGTGCCGAATTGTACGAACCACGTTTGAGATACGAATCGGCAAGACCTTCCCAGCTGGCAAAATGCAGGGCATCCATGCGTAAAACGGCTCGAAACGCGTTGATCGCATCATCGAATTGATTCTGTGCCAAATGATGAAAGCCCAACAATAATGTGGCCCATTTGCACGGTGTGTTTGGTATGGCTTGCGCAGCATTTTGCAAAAGTTTCTCATTCAATTCCCATTCCAAATGCTGGCGATAAATGGTGCTCAATAGAATCACACTTTGCTCTTGTTGTGGATTCAAAAAGACACATTTTTCAAAGCATTTTCTTGCCCGTTCCGCATCACCATTTTGCAGGTAAGATTTGCCCAACCAAAAGAAACAGTCGGCATTGTATGGTTCCAATTTGGTCGCTCTCAAAAATGCATTCAATGCATCGGAATAATGGGACAAATTGAAATGAGTTTCACCTAGCTGCAAAAAGTATTCACCGGACTCATTTTCAAATGATTGCAACAGCTCAAGGCATTTGTCATATTGACTCTGATGCTGTAACTTGTAGACCAACAGATTGTTGTAACGATTCACATCTGATGAAATTGATTGCAACTTTTCATCGGCTTTACTCAGTTCATCCGTTTGTATTAGCGATCTGGAAGTTAAATTGATATTTTGAATTAAATTTGGTATGGAGATTTACTTTGAATTACATACTTAATCAAAACCACTGTCAACTCAATCTTCTCTTCATCCGTTAGCGTTTCATTCTCAACCGATGACACAGCCGCTAGTGCCTCTTGGCATTTCGCCGCATTATTCTGTCCCACCAAACTTTGCAAATATTTCAAGTTTATTGCTTTGGTCTTTGTGTAGCAATATTCAGCCAATGTAAAGGCATGCAGTTTGAGGTGCGTATCAGCGAGTAGTTTTAAACACAGCGCATCGCCATTGGAAATGTTAATAGCTACAAAATAAAACGATTACGAATTGAGTTTCAAGTTGTACATTTTTTCCATGGAAATTCACGATTTGAGCTGCATCAAATGCAAAATGGAAATGCAATTCCCTTTTACCTCGATTGAGAAAGTCCCTGGCAGCCACGTAATTTTCCGTGTCATACAAGTGAATACCCTTTGCTATCAGGGCATATAATGATGGATGTGATCCGCCCATTTCAAGCACTTCATCGGCATATTCTTCGATTGATTTTGGCACAATCTCCTGTAAAGAGAACGAAAATTTGGATTTTTGATGGAATAATGCCCAATGGTCTACTTCGTCTAACGCTTTGACAACGTTTTTTTTTGTCGAAATTTTTTTTTATTGACTTCATCAAAAAAAAAAAATATTCGCAAAATTTCGTTAAAACTCACCTCAAACGGCAAATCTTTTTCGTAGTATTCATTTACATATACCCAGCATACCATCTCAAGTGGTATAAATTCCTTCGGATAAATCTCTAACATGTGAATGGCACTTTTCAAAAGTGCTTCATAATCTTTAGAATTTTTCAATATTTTCAAGTATTTGATGTACACTTTGCAATGATCACGAATGGTTTGATCGTTAACTACTGTCTCGAATGCCTTACGGAACAGCTGTAGCCAGGTTTTGTCGATATTTATGCAAGTCATATAAATTTCGACCAAACTTTTGTACGCCGATCGTATGCGCTCTTCATTGTTGGCAGTGTTATTCACTTCATTCTGGAGAATTTCAATGCAGGAGACCGTTGTTTTTGTTACTAATGCACACTCTTCCAATTGCTTATGCACTTTATCATAATTTGAACTGAAATAATGACACAATTTCTCATTAATTTGATGATGATGTTGAAATTTGAACATTTTGTATAAAATTTGATTGAATGAAAAAGTGGCTTACGGCACTCGTTGCAAATACTGTTTGCACACATTGGGTAATTCAGTGTTTTGTACACATTTTAAAAGGCCTTGAAATGGAGAGATCAGAGCATTTGGGTCATCTGTGCATTTGATGGCTTTGAACAGGAAATTCGCTGCCTTAAATTACAAGGGAATGTCACTTAATTTCCGAAATTGAACGGCCATTTAGTTTACATTGCATCCAATAAACATACCTGTGCTGGGTTACTTTCTTTATAGATGGCTCCCAGTAATAAATTGGCCGGATAACTCTTCGGATCTGCCTTTAGTACGTCCTACAAAAGCATCAAGCCACACTCAAAATACCTTGACACAAAGCAATATCATCGTTGCAATAACACTTACGTGGCATTTTTCTTCAGCAATTTTGAATTGTTTCTCAGCATACGCTTGTTTGGCATCCTTAATCAACTGTTTTAATTCTTTGGACATATTGCCAATGATACAATATCACAGGAATTCACTTCACTTTCTTACTACGACTTATATGTTGTTGATCGGCACGAAAATTGAGGTTATGATCCCATTCGAATTTGTCAACAATGCAAAATCAGATGACAGACGCACAAAATGCACTTCAGATCGGGCACCCCTGTAAAAAGAAAGTCAAGAATTTAAACTCAATTTTAAGGGTTTTATTAGCAATTTTATTTTAATCCAGTTTAAATTCATCTGCTCTATTTGTGCAATGAACATTGAATTGTTGCCCACATGTTTGCTGAAATGTGCCTCTTTCTCATGGAACATTCCAAACGTATGAAAAAAAATCAATGAAATAATTGATCCGTAAAGGTGAGAGAATAATTCAAACACAGTTGTACAGTTTTTAATACATGTTTTATTTTAAGTCAATTGATTCATTCATTTGCTCGGTTGTTTTTACAATGAACATTTGTTGCTTACATTAATGTCGAAACACCTAGTCACCTAGCATATTTCTGTGGAAACTTCAGATTTGCGACTAAACTCGAAAGTCATATTCTTTTTCTTTTTCTAAATTACGTTGTCCATTTTTTTCCTTTCTTTGTACAATGCCATCAATGTTTCCGTTGATCTGGACAATTTCCAATACGGAACCGAAATAAACACCCGAATGATGACACTTTATTCTACTAGAAAATCCAAGTGTTGGTTTACGCAATGGATAAAATCACCTAACAATATTTTTAAGTCTAAATTTGATTTTATTTCTTTAAAAAAAAAGAGATCAAATCTCAAATTTAGTTCAAAAAGCTTTATACTCGGTTCAGCAAACAGAAATTGGTCTCGGAATCGCTGGGTTTGCATTTGAGATGTGTTGTCTATTAGTAAAAATGTTTGTAATTGTTTGTTTGTTTGTTGTAAATTACTTTAGTGGAAAATCTGGAGGATTATGACTTATTCAGAGTTTTTAAAAAGTGGCAAACAACAGAGATCCGTCGTAGTCGACGATACAAAAAAAAATGTTCATATGGATTTGACTTAGGCTAAATGAATGCAACAATAGTGCTATCCTAATCGGCTCACAATTGAACTAGGTGGTGATTTGTCTGTTGGTTATCAAAATGAAACAGACTGGAATCACGCACTATAAGAATCATTCGATTTTGAATGAAAACTGCTTAAAATGCGTTGATTTCACCAAAAAAATAAGAATTATGAGCCATTTAATAATTTTCTTCTTCTTCTCAATTATAAACTACAAGAAAATATTGTTTGTTTGTTTGTTTTTTTTTTTTGCTTATATAAAATTTTGATAAAATTCAACATTATATTTATATTTTGAGTTTTGTTGGTATTATTTTCATCTTCGTTATCTTTTGTTTTAATTCTCTTTCTTCTAGTTAAAATTCATGTTTAAGCGATTTTCTTACAGGATTTGACATGTTCGAGTAAAATGCAATAAAATTGTTTTTAGCGTTTTCTGTTTATTTTTTCTATCGTCACACACGAACATGCATACACACATACATTTGCGTTGTATAGCTGATTCATTTCTACAATGTCTGTCATCCAATTTCGTTAATTTTTCTTTTTCTTGTGCTTTAAATTCTAATTGTAAAACTCTGTGTGTATGTGCTCTAATTGTTAAAGGCACAAATTCCCCTTTTTCTGATTTAATTTTTTTTTAACTTTTTTTCTCCATTTTTTCTCCTTCTTTTATTCTCTGTTATCAATTTTTATTCGATTTTTTTTAATGTTCAATCAATATGAAAATATAGAAATGTTCAAATTTCACTATAGACAAAAAAAACTAATATTTTTCATTGAATTTTTTTTTTTCTTTGAAAATGTAACAATTTTTTACTGAACGAGTCCAATTCTTTTTTTTTGTAAATGCTCTACATAATTTTATGTTTCGTCGTTTTCAATCTACTACTTTAAATTCAGTTTTCCAATTTGTTTGCGTAAAATTTGCAGAATACTCTCTATCTATGTTAATTGAATGTATTTTTTTTTAATCATATTTTGTTATCGCTTCAACAAAACTCCAATTGTCTAAATCCGAAAAAGTGTTCAGTTTTGTTTTTCGTACAAGACGAATGATATTCGAAAATAAAAAATAAATGCCTCTAAATGTGTCCAATATTTCGCATTCAAAAACTAATTGACATTGTGTTTTTAGTTTTATTTTTTCCTTAGTTTCTTTCATAGACAGTGAGTCTGTGATCATTTGCGTATGTCGTATTTGTGTGAGATTTCATGTTCATTCGCAGGTCATCTATAGTATAGCGCGACACGTACATTTTGTGGGAAGGGGGACAGGGGTAGTGCGAAATACACATAATACATTTGTTGTTGTGAGTTTAACATCTAAACAGTTTGTTCTTACATCCATTTTTTTTATCGCAAATAGAATCAGAAAAGGGAAGGAGGCCGAGCCAACCGTGTCTCCCTCACATCAAATCGTCTTGAATGTGTGTGTGTGTGTGTTTTGTTTCTTCTAGTTTCGCTGAAAATTTCGTAACTACACTTGTTAAAACATGTCTAAAAAAAATTTCGCAAACATCCTAACCAACTAATTGTTTATAGTTAAAAACTCTGTTTGTTTTCATTTGTTGAAGAATTCGGTGCGGTTTCTTTTGTATCTCATTTTGTTAATTATTTAAATATATATCTTATATTTGGCATTTATAATAAATCTCTGCATGCATTTTCAATGAGATATACAAAAAATTCATTGGATTTGCGGTAGTCATGAGTTTATTTTTGTTATCACTACCATTAAAAAAAAAAATTCCTCAACTGTCTCTCTGATTCGATTTCTTTATTTATTTCCAGAGGGAGTTTTTTTTCTTTGCTTTCGTTGAACAAACGAATGCCATTTCATTCTTCTTATTTATCGCCGATTTAGCAAATTTCATCCAATTGCACACCGTTTAGTGCACAGGCAAAGAAGAACAAACACCGCAAATACAGCACATCGTCATAATTGTTTATGAATAAATTTCAATTTTTGTTTAAATTAAACCGCTTTCCGTCAATTCCAAATATAAACGGAATTCGATCGAGTCGACAATTTTTTCCCCGGTTGCAATGATAAAATTTTGGGTGTTTATATTTGCCATTGGCCACTGGATTGGGCTCATCACAACTGTGACGTTTCATCAATTCAATTCAGTTTTCGTGCAAACATCGAGAAGATCATTTCAATTTTATACGATCAAAGCAACAACAAAAAATCGATTTCTTTGTGAAAATTGTCATTTTTCGGAGAATATCATTCAGATCATTTCTTAGCGAATATCATTGAGTAGATCGAGAGATACACAGAGCGAGAAAGTGGAATATTATTGTGAAAATTGGAAAAAGTACGATTTAAAATTGAGAAATTGAACCCGTGCGCATAAAAACGACTTATAAAAACGTCGCCGAACAAAGCGAAATACCTATTTGTTACTCGTTCAATTCGGAACAAATTGTACACTGGTATGTTACGCCGATAAATCTATGTTACGTTTTGATCGGCGATTTTTTTTGTAATTCGTTTTTATGCTGACGGGTTCAATTCAAAAGTAGTTTGGTGTTGTTGTTTTGTTGAATTCGTAACTTAATCCGTACTAAATTTTTTCTTGACTCGTGGTTGTTTTAGTGAATGCCAGTCAACATTCAAAATCGGCTGATTGCCCAAAGCTGGTGCACAAAACCACTCGCAAAAGCTTTGAACGTCAACATTACACGCCGGTTCGTCTGGAAAAAAAGTTTGACGAATGCCTTCAAATGATGAAATGCAATGGCCAAGCAACGAATCTCAACGATAAATTCAATCAGAAACAATGACTCAGAATCATCCACCCGAACATCAACTCAAACGCTACAAACAGAAGAGAAACCGTTCGACAAAACAAATACAACACAAGCAGATGAAACAATGGATTCAGTCAATGGAATTCGATATGAATCAAAACAACTCATTTATATCAAATAAGGGGGGGAGGGGTTGTAAAGAACTAAATTTCAAATAGGACATCGAATAAATAAATAGTATGAAACAAAAATAAAGAAAATGAAACAAAAGGAACAAACGAATGAATATTTTATCGCAAACTAAATGACGCGTAAGTTTTTAAGGCAATATATTTTTCACAAGAAAAAAAATATCATAAATTAACTTTACAAGAAAAATCATAAACTATTCAAAAAAAAAAAAATTATATAGATTGGTTCTGTTCATTTTTTGATTGTGATTTCACGCTTAACGTAAACTCTAATAAATTGTATCTCTTCAGAAAAAAACAAAAAAAAAATCATTTGGAACATTTTGAATGTGTGTGAACGTATACAATTTTAGGATGTTGTGATGAAACACAAACTGCAGATTTCGGTTTAATTGGTCGCGGCTCTCAATAGAAGAGCGTCACATCTGGAATCGGTCCAAAAATCGATGTAGCTGCTCAATGCTTCTAGGTTTAATGAACCCACTAGTTCTTTGGTGAAACGGTTATTAGTTTATGTGGTGTAACTGGTGAAATCTGTAATCAAAACAAATGATTCAATAAACAGTTGGCTGACTTCGAATCTATTCATTTTAAATTGAAAATACCCATAGAGGTTGATTCGCCATGAAATTCGTCTCATCATCCATAAGCGATCGATGATGGCTTTGTTGATCGATGTAAATAAGAGTGTCTTTGCTGCACGAACTCACACCTCTGACCATGGCCAGTGTATCATTTGCGGCTACGCTTATTAGTTTCGCTTTATCCGACGACGTTGAGCTGCGCTGATGGCCAAGTGATGTTGACAGTGAGTGTCTCAAATGAGCATTCCGTTCGCTCGATAGCAATTCATTGAAGTTGAGACTGCCGCGGCTCAAAATCGGCGTATATGTATGAATGGTATTATGATGATTTTCAAATGGCCATAGCGATCGTTGTGTTGGAAACGACATACTCAACGCTCCTTCACTCTTTTTAACCGTTAAATTGCGAAGTTCAACCTCGATATCAATATCATTCTCCAGCGCATCAATAGCAATCGGCTTTTTATCTTCAATTTTATACGAATCCGTTTTAATTTCTTCCTCTAATTTTGGTTCTTTGCTCGGACTGGGTGGTTCGCTGTCAATTTTCTTTTCACTTTCGATCGTTTCAATGTCAACAATTTCATCTTCATTGGTCGATTCAACCTTGACCGGCACATCGATGATTGATGATGATGACTTAACCACCGGCGAACTATCACCATTTGGAGTACTACATTCTTCTGGCGTCGTTGCTTCTTTCACACTTTCAACACTCTTCTCCGTTGCTGCACTTTCATCCGTTTGAATCTCCTTGTTTGAATGTGTTACCGTTACGGTTGCTGCTGTTGCTGCTACGGCTGCTACTGGTCCTACTTCGATTTCATGCTTTTCAGATGTTTCCGGCAATTTGTCCACATCTTCTTTCTTCGTTTCCGAGCTTATTATTGTGGTCAATGTACTTGGTTCTGGTGGCAATGTCATCTTTGACAGCCAATGTTCACTTGTACTTGAATTCGAACCTGAGCACTCGGCCGAATCAACTTTACGGCGTTGATAGAATAAAATATAAGCCTCATTGTTTACAATCTCATCTTGTACTTTGTCACTCGGCACCACACTCACGCGCTGATCATCAAATTTGTACCATTGATGATCGTATGGATTTTTGCAAGCTGCCGTATAATGACCGGTCTCGAGTGTATCACCCTGCAAATAAGAAAGAAAATGTTAAATTTTCTGTGAAAAAACTTTCTTTTTCTCACATAGAAAAACCCGAATCATTCAACCCACCTGATGATAACAAACTGCATACAAGTCATACCGATTGTTCCTTAAATCGTCTTTCAAATCTTTTCGCTTGAGCTTACGCCACGGGCTCCAATTGTCTTCAGTCATGAATCCGTTAGTATTAGTAGTGTTGGTGGTTTCGCGCGCCAAATGCGGCGACATATCAAAATTGGTCAATGGAAATTGTACGGTGGTGGTTAGTTTTGCTGATTGTGGCCCTTTGGTGTGCTGTTGCCGGAATCGCTTAAAATGAATCACAAGAATATCGGGAAGTGACCATAGACCAAGCGTTTTAACAACGGGCAAGTATTTTTGGCAATGTGGACAACGCCATGCATCCTCCGCGCTCAATGTTTCCGCCTTTGTATAATGCTCTAAACATTGTTCCAGCGTTAGGGTTGTATCTCCTTTGATTTTATTCTAAAATGAATATAAAGAGAGAGAAAAAAAAAACATGGGAAGGTCAATAAAAAATGTGGGAAAAAACTAATATTTAAATAAAAAAAAGTTGTCGTTGGGAAACTTTCACTCACCTGAAGTTGAGATACACTCTCGTGTTCGACAAATGCATCGCTTGTATCACAGAAAAATTCATCGGGTTCGTTCCATTCCAGCAGTAATTTGACATGTTGTGGGCCAGAATCAACTGGCAATACTGATAATGCTAAATCAATCATTTCGGTGAAGAGAGGATGTTCAACCTGGAATGGGAATTTAAAAATTAATAAAATTTTCGATGCGTTAAGATCAATCGAGGATTTTGATTGAGCGAATTAAGAAGGAAAAAAAAAACAAGTATTTACATTTGGTTCGATGTAAGTATCTGGATCGGCCGATGGATCTTGTAGCCGAATTTTAAACATGTCTGTCGTTGGTGTTGCATAAGTGAAAACGTCCGATTTTAAAATTGCACGCATCTCTTTCAACAAAGATTTCTGTAGTTCGGTATATGAAATATCACGATTAACTTGAACACAAAACGGTGTGCTAAAGCGTTGCACATCATTGTCTTTGGGCGATAAACGCTTGACATTCGTTAAAATTAGTGTTAATTTGGTCGTTGTATCGTCGTTAGCTGTGGTGGTGGTTGTGGTGGTGGTGTTGGTCGTTGTTGCTGTTGTTGTTGTTGTTGTGGCTGTTGTTGATTTTACCTTGCCGGTCTCATCGTCAACCGTTTCGATGCAATAAATGGAATCGTCTGGTGATAGCATTGAAATGGGCTGTGAATCACAGAATACACGCACAAAGCCGGTCTCCTGAATTTCCATTAAAACCATACGATCCAATGGAATGCCCGTATCGGCTTGAAGTTGTTCACGTAACGCAACAATGGGTGATCCTAGCGGAACGCTCAGTCCAAGTTTCACTTGTCGCGGATGTTGTTTTGCATACAAAACCGTCACAAATACAAATTGCTGCGCCAACTGCGGAAGTTGCACCGAAATGCAATGGAATGGATCAAAGGTATTGCTTTGCTTGTGACATCGTGGACAGGCCAATGATGATCGGAACTGCGCCTGAAATACCGCTTGCACAAACGAATTATTGCAACGAATATGATTGGCCAATGTTTCGGCGGCGATTACTTCATCCGGACGTCCATAGTTATTCTGTTGAAGTGGAAGAATGGAAAAAAAAAATTAGACACCGTTTCGATTGCTATTTATGGTATTCGAAAGAAGAAAAGTTTTATTAATAAGTGGAAATAGAGAAAGCAAGAGAGAAAGGGGAAAGAGCATACAAGGACTCAAACAGAGGCTTAAATAAATTGCATTGTTCAACTAAATAGCCATTTGACAATATTCTTCAGTGTCATTGACATGAATTGAATCAATCGGTTGTTGTCGTTTCGGCTCTTGTATGATATGCAATTGCAAGAGAAGAAATTGTGCTCACTTTAGCTTCGGCTTTTCAGTATACTTTACACAAAACTTGTCGACAAAGACGAGGAGGAGTATATACATTATACAAACACGCGCGAGCGTGAGTTTGCCGTTCGCAAATGCAGTCATTTTGCAATTCAATTGAATTAATTCAGAAATGTGTTTACATAAAAACTTCGTCGTCTTTTCATTTTCATTCAAAATATTGTTATGAATTGAACAGCTCGAATCTCAAGTATGCAGCAGCGTCGTCGTCGTTGTCGTTGTCGACAACAACAATGTCTGACCGAAACCGTTCGTTTTTGCCAATTTCAATCACATAAACGGCAAATGCATTTTTTATGAGCGTTTCTGTTGATTTATTGAAATGTTGGTCTTAGAATGAGCACACACACACACACACACATGTGGTGTTTTTTTCATCATCATCGTCATCCATATTTAGAAATTTATTTTATTATGATCAAAAACATTGTTTCCAATGGTAATTATTTAATTGGCATTTGCGCATAGCATAAATGAAATGGAATGTGTGTTCAACAATAAATTCCAATGGTAGTTAGTCATTTTCGCTGTTCAACTGTATCAACTGCACACACGATTCAATTGAACAGATGATTGACTTTTTGACACACAAACGATTCGATGTGAGACACTATCGACTGTTGGACTGTTTGTTCGCTCGCTTCGGTGTCTATTTACCGCAACCAGCATATCGACCAATACAATCTCCCCATTCATTTCATTTAACTAATTAAATGACAACAACAAAATCAATTATAGGTTTTTAATAGCGAATTAGTTCAATTTATGCCGGAAGATATGTTCATATTGCGCAACAAGCGAAATCTTGGTTTTCTTTCTCTTTCCCATAACTGCCTAATTTCCCATTGAATGAAAAATTCGGTTGTTTTGAATTATTGAAATGAATCGTGTGATTTTTGGTTGAGATAATTGAAAGGGAGGAAGAGAGAGAGAGATTGAGAGAGGGAGAGATAGCAAAAAAAAAAATAGAGAGTAGAGAGTTTTAATTAAATTTGCTAAGCTAAAATCTGTCGATGTAACTATTCCACTGAAATATCAAGCGCAATTCCTCCTGAATTGACCTTAAACTCCATTTCTTAATTGGCATAATCAGCGTCTCGTTTCAAATTGGCTTTGGTGTGAGCATGTGTGTATATATGTGTGAAACGTGTATATTTATAAATCGCAGGCATCGTATGTTTTCGGTCAATTTTCGAAAATACTGTTTACACACATTGTTCACCGTGTTGTCCTCTCTTACCTTGATTGGTTTGTATTTTCGCTTGGAAGCCGTATTCAGATCCTCGTGCACTTTGTCCAGCAACCAAAATAAAAACTCTTGAGCATCATGTTGTGTTGAACTACGGAATTGTGTACCATAGCGATCCACTACCGCTTTAAAACTGGTACTATAATCCGATTCATTTTTGCACGCCCATAACGCCTTCAGCACCAACGCCAGTTGCTCCGTTAGTTCGCCCTTTGTACCAAACTTACGAGAATTGATCTTGTTGCGACGCTTCAAATCAGCCTACAAAAAAAAATGCAATAATTTTTGTGTCAACAACATAAAATTATGTTAAATTTTTGCTATGTTCATTCTAAATTGAATTAAGCGATGGAAAAAAAGATGAAAACTTTGCACATAAATGAGAAAAACTCGATGGGAAAAGTTACTTCAAGTGCTTTTCTTTTTTTTTAATTTTTTTTTTGGATAAAATGCCGGCTTTCAACTTTGCTATACGCTACCTTGTATTGGTCGAGGACAAAATACTCTGCCAAAATATCAGTGTGACTCAAGCACTGTAGCACCGCATTCATGAAGCATGTATTACCGTGATTCTGCAAACCAACCACTCCAGGTATACGATGTGGCGGCCAAGCATGCCGATTCAATGGTGGTACACGTCCATTTGTGGTCGTTGTATTTGTTGTCGTCGTTTGTTTGGCCTATTGAACAAACGGAGAAAAATGAAAAAAAAATTAGTATCAAAAATGTATAGATAAATAATATAGACTGTGTTGAACCATTTTTATTTGACGAAACTTCAATTTAGTTCATTATTTGTTCGATTCATTTTTTTCTCTCTCTTTTCTTGCCTCTTCTCTTCTCGTTGTTCGTTCATTGTTCCGTAAATTGGCATAGATTGGCTTATTCGAAAATTGTTATCATCAAAATCGACGAAAGGCTTATGCAATTTCTTTATGTAGTTCCCAAATACATGAAATGGGCACATCGAATTGCACGAAACAGAGATACGATGGAACAGAAAGAGAGAAATAGAACGCGAGAGAGAGAGAGAGAGAGAGAAAAAGGGGAAAAACCGAGGCAAAAAGTATCAAAAGAGAGTTCATCGAGTGCAAGATTCATTTTGCTGATTTCCACAAAAATGCTGCCAAAAAGTGGTAGTGCAAGTACAACATCCGTGCATTTCCATATAAAAAGCATAAATTTATGAGTTTTTCAAACGAACTTTGTTGGCGCCAGCTCATTTAATTCCTTAAGAATACACAGCAGCAGCAGAAGCAACGCAAAAAAAACGAAACTATTCACTCATCCATCGTTGCGATTGGATTGTGAGCCAATAAAATTGAATTTCGGGTGAGAAAAATGCACCGAGCGAGGAAAAAGCATACGAAATAGTTCAAAATGTGTGTCTATTTACAACGAACAAAACACACCGAGAAAAAAAAGGATGCACTTCTGGGCTTATCTCTTTTCAAAGTGGACCACTTTGTGTGTGATTTCTAATATTTTAAATTGTGCAATATGTTATGCACGCTCGAGCAGATTGAAAACGAAGAAAGAACAAGGGAGAGAGAATGAGATAATTTAATGAGATGTGCAGTTAATCTTGTGCAATGATCACAAACTGGAACAACTATTCGGTTTCGGTCGGAATCGTCTGTCTCTCTCTCTCTTTTCTATCTCTTTCCAATCGGCAAATATTGCGTGTAAACAAAAGTTTTCTGCTGCTCATGTTGTTATTTTTCTTGTTGTTCTCTCTCTTTCTCCTTTTTATTCCGGGATTTGTTTGTTCGTCATGATATATCAAACTCTATTATTGTTTGCTACTTGACACGAAGCTCATGCTTCAATGTTTAGTCCATGTTTTTCCTTTCCAAACTGATCTCAATTGTATTTGCTCCACATTTTGGCACATGCACTCACACACACACGCGCGCGCGCGCGCACACACACACGTTGAACGTAAACACAAGTGCAGTGAACTTGAGAACGAGAGAAAATAAACAGATTGTACATCTCAAACTTTTCTGACCCGTGCTCGACATACACGTACACAGATGCAATGTGGCGTCGGTGGAGGCAATGGCAACGGCAAGTAGCAACAACGTTAGCGGGCGGCTCGACGCTCAGCAGATACAAAATACACAAGTGGATTATTTCATGAATGTGTGCGGTCGCATTGAAAAGTTTGAACCCAAAATAGTTTGGAATTTGTTCGACAAGCCAATAATGGACAAACCGTAGAACGAACCAACGAACCAAAAAACAAGCTACAAAAAACACAGAAGAGAACAAATGGCTCATTCGGTTTTATCCGATATCTTTATCGCTTGAGCAAATAATGTCGGTCGATTTATTTTGTACAGGAAATTTTCCAACGAAAAAAAAAAACACTCAGTTCATCATGACGTGGCCAGATGACTAAAGTTTGTTAATGATTTGACCGTGCATGAGCTGGCACAAAAGCCACACAAACTGAAAATTATTATATCATTTCGATCAGCCATTCGGCTACTGTTTCTCTATTTGGCGCAAAAGCCGAGAAACGAGAAAAAAAAATGAACGCATTCAATTCGTCCATTTGAATGAACAACGATCGAAAATGAGCAGCTAAACTAAAGGGAATCCACAGTCATTAACGAACCGAAAGACTAATTCACTGGGTTGTTTGAACCACGTGATTACTTTTGTAGCGTACAAAATATGTAGAATACTTTCGATTTTTTCTCCATGCGTTCACACAATAACAACCAGCAACAAACGGCAAAAAAAACCGTGCCATACACACAATTGACAAAGTGTTTTTTTCCCCATTGGCTGGCTGACTGATGGTGGTGTGTTATTGTTTTCAAAGTCGGTATTGTGATTCATGACGCAAAACCACGCGTATTTGTTAAACAGACTAAAATTGCCTCAGGTGAATATATCGATCGTTTGTATTGAACAATGGCAACGGGGGGGGGGGGGGTGGTACAAGAGCAGAGAATCAGAAACCAATCATTCATGTCTCTTTTTTCTTTCGTTTTTTCAACAGTTCATAATTTACTTTGGTATTAAAGATCACGTTTCATTCTATGGAAATGACTTCGACTTATAAACATAAGAAAGAAAGGAAAACAGAAAAAATCAAAGGAACTGCTTTTGTATTCAAACAATCAGAAAATTTCCTTTGGCGAAGCCGTACAACTAAGTCACACATAGAGAGAGAGAGAGAGAAAGAGAGAGAGGGAGAGAGAGAGAGAGAGAGAGAGAGAGAGAGGGAGGGAGAGACGGAGAGAAAGAAAAAAACTATATATGGAAAAAAATGCTTTTTCTCTTTGGATGAAATGCGATAACGTGCTATTTCCCTTCGCATAAATATTAATAATGAAGCGCACACGTACGATGAAGCGCTCAATCATATATTGAATGTGGCTCCAACGCGCCGAAACCGTCATGAATCGTTGCGAGTGACACGTGTTTTTCCCAAGATCGTTGCGTTCAGTTCGGAAAAGAAGTGAAGGAGAGAAAAAAAGGCATTAGCTAAAACAAACAAACAAAATCAATTGGATTGTGGATGGTTATCGATGAGCTTCAACATTTTTATGGCCACAATTTTTTCTCTTCCATTCGAATTCCTTTTTTTTGCTCTTCTCTTTCGCATTGGCTTTGGTTTTTCTCGAAGTTTCGAATGGAATGTTTTACGGTCATTTTTTTCACTGCCTTTCTGTGCCGTTGACTAATCGTCCGTTTGACGGATTAGACTAAAATCGATGATTCAATTATAATTATAACTAAATTAATTGACGCACGGTTTCTATGCGCGAGCGCAAGTTCATAAAGTAATATAGCGCCAGAGAGACTATACCGACTTGGTAACCAAATCGATTGAGAAATATCTTTGGAACCATTTCGATTATTCTGTGCGACGACCAGACCCATTACGGAAACAAAAGAATTCGATTAGTGTGTTTGAAGCGATCCATAAAATGTCGGCACCCAATGAAACAGAGAGATATATAGTCTGTGCCCATCCTAATGCATTTCCATTGTGGCGGATGCCTCAATTGAGCAATGTTATGATGGCTTTACACGCATCGCGAAAAAAGCCAAAAAAAAAATTGTCATGTGAAAGTGTCACGAAAGCTTTCGTCGGTTAAAAGATTACGTCTCGATAATACTGGCAAATCAATCGACGACACCGAATGTGATTAGCGGACATAATCAGTAAAAATCGCAAACCATCTCAATGACAAATTAATACTAAATGGATGGAAAAATAAAGTCATCATTTTCAATCTAATCAAAATGACAGGGAAAGAAAAACCACTATCAAATGGCATTTCACTTTTAGTTTCGACGAACCGAGTGCGAAGATTGAACTCATGTGTGTTTGTGTGTGTGCGTGTGTACGGTTGTGCCATGTGCGTACCAATGCCAAAGGTAAATATTGACCGAAGTTCAGTGTATCATCATATGAAACACACAAACGCACACCCACTCATACAGGTAGACAAAGTAGGACACATATAAAATGAATTAACTCCATTTAGATTGAAACTTCCCGAACCGAAAATATACTACAAACGTACCATGCACACGACCCACCAACAAACTATCCAACGCACAGCAACAACAATAACAACTATACAAATCAATATGCCGAAGAAAAATACACAATTGTTCGTTGTTTTGTTGTGGCCACATCGAAAGCGCGTTGTTTTTTCAAGAGGGAAATGGATATTTGGACTTCAACACTAACGAATTGTTGCCTCTTTTCCGTTTTCTTTTTTTCTCTCTCGATTTTATACCACACATCCACATATACATTATACACACAATTTTCATGGCGAGGAAACCTATCAAGGCTACTCGATTCGCTGAGTCATTATTCCCTTCCTCTTCCTATTTTCAGGTTCTTTCATATTTTTGAAATTTATTTTCTCTACGCAAGGCGACAGCAAAATTGCCGAGAAATTTCAATTGGATGAACGGCTGTTTCGAACGCATTTCTCCAGGTCGAAACAGGATGACGTTGGCCTTCATGCAAATTTGCTACCAATCTACTGCTTATTGGAATGCAAATATTTATTGCGAGCGAAGAACAAACGATATGTAGAGCTCTTCTCTCTGTATGTGTTTGTGCATTTGTGTGCTTGAGTCGTATAATTTATATAACGATAATGATTGCCTTTTTTTAAATACTTAGCCTCAATTTATCTCAGTCTCTAAGCAATGATAGACAATCATTTTCTGCACACATGCAAAACCAAATCGAAAACCAAATAGATAAACAGCCATTCAGTTTGCACACGTTTCATACAGTCTAGCCAATGTACTGGCACTTGGTTCTACAAATCGTTGTCGATTCTAATCTTATCACTATTAAGTGTGTTTAAAAGGAGAACGCATCGAAACTAAGTGTCTAAAAGACGCTCAAACCCAGCGATAACGTGTATATGTGATTATTTTTGTCGCTCATTTGTCGTATGTTGTTCTTCAACAACAAATTTTATATGACAATTTGGTTACCGTGACCCAAAAAGTCCAACAATAACCGTTTGATTGCTATGAAAATTGACTGGAAATATTTGTACTTTGTTTTTCTTGTCGTTTTTTTTTTCGCCAATTATTCACATTCCGATTTGAAATTGCGTTTACGATTTCAACTTCAGCACAAGACTGTGGAAGAACATTGGTCGTGTGGTCCAAAAAAAATTAAAACAATCGCTGATTTCACAAAACAATAGCAACAAAAGCTGAGAATGAGCTGAGAGATGGAGAAAAAATGTGGTTGGAATTCAAACCAGAAACAATTTCATTGGCAATTTTTCACATTTCATTTGGTGTGTCAATTTCAGGAGGCCCCTCCCCTACTTCGAATCGAGCGAGAATTTGAGAAGAAAAAAAAAACGTAAATAAATTAAAAAACAGCAACATCGCACAACAATTTAATTAAAATACTACTTCGTTTGTAGCATTAGTTCCGTCTTTTGTTTTCGAAACAGAGAGAAAGGGAGAGAGAGAGAGAAAATAGACAGACACCAGGCAACAGCAACAGCAACAGCAGCAGCATAATAACAAATTTGAAATTTTCATATTGAAATTTGCTTGGCGAAAAACAAACAATTGCACATTTTTCCTTGATTATGAATTGTGTTGGCAGTGTGAATAGTTCGCATGGAGCGTATGTTTTTTTTCTCTCCCTTTTTTCTTCTACCATTATTTCACAAACAACAACAACAATAGCAGCAACAATCAGCAAATTTATTTAGTCTTAAAAGAGTACGTTCTCAATAATTATGTTGTTGAGTGTGTACAGTGCAAAACATCGATGACTTGTGCAATACATTGCTATATAAATCGAATCTTCAAATAAGTCATCTATAAATAGATGCTGAGAATCGAATACAGAGAGAAAGAGATGGAGAGAGGGAGAGAGAGAAAATTGTAGCACAACGACGGACGCTGGAAAATCGACTCAAAATTTCTCTGGCTAAATTTATCAAAACGAATCGAACATATCTCTCTCTCTCTGTCTGCGTTTTTTTTTTGCTTCTCCTCAATGCACATTTCATTTCCGGTGGCACAGCATCACTGCCGTGTACAAAACGGGAACTCAATTTATTTGACCGACTCATTGATAAACTCATTTCAGTCATAATTTATGAATTGATTGTGTATGTGGCTCTCTTTTTTTCCCGTCGTTCATCATTCGTGTTCGGTTGCATTTTGATTTGCATTTGTGAACTTTAGCTTCGAATTTGAATGCATTTGGATATAACAATGCACAGAAGACAGCTCATGATATCAAGTTATGCTTCTTTTTATTGCTATATATTATTTTTCACCAAAACATTTTCGAATTGTTATAACATCCTCGCAAAATAAACTTATATATCAGTTTTAATTCCGATGAGAAACCGAATCGGCACAAAATCCACTCTCCACAAAATCACACAACATATTTTTCAATTGCATTCATCGTTTTTGGAGGGATCTCTTGTCTAATTCTTACGCAATTCCAATCAAAAGCTGAATAAAAAAAAGTTTCATTACATTTTCTAGCACAACAATCGGGAGTGATTTTGCGTTTTCGCACCATATCTATCTCAATGCGGTTGAATTGTGCAATTCTCACCATCAATTGTACGTTTCACATTTCTTGCATTGGCCTTGTGCAGTTGTTATTGTTGCTGCTGCCGTCGTCGTCGTCGTCGTTGTTGCCGCAGCCATAGTCACAGTCACAGTCACTGCTACTGTTGCCACTATGCCTTCAATTAAATATATTACGTGTTTACGCCGCTGGCGATTCGGATTGCACAATTTTCAAGAATATTTTATCAAGCGTAACATTAGGTAGTGATTTGTGTGTCGTGTGCTGAGAGCACATTGTGCACACAGGAAGTGCATCTTTTTGCGCAGCAAAAAGCAACCAAATCACATCCATTCAAGATGTTTTTGTGAGGCTTTGAATGGTGTGTGAGTCATCATGAATAGTGAATGAGATAGATTTTCTCTCTTCTCTTCTATTCCACTTGTATATATTCGGTTCGTGTCACATCCCATCTCAAATTAATACAATTAGCGCATATTTTTTTTAATCGATCGTTTAAATTGTCATTTGAGTGATGATTGTCTCTTGTTGTTGTTGCACTTTTCCCTCCACTTGATTTATCGTTAAAACGAGTCAACGTTTTGTGTGCTCTTCAATTTGTTCATGCAAACCTGCTTAATCGAGATCTAATCAAGTGTGGAAATGCAATCGACAATAATTGATTTGTTACACGGAACGACAATGGCAGCAACTACAGTAACCACGAAAAAAAAGAGACGGGCATTGAACAAATGTGGTGTCCAAGTTGGTAGTTGCTCACGAAACGGTGATTTATTGCATGTAACACAATCATGTGACACCTTTATCTATATAAGCGGTGATGTGAGTTCATTCATTCACTATTTTTCGTTTTGTTCGTTAAAATATTGTGCTTGTTTCGGTCAGTAGCACGTTGCATCTTGCATTGGACTATGCAACGCAACGTGCTCTTGCATATGGTTCACAAATATGTGTGTGTGTGTGTGTGTGTGTGTGATGTATGGGACAGTACTGATGTTATTTAATAATAAATGCCGATGCACTATTCCCGATCTCTCTCACAGCGAAAGAATAAAAAAAAGAAACATTAAATGCCATACATATTGATGACACGATAGCAGCAAGCATTCTCCACATACCAATTCTGTGACCAAGAGAGAGAAAAAAAGAAACAAATCGCACGAAAAAACGCACACACACACACACACACACAGTTTCATATCAAGGCAATATTAATTTGCAAGATCTATTAATCGTGACATCCACGACTCTTGCTGTGTATTTTTTGTTCCCTCTGCGCTCGCGTTTTTATTTGAACGAAGGAAAAAAATGGCATGATGCTGCCGCTTCTCGATCCGTATTTTTAATTTCTCAATGAACCCTAATAATACCATTTGACTTGATGCAGAACACGCAACAGAACAGAACAAAAAAAAACAATCCATTTGTGATGTGTGCGCACATTGCAACCTTGACGAATATATCCGGCAAGGGTTCGATATGGACGGGCAGCATGAAAGAAAAATGAAATGGTATGCTTTAATCGATGAAAAAGACTTTAGCTTGAGTGCATCATTATCAATCAAATTGGAATGGAAATTCAATTCAACGAATCCGAAGCCATAATTGAAAACGGTACGGAATTGCTAACGTATCCATTTTATTCGTATCGAACATTTGAATGAGTTCAAACACACCAAATGGTCATGTGACACACACACACAAACACGACGGAATGCCCAAAATTGGTGGGTACAATTTTGGACAATTATCACATGGCAAGAGTTGATTGTCATGCAATGCCATTCGGGGATATTATGTCATCGGTTCTTTTTTTGGTACACACAATTAACGATCACCGGCTTGTGGATAAAACCCAATTTTTACACACTCATTCATAAACACATACATAGAAAGCATAAGAAGAACAGCAGAGACAGGAAAAAAGTGGCAACAATTTCAAATTCTAATAGAAACCCCATCAACAACACACGTGTAATGGGTGCAAAAGTGCAAAATGCGGCTAAAATAAGCGTGCCTCAAAGATGAGAAGAAAAAAAAAAGAGTTTTATGTTTGCTTTAATGGTCGTTGCCGTTACGCTGTTTCGGCTAATGCTGCTAGTTAATAATTTGCGTTTGTCTGTCGTATCCGTGTATCGTTTGTACGCTACCGAATGGTATATGGTGCGATGCGAGTACCCTCAAAATGTGAAACAAAATAATTGTCATTTAAGGCGGTAAAATAATAGTAATCATGAAATAGCGCTCTTTTACCAAATATTAAATACACACGAAGCGGTTTACGGCTTCGTTTTTTCGCCAAATATTTGCGTTATGATGTGTTCATGATCGGGCGCGCACGTTTGTTCAGAATTAAAACTGCGGACGAGCGCGCACTCGCACTCGTTCAGTTTTCGCTCCTTCAAGACCCGAACTTGGGCAATTGAAATTCGAACACAATGAGAATTGTTTATATGTATCGCCATGACATGACATTTATTATGTGCGAATTTGCATTTAACTTTTTTCTTTCTTTCTTTCTATAATTCCGTTGCTGTTGTTTTTTCTCTCTTTATTTCACTTTAAAGAGTAAGTAAAATGTGTTTTCGTGTATTGTGCTGCTGCTGCTACTGCTGTTCGCGACACAATCGTTTTGTTAAACCGTGTCATTGTTTGCGTGTCAACAGTGCTTTGTTTTTCTCACTTGAATTACACTACTTTATGTGAATTGAAACCAGAAGCAATGATAACAACAACAATAATAATAATAATAATAAAAATTGGCTTCGAAATAAAAATAGATGAGAACTAAATTACGAGTACAAGTTTCCAAGTGAACTCAATACAATGTGAACATAAAGCACATTTTTCTCTCTCTCTCTCTACTCTGCCTCAGTTATCAAAACTTTCCTTGCAACAGGAGAAGACGATATCGTGAGCGAAAAGAGTGAACGAAAGAGAGAAACAGTATACAAATTAAAATACACAAAAAAAAACAACACATGACAAATTGTATGATCGTATGGATCGAGTAAACGTACGATGGATGAGCTCATCGTACGCAATGTTACACATTTTCCCCCAATGAATTACTGTGTCAACGCACAATGTGCTTGAGATACATTAAAGGTCTGCGTAACACCTTCGCGCTTAGTTAGCTAATGTGTGCTGATGCTGTTGCTACTTCGTGTATTTTGTTTCTATGCTTTTTCTTCGTTCATGTTTTGAAATGGCTCGCGCATTTATTTTTGCTTCAGTCAATTAACGGGGTGAACCAAGTATCTCGCGCACATTTAGTCCGTGCACTCTTGCTCAATGTGCGCGTGCGAGCTAATGTTTTTTTTCTTCTCTCTCTTCGTTTTGCTATCGTAAATCTCCCAAACAAGTGTTCTTTTCTGTGTGTGCACTGTGATATTCGTACTTGATGAAAATGATCCTCATTATTAACTTGATGATTCAATTGCAATGCATTTGCAAGTGCCACACACATTGCATTTCCATCACAATCGAGGTAAAACGATTCTGAAGAGCTGTTTCGTCATTCTATGCCGTTTCTATTTCGCTTCTTTTTTTTCTTTTTTCCCCGGTGTCTGTACAAATTGTGCTCTATCACTATTAATTGTGTTGTTTGGATATGCGTTTTCTCAGTGACACATACACATACTCCGCTCCCAACATCATTCTGTTTTCTGCCCAAGGAAACTCGATAAACAAAATAAAGAACGAAGAAATATATGTATTAAGTAGGCAATTACTCTACACTTCTTTTTCCGTGTTGATTCACAAATTTGATATCTTTTATTGATATACTACATATCCGTACAGGGCCAAGGTTAACTATGTTTTTAGTTATTTATCTTCCCTTGTTTGTGTTTGTCACTGTATTTGGTGTCTCTGTGTATGGGTGTAAGAGTGCGTTGCGTCTGTCGTACACCAAATCGTCTAAAAAAACAACTTTGTCAAGAGATTTTATCGCCTCGTTTTGTACATTGGCTACGACAAATTGGAAATTCCAAAGTCACAAGCTGTTGTTGTTGTTATTTGCAACAAATATTTGGAGTTTTTTTTTTTTTTGCTTCGGTCGACCGGAATGTGTGTGTACATATATTTAAGTTTAATTCTTCGGGTGCATTTTAAAAATGATAAAGTTGGGTGCGCACGCGCTCACTTGCCTCTTTTTGTCCGATATTGAATTTGGGACAAGATAAGTGGAACGTGTGCATTGCATACAACTGGCATGGTTGTTGATAACACGTTTAAATAGTTGTATTTAATACTAACGCAAAAGTGGCTTGCTCTCGATAATACAGTGACGCGAGCGCGCGCGTGAAAAAGCGCAAGCAAGCACACGATCACTCGTGCCGTCAATGACCAATACATTGCCACTCGTTTTTTGATATTTTTATTTTGCTGCTATTGCTGCTGCTTCATAAACTGCATTTCGCGAAAAAGTAGTTGCATCAAACGAGTGTGATATGCCATCGATGTATTTGTACGAATTATATGACAGACACGTACGGAAGCGACCGAGATTATATGTGTGTTCATTTTCATGGTGTCACATTCCATGTGTCCAGTCATTTAAACAAATTCTAATTTTGTCATGTACCAAAATGAAAACCCATTCAGCAAAGGATTTATAGCCGAGAAAGTCAAACAGAAACAAAATTTCTGTGCTAATTATATGCAAATATTCCCATTGTGTCCCATTGAAATTTGGCCAAAATGACCGAAAAAAACTAGATCAATGGAGGGAAATTGACACCACACAATTAAAACGTACTGTTGAATGAATGTCACACACTAATTTGTTGTTTCCATATTGAGAGAGAGTGGAAGAGTGAAAGAGTGAAACAGAAAGAGAGAGAGAGAAAAGCAGCAAAACACTAATTGGACACACGCGAAACAAAGATGACACTAAACAGAATGTGGGCTTTTATTCCGACGATTTTATACGAAAAGGAAAAGAAAAAAACAACAACATCAATATTATCGAAGAAACGAACCAATCGAACGAATCTACAATCTTCCTATAGATCTCAATATAAAAACCAATTTCATTGCATTGTATTTGATTGAAGTGAAGAAGAAAGCAGCAGCAGTAAAAAAGGAAGGAAAAAACAACAACAACAAAACGAAGGAATTGAGGAATTGACTGTGTATTAAAACTATTTTTAGAAAATGATGCAGATAGCAAACACAAATGGAGAGGGATGCGCTTCGAATCCAGTGCACGTTTCAATATACAATTTTAGTAGTTGAGTTCATCGACGTCATTTTATCAACGAAATAAAAATAAGGAGAAGACAACGACGACGACGACGACGACGAAAAAATAACCAGCGACATCAATATTGACGGCAGGAGTTTATGGCGACGACAACGACGATGAGGATGACGGCAGCAACACGGTTATGGTTTGTTACGATTCGCAAAATTACACCAAGTGTTAATTGTCGGCAAAAGCAACAACAACAAAACGCACAACTAACAACAACACCGTATCTCTCATTCGCATCTCACATGCAATCCACTCAATTACTGTGTAAATAAATCAAATTGTAATCAGTAAACTGCGATAGCAAAGTTATAGGCAGAGTCGTGTGATTAAGTCAATTTTTAAAGGCACGCTAAAATGATTAGATGGCAATTGAGGTGTGCTGGAAAAAACTGCACGAAATATCGGCGCACGGATCACGTTGCAATTGATTTACTAGTGCCGGAAGTGTTTTCGTCAAAATACATTTTCAATTGAATCGCACGGTTGCGATTCGCACCCGACACAGACATAGATATAGATAGAGACGCATTTTGCGTACCATAAAACCGAGACAATCATTGGCATGGGTAACATCATTTTTGTTCGGGGTTTAATGAGTGAGTTTTGATGGTAGGATTTGGCTAACGTGACGAAAAAACGGGATGCAAAATATGAATAGCAAAATTACCTTGAGACTAATTGATTGTAGAATGAAGCGGGTGAAGAGGAACTTCTTCCATGTGGAACGACGGAATAGACGATGTTTATTGTCTTGCTCTGGTTTGGCTTCGGGGAGATGGTGCTTCTGCTGCTGTTTTGCATCCGACTGTGACATCTGCGACGATGACGACGATGACACTGGCAACGTTCGATGTTTGTTATTTTCCGCATTTTCCATATTCAATTTGTTGTTTTGCTCATCGCAATTTGTTTGCACCGATTGATTGCAACTGATTGCTGCTGCTGATGCGGCCGTTGTATTTGCATCGATTGGCGTTGAAATCTTCGCAGCTGTACTAGCCGAACTACTGATTTTTATGCGACGGGATAAACGAAATAAATTTCTTGGCATTGAAAATGCTCGTCGAACCAGTTTTTTCTTCTCTTTGAATGCATGTGTTACGTTGGCAATTTCATTACTAATGGTCGAATTTGGTTTGGTATTTGAGTTTACCGCGGTTTTTGTATCTTGCTGCTGATGCTGTTGTTGTTGATGCTGTGGTTGCTGGTTACTCATATGGTCTTTTTGATCTTCACTCGGCATTGTTTATAAATATGTACGAAGGAATGATGGAAAAGCACTTACAAACACACTGAAAAACTTACACATGAACACATTCGATGATTACCGCACACACATACACATGGGTCGCGCGCGCGACAGCCTTTTGGTTACGGTGCAAAAACGAAAACACAGAAGAAAAATACAATCGACAACACACTAGGAACGGTACACAGAGTAAGAGTCACAGATTGTTTGTTGATTTTATTTTTTATTTTTTGGTTTTTCTCTCTATTCGTTGGTCGGATTTTCTGATACGATTCGAATCGAGGGAAGAAGAAAACAAAATCCGTACAGAGAAAAATTCAAAATTGTTAATTGGTTTCCGTGCAAATTCTCATGCGAATCGATTTCATGCAGTAGACGAGGGAAAGCATTTTCAATGAAACGCACACTGCTGGTCTTACGTTTCACAAAATCACGAGAGAGAGAAAAGAAGAAGAAGGAGAAAAAAACATACACAATTTTTGTGTATTGTAGTAGCCGATTTCTGAATTGATGTGATGGTGTGTGTCAGTGAGTTTGGCTGACTGGTTCTCTCTCTCTCTCTCTCTCTTTCGTATGTGTGTTATTTTTCTCTTATTATATTATTACTTCTTCTTCTCGTTCTTCTTCTTGTTGCTGTGTGTTGTACTCAAAATCACTTACAAATTGCTCGGTGCCGTGTTGGGCTATTGTTAAGTGACGATTTTTTTTCGCCTCTTCTTCTTCTTCTCGTATTTTTTTTTCTTCTTCTTTGCCTTGTCTTGTTTTCACTTTTCACCAGCTTTGTATTGACGATTTGTGTACATTGATTCGATTCGAATTTTTGTACAGATTTTGATGGAAAATCGTTTAATTGTTCCGTCGTTGAATTTTTTTCTTTACAGGTTACCGCTATTTCTTTTCCCCGTCTCAATGTATGCGCACGAATCTTAAATGCACATAAAACTGCGTTTTCATTTGTTGATAAGTGTTGTTAATTCTCTCTAATATCCTCCCTGTCACTCCACCAAAAAAAAAAAAAAACATTTACAAACACTGAACAGCCACGGTTATTTTTTTTCTTTTTTGTTTTATTAATGAGTTGTAGTTTGTTTTGAATTATCTTTTGCTGCAGCAATGCTTGTCTTCTTCGGCAATACACATACGAACTGTTTGTTAAATTTTGTCCAGATTTATTGTATGGATCTGTCGTATCTGATTCTAACTTTTTTTCTGCTCTTCAAACGGATTCACACTGATAGATGTTCCAATGGGCTACGATTTGTTTTGGTAGCTTGTTTTCATTCCTGGCTTTTTTGTTGTTGTTGTTGTAGATGCACTATTTAACTTTTATTGTTTTTCTTTTGCTCTCGTACTGGAATATCCACGGAAAATTTCCACTTGTGATCCACTAAGATTTTAAATTCTTTGATTTGTGTTTTTTTGTCGTTGCTTTGTGTGTTTTCATGTAAAAAAATTTTTTTTCTTCAAAAAATGTGTGATACACAAAAAACCAGTCCGAGAATCGAGTCAGAAAATAAAGAGCATTAGAAATTGGTTAGACAGCGCGCGCGGAATACACAAATACTATACGGTTACTGTTGATGTTGCTGCTGATGTGAAAACTACACTGCCAAATCAATCGAACGCCATTTTTCGTGTCGTACACACGAACTTTTCGTCAGCAAATGCTTTTCCTCGCTTGAGTGCTAGGCCATTGCGGTATCGCTCTCGCACTAAATAGGAGAAGCAGAACAAAAAAAAGAGAGTATACAATGTGTGTAATGTATGTTGAGTTCAAACACACACACATATACATACATGTATACATGCACCCACCACTATAAATACATTGATAATACCGTGCGGCGCATACGCGAGCACATACGTTTCCATCGTTGTCGTTGTGCGATTGTCGACAATCGTTGTGTCATAAATATGCGGTAGCGGCATAGTAACATTCAATTACGTGGTCTTTTAAATGATTTACCAACACATTGATACGGCGACGTCACCATCAGCGACATCTGAAGCTAGGCTTCTCAATGCAATGCCAAACTTTGATTGCTATGTTAATATTTATTACTAGCGCCGCCTCAAAGATTCTATTCAACAAAGGAAATCGCTTTTATTTAGATGGCGCTCTTTTTTCAAAAACACTTTTTTCAACTAACCAACTCGAAATTAGAGAAAGAGAGATTGAAAACGAGCGTCTTTGACGGAAATCTTTATTTTGATTTTCAACCGCTTCGATTTCATCACAAATAATCTTCGCACTTTTTCTTGACCTCTTTAAATTTTGTCAAAGGAAACTATTTATTTCATTCAACAACAAGATGCGGAAAATATTTCAAAATAAATGGAATGCGAGGCTTTCATTTCGGAATATAATTTGTTTGTAACCAACTATTTGTTTTTTCAACAACAACAAACCCATTTTCCCGATAAACTTTCAATAAAAATGAATTAATTGCCTACAGAAATGATTGATTTACAATTGTGGTTGACATGGGTGGATTGGGTTGCATAGCAGTGGAAAAAATCATGAATTGTCAACGGCCTTGAGTGCATTGACCACAAAGCTTATTTGCATATGCCCTAAATGACCAATAATTGCCAACGATTTGTTAGATTTTGTCTCGAAAAGAAAGAACGCAACGAATAAAAGCAAAGGGAAAGGAAAAATCGCGCGCCAAAAAGCATGATTTATACCTCGTGACTCCCTGGCAATCCGTATAACATTATGTTGGATGGTGAACATGCGCATAAAACACATCAACAAATGTGTGTCTCTGTTGTGCTGTGTGTGCTGGAATGTCAATACATAGTGGCCGAATTGGATTCTCATTGAATTTAAGTGGCACGACCGAGAAAGACAGTTTGCTCTGTCGAGCGAAAGAGAATCAGATAAACTATTCCGAAATGTCAACACTCAGGTAACGCAACCCTTCGACAACAGGCCAACAATCAACCATTCATGATCGATTTTGATCAGTGTGTGTGTGTTGTAAATTGCGAACAAACAAACGAGAACAAACACAAAGCCAACTCGATAGAATCGTGTGTGAATAGGCAACAATCAAATCAATTTGTTCAGTTCACCAAAGTTGCTATCAATATCAGACATATAGAAAGAGAAAAGAGTATTAATGCAGTAAATAATCAATTGAGCACCAAACCGATGACACACCAACCAAAATGTCTGGGATGATAAGGCTTTCGAAATTTGCTGCCTGGATATAGAAAGATAAGAAAAATCCACACACAGCACACCATACCCGATTAATAATAGGAAACGAAGCAGCAAAACAATAGACAAATAAAATATAGCTAGGCATTTAGAAAGTAGCGTGCGAGATTTCGACGCGTTTTTGGAGGGATATTCACATCAGCACAATTCCAAGGTATGGCAATATTTACGTTTTTTTTTTGTCATTAAGGTTTTCGCTTAATGTGGCGCTTTCCACATCGTTGCGATTCTCACATTATCTATCCAATCGGCGATTTCGGTTCTGTTCTTCTTTTTTTTTTCTTCACTCGCTGTGTGTTTGTGCACATTATTGAGACCGATAATGATGATATCGTTTCATTATCAATGTCCGTAAACGTGTTCCACCCGTGATTCTTCATTTCAAGTGCTCTCGAACAATGTAACGCAAATGATGAATAAAAAAATCAGTTCAAGTCATCGTACAGTATCAAACTGCACAATAAGAGAAAAAAAAAGTTGTGTGTACAAAGTCAGAGTGAATCGCAGTTGTCGTCGCTATTGCCTAACGAAACGGGTAAAAATACATTTTTCTGAGAATATCACACTATATCTCACCGACAGGAAATCAAGACGCTAGTGTTTGTTTGTTTGTTCAGTTCCATTGTTTTCCCATTCAAATCGACGAAAATTTCGGTGAGCTCAATGTTATCCATTTTACACATGTATACTAATCAAATTCTTATTAATTGTTCAATGTTAATCGCATCCGTTTTGAAGAAATCAATGATTTTCTCATTTTATGTTTCATTTCGTTTCAAACCGTGATAAGTGTTTAAAAGAAATCAGGATTGCTCATTGAAAATGAATCAGAAGTGTTTGTGTATTTGGTTGGAGCTACGCAATGAAAATGGGGGCCAGCTCATAATCATGGCATATTCATAAGTTTTCGAAATAAAATTTTCCTATTTTATCAGATAAATTATGTGTGTTCAATTCAAAATTAATAATAATGGCAATTCGTTGGAGGCAATCGAATTGAATATGTTCAAAACACAGTTATTAGAAATTGTTTCGGTAAAAATATGTCGATAGATGGTTTTTTTGTTGTTGTTAATCTCTGTAAGACATCGACGAACAAAAGTGAATATAAAAAAAAAAGTTTGCAAGTTTAGAGTTCGGTTTGACATTGTAAATTGAATTGTTGGCCCAAAACGCAATGTAATTACCCGCCTATCTGTCGTCAGTGAGTGTCGGAAATGAATGCGGCAAACAAAGTTTTAATTGGTTGCGTTTTGTGTGGTTTTGATTTAATGAAAACTTTTTCATCGACATCAAGCATAAAAGAACCTTCAGCTCTCAATTAACCCAATGATCCATACAGAGTGAATCAATAGGGCCGCCGCTTGATACTTTTGTTTCTTTGCCCATTGCCAATATTGATTTTCAATCATTTTTCTCTTCTTTTCTTTTCGGTCGTTTTTGTTTTGTTTTCGTTTCATCACAATTCGATTCCAAGTGAGCAATAGATAGTCAATTTTGCACGTTTTTACTATCTCTGTCGGTCAAGTAACAGCCAATCACACCATACAATTCCGAACTATATGCGTTCAATTGCGTAATTTTTGGTTGAATAAAATATTGAAATAGCATTCTTCTTAGGCTTTGTGCCACTGAAGCATTTTGTAATTGAAACGAATGAAAAAAAAAATAACTCACTCAAATTGTTTGGTGCTTTTCTGTCCAAAATACGGCGAATAATTGCGTCACACTTCATAAAAGTGTTGTATTTTTTCGTTGTTGTTGCATTCACAAACTGTTGATCGTTCTAGTCACGCAGTTTTGATCGTTGAAGAAAGCGAACAAGACTGTACACTGTACTACATTCACTACAGCTGTGTTGTGCCTGTAAGTTGACGCTCTTTTCTTTTCGCTTCTTGTATTATTCCAGGAATAAACGCAACGTGTAAATTTACAAATCAATCTAGCACACAATTTCTGCAATAAAACATTGTTGTCACTCAAAATGTACACCTGACAATTAAAAACACCATAGAATAGTGTAAGTACTGTGATGCCATCATCATCGTTGTATCGAAATTCGCTCGTTCCAAATGGTCATTATGGATGGATCGTCGTCTCTGGCACCGCACTCATCAATGTATTCAATCAAAGTTTGGTGTCCGTCTTTGGACTGCTCTATGGTAAGTGTTTTTCTGCCACCAAAGAATCTACAGTTGCCTTTTTTCGCATTAGTCAAATCCGTGCTAAAGAAAATATGTCTTTGTCATACACACAGGCGATCATCTACAGAATATGGGCCAGGGAACGGTGGGTGCAGCTCTAGTGATGAACATAAATAGTGTTGCGTTGAATTTCTCAGGTATGTACTGAAACTTTTAAATGTCATTTAATATGGTTTATGTTGATTCATTGCGTGAAATTGAGCAATTCTTTGATATCTAGAGGCTAAAAATAGAAATATTTGATTTGGAGAAATCTTTTATCAAACTACATTTTTGGTTGCCGATAAAATTTCAATTTTTTATGGAAGTCATGTTTATAAATCAACTCAAGTCAAACGTTTTGCTTAAATTTCATTTATCATACATCCTTGTATTTCTCCCAAAAATGTTATTTCCATCACCAAAAATCAATTCAACGTCATCATAATTTGTAATGTTATTCAAGGTTTGATCACTGGGCCAGCGCTGAAAATCTTTCGACCCAGAGCTGTGGCAGCGATTGGCAGTTTTTTGTCGGGTTTTGGTTTGATTTTAAGTTCCATGTCAAATCAACTATGGCAAATTATCTTTGCCTATGGACTTGTAGGTACGGTATAAACACATCAATACATTGTGATTTTTGCATTCGTTTTGCGGAGCAATAAGCGTCATTTTTTTTCTATTTATTTGAAGGTCTTGGATTGGGATTCATAAATCCATCATCGTTCATTGCAGTCAATTCGTACTTTAGTACGAAACGAGGCCGTGCCATTGGGCTCGCTTTAGCGGGTAAGGAATTTTCAACAAATTGCACAACTTTTTAAGACTTTAATTGTATCTCATGATCTTTTCGATCGTTTTTCAATCTAAAAAAAAAAAATAAAATAATTGAATCGTTTGTTCTAACAGGCACTGGTTTGGGTCAAATGATAATGCCGAATGTAGTACGAATTCTGCTGGACAACTATGGATTTCGTGGAGCGGCATTGATTATGGGAGCATTAGCGTTTCATGGTTTAGTTGGTGCTGCACTTTTTCAACCCGTTGAATGGCACATGAAAAGAATGAGTGACACGTGCTTCAATGAAAAGAAAATGCTATTGCAACCATGTCGACATAGTGCCAACAAGCATGCCTACCATGAAGTTATGGCCACCGATGCCGAAATCGACGATGACGATGCTAGTGACACCATCAGCATCGATAGCGAAGCCGTCCTTATCAAAACACCGACGTGGAAACAACGGATTGCTAAAGCATTAGACTTAGATCTACTATTCGATCTACAGTTCATTTCTATTGCCATTGGTTTGTCTTTGGGTATGTGAAATTTCCCCAAAAAATCGAATTTTGATCATGGAAATTGTTTGCCAAAAAATCTCCATTAAAACTAATAAAATTCATCTTTCAGCTTATACCGCTTCAATCAACTTTTCGATGCTCTTGCCATACTTCTTACAGGTATCGTTTTTATTGTGTATCACATTGCGGCTCTTTATCGTTTTTGATTGAAACTCAAAATGAAGCGTTAATTCTTTTTTTTTGAATCTCAACTAGGAGGAGGGTGGTTTAAGCCGGAGTGATTGTGCCTTGTGCATGTCGGTGCTAGGTAAGTGTTTGTCCAATTGATTCATTTATAGCTCAAACTAACTGATGAAACTAATAAACCGCCTGTGTATTTCTAGCAACTTTTGATTTAGCTTCCCGTTTAACATTACCAGCAATAACGGATCGATTGAAATTGTCATGTCGCGTAATATTCTTGATTGGTGCCATTTTATTGACCGTCACTCGAGCGATTTTAGCCGAAACAACCGATCGAACTAGTTTGATTGTAATGTCAGCCCTTTATGGTTATGTTCGGGCAGCGACGGTGGTTAATCAAAATTTAACCATATCAGAGTATGCAGCTCAAGATAAATTGGCGAGTTCCTTAAGTTTAACCATGATCATGAAGGGCATTTTTGTGATGACCATCGGGCAACTGCTTGGTAATTTAAGTGTTCTTTTTGTCGTTTGATTTTGATTTTTAAATTTCAATCTCTTTTTTTCCTGCTCTTAGGATGGATTCGAGATTACACTGGTAGTTATTCGATATGTTTGCACGCACAGAATGTGCTGTTGATTATTGTAATTGTGATTTGGTTGCCGGAGATACTGTACCGTAAATACAAGGGAACAAAGCGACGACAACATCCGGTGGCCATTTGAAATGAAATGCAGCGAACACATTGAAATCATTAGTACCCTCAATTTTTTTTTTCTCCATAGATAGAGGGATTCGCTTCTTGTGTTTAAACCTTAATACGCTTATGAAAAAAAGAAAACAAATATAAATCGTTATTTAGTCATTGATTTACTATTAAATCAATTTGCCTCTGTTCGTCTATCCTATTTGTCCAAAACGATGGCCAAAAAATAAATTAGTTAGTAGAAATTTATTTTTATTTTTGAAATGAACCAAATGAAAAGCAATTCTGAAAAAAAAATTAAGAATAAGAAAAAAAGAAAACCGAAATGTATGCGACGAAAGAAATTTATAGCATGGAAAATTGTCTATTTTTGTAATGTTGAGACTGAAATACGGCAACACGATGAGTTAGCAATTGTAATGGAGAAAAAGATGAAAATATGTTTTTTAATAAAAGAAAAAGTCACAAAATTCCTGTTTAAAAATAGTTTTGCTTTTATTAAATTGTAAAATTTGTGTGTGTTTTTTTTTAAACTATGGCATTTTTATCTCAGGAAGCCAAAAATTTCTGTTTGTCCAATCAAACGATTTCCAATTTTTTGTTCCTCTTCACGAAGCACCCGCAAAAGTACGCGATCCAAACATTGACCAGCCGATTTTCCAAGCTCAAGACATTTATTCAGTGTTTCCATGTGAAATGAACCGGCTCCACTCGTTCGAATGTTTGTGATATAAGCTGAAAATGGAATAAGAACAAGGTTATTTTTAATCAGTTTGAAATGCCTCTTTGAAAAAAATAAAAATAAAAAAAAACTTTGTAGCTATTTTACCATTCTCTTCTCGCACTGAAACGCCAACAACCAAACTAGCGGAACTGCAAACTTCCTCTTCGGCCGATGGATCGACAACGCAGTGTTCGCCAATCTTGCAAATTGTCACCAAAATTGGAATCGATTCCGTTTGCAATCGCACACAGTCGTATGGATCTTCGGACAGTGCCAAATCAACATTACCACCGTCCATTAGGGCTGCGGTAACCTTTGGCAATCGTGTATTGAACAAAGCACCCTTCACGGCCAACGACACGGCATCGTACAAATTGCCACCGCATTCTAAAATCTGAAATTTTTCCACCAAAATAATTAGTTAGACTCAGCTGACTCAGAAATTATTTAGTAGAATTTTAATGAGTGAATTCAAAAGCTAACAAAATACGGGAAAAAAAAGTTCGGCACGACATACCAAAACATCAACATAAAGTTTCCAGCAGCGTTGTTGTGGCAAAATGCATAGATTTTTCAAATTGAATGCCTGTCTTGAGCGATATGCACCTTCGAGTGTATTTGAAAATTCCATAGCCAACTCTTCGCCACCACGGCCTTCGAATTCCGGTGCTGCATTTGCCGAACAATCGACAAAAAAGGTGATTTTGCCTTCGTCTGGATTTTCCAGCGGTGGAATGTCAATTTCAGATTTAACCGCTACCAAAACATCTGTATTGGCCAACCTCAATCGGCATGATCCGTTTGCATGTGTGACTATTCCCGTTTCAATTTCCATGGGCCGGTAATCGCAACGAGTTCGACCGTCACAACGCAAATTATCTTCGACACCGTGTAAAATAAATGTTTTCTCAGCATCACTTATCAGTATATTCGCCATGATTTCTTGAAATTCCCCACAATTAAACGAATGGAAATGATTGAAATGGTGGAAAAGCGTCAATGAACACGAATTTATTTGTGGTTATTTTTTGACTGAACACAACATAAACATGCTTGACAATTTCAATGACAGATCACTTGTCAATCACACTAAAGCACCTCGGAACGATGTGGCCATGTATTTGTTATGCACACACATACACAGACATAGATCAGTCACAAACATAACGCATTGGTCTAATGCGTTAGCATGCGTTTGGATTACGTTTACTCACTGTAATGATGACGGCAGTTCTTTTTGAATATCGTCTTTTTTATGGTAAAAACGTACTCGATCTATGCCATTAAATTTCGTCTTTCAATTGAAATTAAAGATTTTTATAAATTAACATTAAATTTTTAAGGACGTTTTATTAATGGTACTAAAACTGCGTTCTTTTCATACAATTCATTCCAAACTTTTGCCAATGGATTTTTCCATAATGGAAATCAAATCTATTATAAATTCATCAAAATGGAAAATATTTTCATGAAATCAGGAACGAAACTGGATATGTTCGCAGTTAAAGTAGGCCAAGTAGTCCGCCACTTCATCGATTATTCGTAACGGCACCCTTTTTATCGGTTTGTTTGTTCGCTGTTGCACCTAGTTGAACGCCACTTTTTGCCGGTGCTACTCCTGATGCGTCCTTCTTTCCGCCAAGATTCAAAATGCCCAAAGTATTTCCCAGTGTATTGCCAAGGGATGAAGTAAGATTTCCTGTGGCCGTTAGTAAAGATGACGCCAGTTGATTGACAATGAATTTGCATGATGTGTCTTTGGACGATGGTTTTACGATTGCACCCCAAAGTGCCATTTGGCAGAAACTTTAATTTAAAAAACGGATTAGCTCAGGAAAATTTATAAACAATTCCGAATATCATATGCTTAAATCAATCGAAAAGTTTAAAATTTTTATTTTTAGAATTGTTTTTAAAATAAAATTTCAAAGATCATTTCAACTGATAAACTTTGTCTCGCTTACACAAACTGTCACACTGTGCCGTTCGTGTACGAATTGCTGTTAGCGTAAAAGAGCAGTTGTTCGCAACAAACTCAGTTTAGATGTTATTTTATGGAACACATCAGTTTTATCGGTTGACTGTCTTATTATTTCCCATTCAAAGTTAAAACTCACCGGAAATCTTTGCCCAGCATCGCTTCCTGTCCAATGCGAATGAAGTTGCTTTGATCCGATTTGAATTCCTGAAATGCTGCTTTATTTTTCACTCCTTGGCCACTATTCCAGTAAGCAAATTGTGTCACCAAATTGGAGAAAATATCACGAACTTTTTTATCAGTCTCATCCAACGGTTTGATATTGTTTAATTGTTTGCCGAAAATATCCCGAGCATCAAATAGATATGCCAATTCATCACCATGACCTACGGTATTGTTTGCTGGTTGTGCATTACCGACAATTGGAAGGCCTTTCAAAAATGTCGAACCACGATTGCTACTTCGGCCAATATGCTCAAAACTGTACAAATATGCGGGCGCCACCTTTGTCCATGTTTGCACCGTTAAAATTGCCGGAAGATTGAAAAGAGCATCGGTGGTGGCCTCAGTCAATTTGCTCACCACTTGCATTACATTCAATTTATCGGAAACTTTCAAATATTCACTCAGTGAAAGCACTTTTTCTGTTGAAATGAACGAAGCGAAGAGAAAATGTTGAAATGGAATGCGAATGATGAAAACTCGTAAATTAAGAGAGAAAAGCAAGCAAAAATATAAAATATGAAAGTGAATGGCTAAAAAGCATCAAACTCGAATTCAAAAACCAGCATTTCTTACCAACACCGGGCAAAAGAGTGTTCATAACATTTCCAAGCACGCCATTTTTCTTCAGAGTATTGGTGACTGAGTCCAAAAATTTGGTGGTTGTCATGAAGATTTTTTCGATCTGTTTAATATTGATGGAATTGGCGGTCTCATCGCGAGTTACACCCGTAAGTAGTGGTACCTTTTTGAACGTACCATTGCCGACAACATATCTTGGATTCTCTTCAAGGAATCCAGGAAGTGAACGATGATTCTCTTTACCTTCAACAATTGGTTGATATCCAACATTGCCATTCATTGTTCGAACCATATTTTGGCCTTGCAATCGCTCAACTTGTATCTTTGAATCCGCACGAATTATATCCTCAAAATTTCGCTTTTGAACAATCAACAAACGATTAGGGTTTTCTTTGTCAACTCGCAAGTGGTTTAATGATAGAAACGAATTTTTCATATCGATTTTTCAATACTTACAGCTCGCATGCATTTCACGATTTCCGTTTCATTTTCTCGTTGACAACTATTTATAGCAATGACATCTTTGTTGGTTTGCGTTGGTGTATCATCAACGGCATTCGGTGTATATGGTGAGCCTGACATGGCAACCACACCGCTGACCATTTCACGTGACGATCGTTGTGTTGTTGTTAAATAGGTTGCCGCTTGGGCTCCACTTCCTTGTCCCATTACGACAATTTGCTTTGGATCACCACCAAAAAAGTGTATGTATTCGTGCACCCAGCGAAGAGCCATTGCCATATCAAATAGAGCAGCATTGCCTGAAAATTCCGTTGTGCCATCGCCCAAAAATCCAAGCGATCCCAATCGATACTGAATCGGCACAAAAATTACACTTTTCGATGTTAACGACTCAGCCTTTTCGGAAAAAGAAAATCTATTTTTATCCGAGTTGATAATTTGTTTTCATTGGAATTATTTCATAATTTGAAGTTGGGAAAAAATTCAATGTTCAAAAAGAGCAACAAAAAAAAGCGAATTCAAATTACTGTATATTGATTTGCAGAACCATAACGATAACCACCGCCGTGAATCCATACAATCACCGGCAAGCCCGTCGATTCGTCCGGCATTTGAGGTGTGTAAATATTCAGCCACAAACAATCTTCGGAACCAACAATGTAACCTTCTGAATCTGGTTGAGGACAAGGTTGACCAAACACGGTGGCATTTACATCTCCTTCTAGCCGTTTAAAACGCGGACGACGATAACGATCATTTCCGATCGGCGGATAGGCAAACGGTATCGCCAGGAATGAATACAAGCCACTCAGTGCGTTCCTTTTTTAATGGAGAAGAAAAATGGTTCATTCTTTTTTTCAATTCATAAATTTTCTTTTTTTCTTTCAATTTTGGCGATTTTTCATCTTTTATACTCAGAAACTTGCTTTTTCTTCGTAATAAAGAAGACATGGTTTCTTTTGTTAATTTTTTTTTTCTTCAAACTCTTTTCTACTTTACCGATATCCTTCAACGCGCGCATCTTTGCTGTATAATTTGGTGAAGACAACTGGATCATCCGGAGGTGGTGGGGCAGCTTGAATACCACCAACAATTCGTTTAACGCGTCTGCTCTCTACATAACTTACCGCTAAAACCAAAATAATGACCCGAGTCGTTGAAAAATACATTTTTTTTAAATCGTTCTACTTCTGAACTCGAATACTTCAACATTACGACTGCCGAAAATATTTATATTTAAATTGAAATTTTTTCGCGAGCATATCCAATGGAGATATGTCTTATTTAATAAAGAAAAAAAAGATCGTCTCATTTACAGATTGTAAGCATTTTTATCGAATTGAGCGGAAGTAAACGATTTGAGACATGGCTAAAGTGAATGCCAATATCAAAAGTGGAAACGAGTGGCGAAATACTGAATCGCAAACTGGTGATAATCTAAGTATTAACCCTTTATCACATTTCGGTTCCTTAACCTTCAACTGCATAAGCCCGCCTTTTGGCGGGCATCATTTAAACACCTGTATAATGTGAATCGTACGGCGGATGACATTGCTTCAAGGGGAATTTTTATTTGTCAATGTTTTTTCTTTATTTTTGTCTTTGGCATCATTTGTCTATGTCGTACGATTGGTGAGTTATAAACAAAAATGTGCACGAAAACGAAAATTTGACAAAATAAATTATTCGGTTTCCAAATTAGACATATTTTTGACACTTTTAAACAATGGATTTCATTGTTCTCTGACTTATTTCTATCGCATTTCCTGACTAAACCATGGTAAATCTAGGATTATGAATATTTTTTTCGTTATCTATGGCCAAAAATCAACCAAATACCAGTACTCCCAGTCCTAGGAAAAATTCATACAGTTGAGGGTTAAGTAACCAGATACGCCAGACGCTATAGCTATGAAACCACTGAATATTTTTACATTCTTGTTTGGAAACAAATGTAGGGAAATGAACTAGCTTTCATTTTATACTTTACAGGCTACAATCGGCTGGCTAAATGGAAAGTTTTTTCTGTTCATGTACTGCTGTAAAAAAAATGCGAAATTATAGCAGAATTCCACATTTTTCCTCCTCTTATCTTGTGGGTTTGTACATTCTTTTCAATTGTCAAATTAGGACTCGTAGGACCAAAACACATCAATTTAACTTTCTGCATCATTAGTTTTATGAAATTTAATTTTTTCAAGCTTTTATAGTGATTTGACACTTTTGACTCTTTTCCGATTTTCTCGACAAATACGCAATTTTTCAAAAATCTAAGTATGAGGTTTTTCTCTATTTATCGTGGCACAAAACATATATCAAAATGATTCAAAAAAAAAAAATTGTGCATCAAAGGGTTAATAACACATACTTACCGTATCGTTGAAAGTTTCAACTTGAAAGTGTGAAATATCCCGCCTAAAATCCAACAACAAGTGGAAAAGCAGAGAAACGAAATCGGTTTTTGTAATTAAATAATAATTTTTATTTGAATTACGGTGCGCATTTTTTGTTGTTGTCACATAAATTTGTCAAACCGATCGATTGAATTGCCATCATTTGACAATTTCGTAAATTTACTTTGAATATTGTTTAATAATAATCGTAATAATAGTGTCGGTATAATATAATCCATAATCAATAAATCAATAACTTTTTTTCTCTATTATTTGTGTAAATTTTTTTTTCATCTCATTTTTTGTTGTTGTTGTTGTTGTTTGTAATTAAGTGTACACTGTATATACTGTATGTTTTCTTTCTTCTATTTTTTTTATCAAGTACAGTCGCCATTTGTCTGCCATGTTCGTACGCATTTCTGTTTCTGTCTCTCCACAAATTCACACTCAATCAAAAGTTGTCCGTTATTTTTTTTGTTTTGTTTGGTTGCTGTTTATAAAATCTTGTCTTTTTTCATTTGCCATTTTTCGTTACGTTTCGCACTAACTTACTAAATGAATTGTTCATGCCTTTTTGCTCTTTACAATAATCATTGTTTAATTTTTATTTTAGATTGAATCGAATAATTCTCGTTTCTTAAAGTGCAGCTAAACCAAAATCTACGTCAATAAATTATCCCTTTTCGTTTTTCCCCCGCTTTCTCTTCCAATAATCTCTGTTTGTTCATACTCTTCTTCTTAAGTTATGTGAGTAATTGCGTGTGTAATTTAAGTTGGTTGCCTTTATTTGATTTGAACAATAGATTTTTTTTTTTCGTTTGTTATTTATGTCAATCTGAAGTGCATTGGAATGATTCTCATTTAAATCTTTGGTACTGAAGAAGTATTGTGTGCTCGAAATTTGCTGAGAGAAATATTGAGAGATTGAGAGTTAAGAGAATAGAGTCGAATTATTCAGAATGATTGATCGAAATGAATATATGTTTTAGTTTGAAACCAAAAATAAATCGCTTCATTTGTCGTGTGCGCGATCAAACGTTTAATTTTCATCTTTTTCGTCGTCGTCGTCGTCGTCGTCGTTTCGGAGTACCAATCTCAGTAAAAAAAAAAAGAGAATTGAAACGGAAAACAAGATATGTGTTGGCGCTTATAAAAATTGCAATACATTTTTTCTAACAATTAGATAGAAGACAGTAAATACCAAGCAAAAAACAAAACAAAAACAACATTAATGATCTCGTCATTCGTTCGGTACTTCATTCGTCGGTACACTGTTTTTCACTTCTTCTTTTCTTTTCAAATTTATTTAGAAAAATATTCAATCGAACCAGAAAAAGAAAAACTCAGTCCAAATGATAAATACTCGTTCACAATTTTCATTCTGGTGTATCAACGTTGAATGATCTGAAATGTTTAGAATGTCTAGCCATTTAAATTTTCACGATTTCTTTAAGTCCACTAAATATAAGTAAATTTATCATTTTGAAAAGAAAAAAAAAATCAACCATTTTCAATTTAAACGTTCGTCACATATCCTAATACAAATAAATGAACCAACACATCCACTGAATCATCTTTCTGTCACATTTTGACATTTTTTTGGTCGCATTCGATTTCCCATTTGTCGCTTAAAAATGATTTAAATGCCAACACAAAAATGCGTATAAACATTTCGTTTTTAAATATAGTTTTTCTCGTTAAATTCACAAAACAGACAACACATACAACAGAATAAAAGGAATAAAGAAATTTTTTTCTCACAAAATCCATTTGAAAATTACGCAATAACAATTGGAATTTACATTATTTTGAATTTATTGCCAGTGTTTTTCGGTTTTTGTCATAGTTTTTTGTTTGTCGCTTTGTTGTTCGCATTTGTTTGAATGATAAGAGAAAAAAGCGCATAGCAAAATAGAAATTTCACCGGGGATCGATACGTGGTGTTCCATTTAGCCAGGAATCTGTTTTATTTTTACGCGGGCTAATTTTTTGTTTTACTTCTATTGTTTTGTTGCTTTGCAAATCAGTTCCATTTTCAGTTTGGTTGGTATTTCGCTAGGTTTAATTTTATCTACGTCTTTTAGTTTCGCGTATACAAAAAGAAGATGGTTGTGTTATGTGCGCGTGCGACAATTATTCGAATTTTGAGATTTTGTTGATTCTTTTTCTTTGGAAGGCGTGTTTCTGCTTGAATTTCGAAATGGTGACAACTTTTCACTCACTGAAAAGTCGATTTGATCGATTGAAAATGAAAAAAAAAGAAGGAAATTAACGTTCCGTTTGCCGCAGATCAATAAACAAAAAATCCGGTATTTGCGTCGCGAAAAATTGAAACGAGTACTCGAGTCTCGAGACTTTGGAACGAAAAAAATCAGCAAAATCGTCAATTGTTTAATTGTTCGTATATAGTAACATCCCTGAGCAATAATATTTTCTAATCGTCTGCATCAAAATCAGTGTGATTTTCCTGTGTGTGTGTCCTAGTGCTCAACCGTAATTCCCTTCATTTCTTCATCGTCGTCATTGTCATCGTCTATCGAAAAACTTAGTTAAGTGTTTCCTTTTGTTTTGTTCGCTCATTTATTATATTCTGTGTACTGCGCTATGTGTGTGAGTGTGTGCCTGTGCATTAAAGACAAATTTCAGTTATTGTTCCAAGAAGAATGGAAATCAAAAATATCTTCACTTCAAAATGTATACAAAACTATTGCTTCCACTGGACCAATGCATTGTATTTCCTTAGCAATTCTTCTGTTCGTTCTTTCCTCCTCTGGTTATTATTAGTTAAGTGCATTTAGAAAATGTTATTATGAACTTGTTTGTTTGTTTTTCTTTTATGTGGACGAAATTTCGAGAAAGTTCTATTCAAGTTTATTGAAAAAGGAGAAAGAAATCAACGGAAAAAAAAATCTTTTGGAAAATTACGTAATTTTTTTTTTAATGGAAAACGAATTGTTTCAAGTGTGAAAATAATGATACCAAATGAAAGCGTATCAAATATTGATTCTAGTTGAAATGAACAAACAGCATCGAGACACTTGGATAAATTTTAAGTTTTTTTTGTTGTTGTTGGTGGAATTTGATAGAATTCAATATCCAATTTGAGAAATGGGAGAAATTTTCGACATTGTATGTATGGTTTTTTTTAAAATTGGCGCTATATTCATATTTTTTTTTTCTCTATATGATTTGTTTTTTTTTTTTCTTTAAATTGTCGCAAAGCGACTGTAGAACAGAAAACTCAATAGATTTAAAATAGAAATTTTTGTTTTTCTGTAACGTTTTGGACAAACCGAAAAACCTAAAATTATAACGTGCATTTAACAATGTTATATATTTATATTATATGCATCTAGTTTAATAGTACATATCGAATTGTCGGCTTAACATTTTTGTTCTTGTTCATCTCTTTCATCTCGCTCTTTTTTTTTTCTTTATTCTTTCATGCTTTCTTTTTTTTTAAATGTAAATTTTTGTTTCTGTAAATTTGCTCCTTTGCTGCAGCCACATTCAACTTTGATTTTAGACTTTATTTTCTCTTCGTCCTCTTCTATTCTTGCCTTGTAAATTGTAATAATAATGTTAATAATAATTTATATCTCTATGTTTTTTTACCTACAATTTTTTTTTAGTTACTTTGTGATTCAATTTTTTTTTTGTCTTTTTTTTCGTTATCATAATCGACATAATCCCGTTCTTTTTTCCCCTTTCTTTCTTCTTAATTTTCTCTATGGATTCTGCATTCTCTGTATCCTTTATTCATTACATCATCCTGATCGCGTGTTTCATTCCATTTCTTTGTTTCATGTTGCTCATTAACGGGTTTGTGTGTGTGTGTCTGGTTGTTGTTGTTGTTGTTGTTAAATGGTTAGTTATAGTAGTTTGTTGTTTACGTTTTGTAATTCATTGGAAGGCAAAACATGTGCTGAAGTATACTTTTGGATGGTGGCGGAGGTATCTGCATTAAAGTCTCGTCATCAGCAACTGAATCATAATAATCGCTTGACCCATCTCCGTATAGCTTCATCGTGATATTTGTTCGAAATCGTTTTTTTTTTATTAAGTTTAAGGTTTTTTTTGTTTTTTTTTGTATTGTGTTTATAATTTGTGTGTGTTTGTGTGTATATTTTATTCGTTGAATTGACAAAAAAGAAACTAATATTAAACTCAATTGAAAGAAGAAAGGAAAGAAAAATCAACTGAATGAAATCTAACGTATCTTTTTTTTGGCAACGAAACTAAAAACATGGCAGAATTGCAAATAATCAGAGAGAGAGAAAAAAAAAGAGATTTAAATGGCGTACAATCAATGATGAAAAATAATACTCATAAAAATACTTGATTTTCCTTTGTTGTGGTTGCTCTAAGTAAATAAATAAATGTATCCCAAAGGAAGAAAAAAAAATGAATAAAGATTGAATTTGTGAGTGTTGGGGAAGAATCGGCGTCCGGATGAACGTTGGAATGTTGACAATGAAAACTAAAGACATACGATAATAATAAATCAAAACACTTTTCTTCTTTGATCGTTGACACGCTTGTGGTTGCTGTATGGAACAGTTGACTGAACAGCCGATGAACGGGGTTGTGTGTGTGTGTGTGGGTGTGGGTGTATTTGTGCCGTTTCAAACGCGTTTTGTGAGTAAAAACCGAAAATAGAACAAAAAAAAAGCCAACGGTACAATATACATGTATAAAAAAAACGAAAAAAGAGGAAAAAGACAGACGACAAAAAAGAAAAGAAAAAAGGAAATTAAAATTGATTGCTCATCATCGGTATTGGTTGAAGGGATTATTTTGGGTTAAATTTTCTTCCCAATTTTTTTGTTTTGTTGGTGCAACAAATGGATTTCAATTCTTTTCTTCATGTTTAACCTACCTGCATATTACATGAATGCAATTGGCACGATGGCTGATGTCAGACGCAATCCTCCAATGACATTAACAATGGATTCACATACTCGAAACCTTCGAATTCGCTTTGATCGATGCGTTCGATGACATGGCTGCAATGGTTGTGGAAGAAAAGGAAATTCATGTTATTAGTAACGAATGGAAAGCGAATCAGTCCAACAACGGGAAATCAATTGACAACAATGCATTTGCAACATTGTTGTTCGAAAAAGTGCTGTTCGAATTCAGTCATACGAAATATATGTATATATATATATATATATGTATCTATAGATAGGATGAATGCGAACACGAAATGAAAAATCAATTGCAAGCGAATCGATCGAAACTGAAGGAATAATCTCGTTACAAAAGGCCAACGAGAAAGAGAAAATGAAACACTAATGCATTCCCAAAGTTTTTTTGTTTTCAATTGAAAATAAAAAAAATAAATGTGTGAGTGTGATGTTGTTTTGTACTTACTCTTCGTCGACCGTCAACTGTACGGGCTCATCGGTGAATTCAGGTGGGAAATTAGCCAAATCTCTATCTGAATCTAAACGTGGTCTGAATGGAGGTGTAATTTGCTTTTGCTCAAGCTGTTTGTTTTATTTTTCATTGTTGTTTGCCATTTGTGGCCAGACAAATATGTATGTGTGCGTTTATGCAATGCAAATGTCATTCCATCGGACCAAACCGAACCAAAAAAAAAACAACAACACAAACAAAACCAGGCGAGAGCGCATCATTCCAAAAACCGAAGGCAATTAACCAAAAAGCATGGCAAAGTGATTTTGTTTTTTTTTTGTTAGCCAAAACATAAAATGAAAAGACAAAAAAAAGAGAAGAGAAAAGAATTAAACATTATAAACTAAATGAAAAATCTCATTTTTTCGAGTATAAATCATCATTTTGTGTGTGTGTGTGTATATAGAAGTAAAAAAATGTAATTTTTATTACTTTATTACCTACTTATTACTGTAATAAGATGACCTATTACTTATTGCTGTAATAAGACTTATACAGTATATATTACAGTAATAAGATTGTAATAAGTATCTTATTACTTTTGGTGCAAAAAAAATCGCAAAAAAAATTCATGAAAAAAACATGTCAATTTTTGTCAGACGAAAAAATGTTGAAAAAAAATCATGTCAAATTTTGCAAAACACATTTTTTTTCAACATTTTTTCGTCTGACAAAAATTGACATGTTTTTTACATGAAACTTTTTTTGCGATTTTTTTTTGCACCAAAAGTAATAAGATACTTATTACAATGTTATTACAATTACAATCTTATTACTGTAATAACTTATTACAGTAATAAAATGAAAGTAATAAGTAATAAGTAATAAGTTACTTATTACTCTCGAGGTATGTTACTCTACTTCTATATGTGAGTGTGTATTTTCTGCTGAAAGTTTTTTTTCTGCGAAATTAATGAAAATATGTAGAAAGAGAGAGTTTCGCAATGTATATTTTTATCGATTTGAAACTGAAAAATTGTTGTGGTTTTATGTATTTATTTCGTAGAGGGAGAGAGAGAGAGAGAGAGCGCGCGAACATACAAAATCAATTGTTTGTCCTGCGCTTTCACGAGCCACTCTCAACGTCAATCAAATGTGTTTACAATCTAAATTAGGTTGATTAAAATGCTGACATTTGTATTCATGCCGTTCTATCGATCGGATTTAATACACATATTCTTTCGATGAGAAAGCACATCGTATGGGCTTTTCCCATTAGAAACAGTGAAAACACATAAAATAAATCAAAACAACAATTGAACGAATGAACCCAAACATAATTACAAAAATCGTAATATGAAAAAAAAAAAATATTCATATAAAATTGGCTCACCTTGTCCTACTCGGACTGATTGATACATTGCCGTTTTTAAAAAGTTGATAAACAATTCAATTAAAGAAAACGAGCTAGGCTCAATTGCAATTGGATTAATATAGGATTTAAATTAGCACGCATTAAAATTCATTCCACAATGGGAATCAAAATCGAAACAAAAACAAAAGGAAAAACCAAGGCAAAAAGAAAAGAAAAGAAAAATGTGCTACAATTGATATAGATAAGCCAGAGCGTTCAAATACATTGAGAAGAGAACACATTCCAGAAATGAAATCAAACAGAAAGAAAAAAAAAACACAAGAGAGAAGAGAGAAAGACTCAAGCATTTTTCATAAAATGTATTGGACTATGAATGGTGTGTGTGTATATAGTATGAATATGGGTGTTTGAATACTGAGTGAGATTGTATAAATGTTGCAAACACGGTCTATCAATCGTATGATATGGGTTCGAACAGAAATTTCTCTATGCTATTCAAAAAAAAATGCTTCGTTTTTTTTTCGTTTCTCTCATTCATCAAAATTTAACGGACACTTACGGATCGTCAGGCGTTAAATCAGCCGGCTCTCGTGTAAATTGAGGATCAAAATTTGAAGTAAGATCCGAATCGTCCGGATCGAATGTCGGTATAAAAGGTGGTGTGATTTCCTTTTGAGCAAGCTTTGTTTTTGGTTTTTGGTCATACACATGTGTACATACAAATAATAGTTGATTTCATTTTGTGTTTGTTTGTTTCAGATCATAAACATGTTGGAACTTAATTCATTTAATTATCGAACAAAAATGAGATGCGAAAATGTTCTAATTCTAAATAGTCATATCAACAATTAGCACATTTATTTGTTTCAATCGAACCAAAGACATATCACTTCAATGTGAATGTCTCCAGATATACACTCCTACTAGATCATTTTTGTTGAAGTTTTGTTGCTTCTCTCTTTCTTTCATTCAATTCGACCATTTGATATTTATGAATTTTCCAGAGAAAATCTACACTTGATTTGTTTTGTTTTTGTTTTTTTTTTTTCGTTTTGTTGTTGAATAAGTTGCCACACTTACCGATTCCCAATCGATCGACTTGAAGAATGGATGATTGACAATGTCCATGAATGCATTCTCTCGACTGCAGCCCAACCGTTCGAGTGGTCGCTTTTCAAGGAACGCTTTAAGTACAGTTGCCGCTTTGACACTAAGTGAACGTGGAATACGAATAGTCTTCTCTAGAATCACTTGGAAGAGATAATCCTCGGTGTTCTGCAGCATTTATTTTCGGAATGAAGTAAATTGAAAAGAGAATTAGTTTTATTTTTCGTTGTTATCATCATCGTTGTCGCATTGGCATTTTCAATGTACGAAATAGTCCTACCTGATCTGGATTATCAGATGCACCAGCAATATCGAATGGACTGCGTCCAGCTAACATTTCATACAATAGCACGCCTAACGCCCACCAATCAACCGAAAAACCTACAACACCAGACAATAACAGTCAATTAGTTGAAATTTTTCCAACACAAACTGCATTTTACAGCTTATTGAACATTTTATGAAATTCAGAAAAAAAATGAATTCCAATCAATTTACCGTAATCTTCGCCGCGTAAAATTTCTGGAGCAATATAGTTTGGTGTGCCACAGAAAGTGGATGTTGTATCACCTGGACGAATGCCTTCTTTACACATACCGTAATCGGTTAGTTTAATATGACCTTCGTGATCCAGAAGAACGTTATCTAATTTCAAATCTCGATAAATGATCCCCTGCAAATGGAAATTGGACAATTTTTTTTTTGCACTTTTCTTTTCTAGTACGTTGACAATGGTAGTTTTTCAAATGAAGGTTGACATAGTTAAAATTTGAAAAAACAAAACAAATATGACATCATTTATTTACTATTGTTAGGCTGAACTCACTTTTTCATGCAAGAAGTTCAACGCTAAACTAATTTCGGCCGCATAGAAGCGTGCATGTTCCTCGGGGAGACGACGTTGACGTTGCATATGGAACATTAAATCACCGCCACGTACAAATTCAATGACGAAAAATAGACGCGATGGTGTTTGGAAACACGAATGTAAGCCAACTAAAAATGGATGATTCGATGCCGTTTCGAAAACATGCTTTTCCGTTTGCACCCAATCGATGTCCTCATCATCGGTGACCAGCGCTTTTTTGATCACTTTCATTGCATAGATGCGTTTGGTACGTTTCAGTTCAACCATCAACACCTTGGCATAGCTGCCGCGTCCGATCACACGAATCAATTCAAAATCGTCCAATGAATATTGCCGTTGCGGACTCACTTCTAATGGCTCTTGAACAGCAGGCGCTGCCTCAATAGCACCAACATCGCCTGCAATGAGCGGAAGAACGAATAGAAAAAAAATGAAAATACGGATGATGAAAACCGAGTTTCATTCACATTCATTACCATGATCAGGAATCTCTGGTGGATAATCGGCGGCTTGTGGAACATTATCCATTGCTTGATGATCGTTGCTAACGCCATTATGGCTGTCACGTTCGTTTAGAATTGGTTCCACTTGCTCCTTGGTACACGATTTTGATCCTAATTTGTGGCACTTTTTATGAACAAGTAATTTACATTGCGTACATTTGAAGCCTTGTCGTCCTAATCCCCAAATGCGATCGTGGCAATATGCACAGAACGCACGCTGAAACGAAACCAAAAAAAAAATGTATATAAATTCAATGGGCTTACCTTATAGTTCATTCAGTTTGATTCAAGTGTAATTTTCATTTCCATATTTTTTTTCCTCCGTTGCTCTTCCTTTTCTGTCATTAATTGTACGCTAATAAATGACAAGTCTCGTATTCCATCTCGGAAGTGAATCGAGAATCGAATGGCACAGAATAGAGACAGAAACGAAAGGAGTGGGAAGCGAAAAATGGGAATTGCGAAACGTGAATGAATGAAGTGCATTTGTGTGTACTTACGCGATTAAAACGCTTCGCTTGGAAAATGTGACCGTTAACTCTGTACAATTTTCGCCATCGTCGAGCGCCTCTTCGATATATGCTCCCTGTGTGTGCGTGTGTGTGGCAAAAAAAAAATTGTGTTGTGTAAAAGATTATGAAATGAATGAATAATAATACTTTGGAAAATTGACATCTCGTTTGCCTAACATGCTTATAGTTTTGCGTATTAAATTACGCACAACAGAAAGAGAAACGAACAGAAGACGTTGAAAAGGAATAGAAATGTGAACTAAAAACTGAAACATGAAATCCCAATTTGCAACGCCATGCATCACTTCTATCGGCTATCGAATGCCCTTTTGTTATTGTTGCTGCATTTGTCTGTCTAAATCTCTTTCTGAGTATTCTTCTTATATTTCAACATAAAAAAGAAGCTCGGCAATGACGTAATCCAATCGAGCAAATAAATTCAATTTGTCAAAAGACAGCATCAACTATAAGATGCATAATCAGTGGAAAACATTTTTTTTCCATGTCATTTTTATGAAATGACACAGAAGAATAACACAGCAACAGCATACAACCACCTCACCATCATCATCATCGTCAACAACGAAAGAAAAAAAATATACCGAGAGCAGCTTTTGAGGGAGAGAAGTACGAGTGATTGAGAAAAAATTGCATTTTAGCTTTGATTGAATAAATCCACGATTCAGTGCTTTAAGCTTCTGAATGTTTCTTCAGTGTTGTTGCCGCACTCTCTCTCTCTCACTCTCTTTCACTCCCTTTCTCTTTCGGCTTTTTTTCTTGCACGTGCAATTTCGCGTTCACATTCAAGAGGATACACAAATGTCTGGGATTTTCGTTAACAACTTTGGAATAATAACGACGAGAAGAAAGCAAGCAAACGAAAAAAAGAATATCCAGCAACTTTAGTTGTATCTTCTTGAACTCGAACTATATTCTTTTTGAGAGTGTGTGATGATGATGTTGTTTCTTTTCGGTCGGTCGTTCGTTCGTTCGTTCGTTCGTTTTGCTATTTTGTTGATTGTGTTTCCCTTCGGCTCTTTATTTTGATTTCATGCACACAATTTTCTATAGTATTTATGAAGATATTAACATTAATGATACTTACGATCTTCGCCGACACAAGACATTCCAGGTGCTGATGGCACATTTGGGAATACTGCAAATGAAAAAGGAAAAGAAGAACAAAAAAAAAAATTATCAAAAGATCGTCAGAAAAAGAGGAACAACGAAAAAAAAGTCAAATACATTCAGGCTGTTATTATTTAAGGGGAAAAATGTAAAAATTATCTTATTCGACATGCTTTTTTCCTCGTCTTCTCTCTCTCTCTCTCTCTCTCTCTCTCTCTCTCTCTCTCTTCAATACTGTCGCTCAAGACAGACTCTCGTTTGGCGTGAACCTGTTCAAAAACGAATTTTCCACATTATATGGCTCCCATGTGGCAGGAACTCGACAATTTTTTTTCTTTCTTCATTCTCTTCTCATTCACATTTTTATTTTTCCTTCTTCGTTTCTCTTTTTCCTGGATTTTTTTTTTCGCTTGCCGAAAAATTGTTGATCGAAATCTATGCAAAGCGAAACTCATTTGTCGATTTGCATTCGAGTGTTATTTTTCTCTTTCTCTCTATGTTTTTTTCCTACGTTTTTTTTTCATTCCCATCGCGAATGCAATGGAAGCAACAAAAAAAAATGAAAATAAAATAGACAGCAAAGTGATATGGATATCGGAGCTGGGGATAAGACATTATAAATGTCTTAATATCCATAGCGATTACAATTTAAGACGTGTTATCATAAAAAGCCATATCCGCAGCTCATTTCGTACTGTGTGCTATTCGTTGTGACGGCAAACCTTCTTTATGCATGACAAATTATGCAAAAACGTACATATGTACTTTAAATACTGTTACAAAATGTGGCGATAAAATTCCTTAAATAGCATATCATGTGCTTTGTTCAGCTTTCTTTGTGCGATGACGACGACGGTGATGATGGTGGTAACAGTAGTACTATTTGCTACTGTTGCCATTGCCGCTTTCTTCTTTTCTTCTCGTGCTGTTTTCTTTCTAACTTGCATTATGCTCAGCCGGTGACTGCTATTTGTCAGGGGGCAGCTAAACACACTCCATCGCTGAATGAACAGCACAAACACATAGAGACATACAGACACACGGACCAAGGTAGAGAGACATAACGCACAGCAATAATTTTATCTGCATGACATTATGTTGACGGTACACTTGTTTGTCATTGCAATCCTAATTTCTTCCGATACGGTTCCGATAAATATACACGTTTTCATGCCTTCGACTCATGATATTGGCATGCAGCATGCTGCTGCTGCTTGCCGCTTTCAGGTTTCCGGGCATTTGCTTCATTTGTCAATTTGACTAGTGTACTACACAGCGAAAGAGAATGAGTGAATGTGTATCGATTCAAAGCCGTAGCACGTTTGAATACCGACACAATGCTCAAACCAGCCAGAATACAATCATTCAGAGGAAAAAATGAATTGAAAGAGAGAATACACACACACACACACACACTGCCGAACACAGGGAAAATTATTTTTACGAACAACAAGAGAATGCAAAATGATATCGAAAAGAATTGATTCGTTCGAAGTAAATCAGTTATGAGTTATGAGCTCTCTCTCTCTCTCTGTCTCTCTCTCTCTCTCTCTCTCTCTCTCTCTCTCTCTCTCTGATTAAATGAGGATATGTGAACAAGATACTTGATGTTATTTGGCTCATGGAATTTCCGCTTTCGGCTTCCGAGCGCAGGAAAAATGACGCAAAATTTCATTAACCGAACACAATGAGCTGAGAGTGAGGACAAGAGGAACACACACACCGAGGGAGAGAGAATGGTGAAAAATTGAAACGAAATGCTGAACAGCACAACAGAAAAGTTGTAATCAGAAATTGAGAGTGACGCGCGCGAGCGCGCAACCGGCTCCACAGCCAACATCCGCACAAAACCAATAGAATCAATTGACTGTAATAAAATCAGCGAAAAAGCTAAGCAGAGATACCATTGAAAAATGGTAAAACCATATTTATTATCATCATCGATGGCGGTAGTGGTGGCAGTGGCAATATCCACTGTTAATGGAAATGAAATATAAAATTGTGAATGGTGAATTATCTTAATCACATTTTCAGTCAGAATTTTTCTATCATGTTCAATGGTTTTTTTTCCTTCTTCTTCTTCTCTCATTTGGCGTTATCACCGCACAAACGGAAGTGAATTGTGTGCATTTCGCATTCGATCTCTCTATCTCCACCTCTCTTTCTATATTTCCCTGTCGCTCTTCGTGTTTTCTCCCTCATCGTCGATACATACACGTTGAACCGTTAAACCGGTGCGATGTCAATGACGACAAGCCGAACAGAAAGCGGCTGTTACATTCAGTTCGAGAGGAAGGAGAAAAAAATTGCTGGGAAGGGAATTTATGATCGATTTATAAATGGAATTATTTCGCAATTGAAATTCCATTTTGCCATTGCTTATTGCATTGCGCATCAAGAAAAAGGAGAGAATTAACAACAACAATAGCAAAAAAACCGAATCCAGAGTGAATCATTTCGAAATGTATGTATGTATACTATATTTTGTCTATTTTTGAGCTCATGTAATGTTTAACAGGAAGCAAAACCGTCGACAGCGCACACAGTGGAAGAAAGAGAGAGAGAGAGAGAGAGAGAGCGTAAGAAAAGTTTACTTGGCAGATCAGACCAAAAGTGATGAGCATCATATTCCTTCGCAATTGTGCTCCTATTTTGATTCGGGGTCGGTTTTGCTCGTTTTAATATTTTATGTGAACACTTCGCTAACTCTCTCTCTCCTCTTTCTCTCTTCAAATTTCTCTCTTTTTCTTTCTTCCCGTTCGCTATTATTCTGTAAATCTCTCTCTAGATCTTTGCTTCTTCTTCGCTCTGGATGGACTGTTTTCCGTGTGTATCGTTCGATGTTGGCCTATGGAAAAGTTATGCGGACCTCTGTTTAGGCATTATGCAATGTGCAGTGCACTCACACAAAACATACCAAAACAATAAAATGGCTCGTATGTAGTCGAGTCCAGGCAAAAGTGAGGCAGAGATGAAGGCCTCTCGGAGGCGGGTGAAAAAAAAGGTTTTTTGTGTCGATGGAATCAAGTACAAAAATAAAAAGAGTGTAGTGTGCAATGTGTGTAGCTGGTGGCACGTAATAGTAAGCCAATCAACAGAGTAGCATCGCAATATTCATACATAATTTCATACATACATAAACATTTGACAAAGCATCCGCAATAAAGCTCTGAGTCAAAAATGAAGAAAAAAAAACACAGAAAAATGAACAAGCCGAACGAGTGAGAGAGTGAGAAAAAGAGGAAAAAGAGGAAAAAAGGGCTCCACTGAAAAGCCTCTGCGATGACGACAAAATGCGAAAAAATATACTTAAATTTATACTTGAAAATTATGGCGCAAAACATTTGTCTATGTGCTTGGTGTGTGTGTATGCAAGTGTTATAAAAAGTATGTCGTAATATTCTCTCCATCTTTTGCTCCATCACACCTTTTTTTCATTAAATATTATAGCTGTGAGTTTGTTACGTGTATGTATACATACATTATACTCCTTAACTCATATAGAGCAAACAATGCAGCACGACACACAGGATTCCATTCATATATTTATGTGTTAGAATCTTTGGCGTAACAAAACACACAACCTATATGCACCGATACAAAATGTGGATAAAATAAGCAAAAGCAAATGCTAAATGCATTCACATGTTGTTATATTTTAAATATCGGCCTCTGAATCCAAACAAGCTGAGCGTGTGCCAACAAGAGGAATGTATAGGAAGAGTGAGGCAAGGAAGAGTGTATGTGTGTGTTTAAAAGTGAAAGAAAAGGATGAAGCGAGAAAAAGTGTACCATTTGCCTATAGAGAAGCTAAATAGTAGGCAACAATAGGAACAACTGAAACGAAATCCAGTATAATAAAAATAAAATCGTGGCTGCTGCTGCTTTTTTCACTCGTGACAGTGCGACAAATAAGAAAAATGTGTACATTTGTTCTCATTAAAAAGGAACACGAACTGTATTTTTTTCATTTGGTACAAAGGCCACTGCCATCGCTCTCTTTCATGTTTCTGCTGCAGCCATCGTTGCGACTGCAGAAAAAAAATGCAAAATAAACTACAGCATCGAACCACCATCATCGTGGCATGTCAAATGCTGGACGAAAAATTCCTTTCAAACAATATGTACACTTGATTCTCAGTCTCTTCTAGTAGTATACATGGTTCATCTCTTCATACCTCAACGCATTTCATTCAACATTCCATGTGCACAAATTGCAACGCACGATGCGACGAAAGAAAAAGAAAGAATTACAAAAAAAAATCGACAGACACCTAGACATATATGTGTGGATCCTGAATACTCTCACTCGTCGTCGTCGCTATTATAATGGTTTTAATTAATCACAGTGCCGTCTCATTTAGCAAACATAATAAGATATCTCAGAATTTACCCCGTACACAAATTACTCTAAGAATAGGTCTAGAACTAGCGACAGAATATGAATGTAAATAAACAAAATAAGCACAAACAATTTGCGGAGTTAATTAAAACGGCAACAACATATCTGTCATTCAAGTATTTCTATTAATGCCAGTTTGAAAATTCGCATCAATTGAATTGGGCAAAAAAACTCCACTTGTTCTGATTTTATCATTACTCCACTAGGGAAAAAAAAAATACAACCGACTACTGTTAGTTGCGTGTGTACAGTTTTTTTTTATCAATTTTTCCAAAAAGAAGGGAAAAAAAAACTAAAAGTGCTCAAGCAAAGGTTTATGTTGAATTCAGGCTATTTGCCCATGTTACAGGCCGATCTTTGGGAAAATGTGAACTGTTGAAATCTCGTTAAAGATGGAAAAGTAAAGAAATCACATCGTTACGGTTTTGAACTTTTCCCTTAGGGAATATATAGTATGTTTCATATACGTTTTTTCTCTCTCTCACACATGGTCTATCTACCTCGTTTGCTCCCTTACCCTCGAATCCGCTTTGTGTGCAAATTTATCGCTCATATAAGCCCAGTGAAAATGAATCGCTGAAGCGAAAGAAGCACGAACAAGCATCACAGAATCCAATGGCATGGTG